GGGGATGGCGGCTGGTGGGGTGACAGTGCCGGTGCCGTCGCTGGTGGCGGGTGGCCCGAGCCCCTCCCTCCCTGCAGGCCCGGCCCCCCGGGGGTCACAGCACTGAGTGTGGGCCCCACCCAGTCCGCTCTGAAGCCAGCGCATCTCCCGCTGCCGGGGTCCACTCTGCAGGCTGAGGGACACGTGGTGGCGTAGCCCTTCCTGGGGGTGGGGGGTCAGTGCTGGTGGCCCTGAGCACCCCCAGAGCTGCTGCTCAGGATGAAACCCCCCTACTGCGCTCTCAGAGGCCCGCCTGCTGGCTCCCCGGCAGGACTTGCCCATGGCGGCAAGGCTCGGAGGAGGGCCTGTCCCTGGGGGGCATGGAGGACTGTCTGCTCCTCACCCCCCAGAGCAGGGCACCTAGGGCGGGACTCCCGTCCTGGGCCGGTGCCTGCCGAAAACAGCTGCAGGGTCCACCTTCCTGTCCCCCCCCACCCCCATCTAGACTCGACCCCATGGCCCCAGCCTCCTGCCGGGCGCCACACAGGCAGTGAAGGTGGGCCCCGGAAACCAGGTTCCTGCACCCGGGGTGGTCAGCAGCTGGAGGGGGCAGCTGTGTGGGCAGGGGCCAGGGCGGGGGCCAGAGCAGCAATAGCCTCGGTGGCTGTCACTTAGCGCCGGTATGTCCCCGTCAGCGTGTCCCCATCAGTGTGTCCCCAGCCCTCAGCGGCTGTGGCTGACCCATCTCTGGGCTCTGGGGGCCACACCCAAGGCCGGCGCCTGTCCTTCCAGGCATGGACACTGAGGGCTGGGTGCCGGCTGTGTCCAAACAATCCATAGACCCTTGTGAGGAAACCAGGGAGCAGGGGGACCGGGGCAGTAACACGGGGTGCCAGCCTGGCCCGCAGCCGCCTGGGTTCCATACCAGGCACCCCATATGGTCCCTGAGCATTGCCAGGAGGAGGTAACAGAGCCAAGAGGAAGCCCCAAGCATCACTGGCTGTGCCCCAAAAGACTTAAAAAAGAAAGAAATCGAGGTTGGGGCCGGAACAGTAAGAGAGCGGAGGATGTCTGCCTCACACGTGGCCGCCCTGGGGTGCATCCCGACACCCCCACACCCCCTGAGCCCGCCAGGAGGGGTCCCTGAGCACAGAGTAGGAGTCTGCCCTCAGCACCCCGGCTATGTCCCCAAATTAAAAATAAAAGAAAAAATTGGGGTTTGGCATGACTGGGCATGTCCCTAGGCCCACCCGCCCATGGTCCTGGTCAGCAGAATGTCCCTCAGCTGCCCGGGCGCCCAGTAACCAGGAGGAGGCCTGGCCAGGCCTGCTGGTTCCGATAGCGCCTTGTCTGTGGGGCGGGGCCCAGGTGCTCTTCAGTGCCCTCCCCTCCCCCACCTGGCTTTCAGGACCCCCCACCCCTCTCTCCCCTCCTGGCTCTCAGGACCTCCCACCCCTCCCTTCCCCTCTGGCTCTCAGGACCCCATCCCCACCCCTACCCTACCCTTCCTGGCTCTCAGGCCCCCTTCTGGGCCCAGAGCATTGGTGCTCTCCCCGGTTCTGGCCCAGCCCCTGTGCCGCGTCTGCACCGTGCCCGCATCTGTCCCCATGTCCCCACATCCCCCCAAGTCGGCTTATCCTTCGCCGCCGCCTCCCGCCCCTGCCTTTATCTTCGCAACAGTCACCCTCTCTGCAGCTGCCAGTGGAGGCTCTGCAGAGACATGTGGAGACACAGCCCCGCCCACGGACGTGGGATGCTGCCCTGTGCCCTGCTCCCGGCTGACCTCTGACCCTGTCCCACCGTTCAGACCCCAGTCCCCTTCTCACACAGCCAGAGACTTGCCGCAAGTCTCTGACACAAGGAGGCTGCCAAGGGGACCGATGAGCCCAGCCTCCTAGAGAGAATGTGCCACGCTCAGCTCTGGCCATGGGTCCTCCCGTGTCCTGTGTGCCCGTGTCCATGCCTGTGTGTGTTCGTGGTCATGCCCATGCAGTGCACAGAATATGAACGTGGATTTTTTTTTGGCTTTTGGGGTCACACCAGGTGATGCCCGGGGGTTTCTCTCAGCTTTGCACTCAGTAATTACTCCTGGGCGGTGCTCAGGGACCATATGGGATGCTGGGAATCGATCCCAGGTCAGCTGCGTGCAAAGCAAACACCCTACCCTCTGTGCTATCGCTCCAACCCCATGAGCGTGTGTTTTGATGCTCCCCTGTACACACATTTGTGTCCATGTCTGTGTGTGTCTTTGTGTCTGTGTGTACAGTTACATATTTGTGCATGTGTCTGCATATGTTTACGTGTGTCCATAGCTTATGCATTGTGCATAGCATGTCCATGTGTATAGATATTCATCTGAGTTTTGCGTGTTTGTGTACAGACGTGCACATGTCCACAAATCTGTGCCTACATGTGTATACATATCCACATATGTGCACTCAAATGTATGTGTGCACATGTCCATGTAGATGCATCCACATGCATGTGTGCTTGTGTCTACATATCTACGTCCACATGTATGTGTGCATGTGTCCATATATCTGCATCCTGTTGTATGTGTGCATGTGTTAATGTAGCTGTGTCCACATTTATGTGTGCACATGTCCACAAAGCTGTGTCCACATGTGTGCCTATATCTGTGGCCACATGTATGTGTGCACATGTCCATGTATCTGTTCACTTGTCTACGTGTTTGCATGTGTTCGTGTATATCTGCATTTGTATGTGCATGTGTCCATCTGTCTGTGCATGTGTCTCTGTGTGCCTATGTCTGTGTGCCTCTGTGCATGTGTGTGTCCATGTGTATGTGCATATCTCCATGTGTATATGTGTGTACCAGGGGTTGTATGTCTTTGTGTGTGCACTGTCTGTGTGCATGTATGCATGCATGTGGACACATCTGTGTGTTGTGTGCCTGTGTTTATCTGTATGTGTGTGTCAGGGGCACCGGCTTGGTTAACCACGCACAGTTGCGTGCAGGCATGTTCCTGTGTGCAGGCATGTTCCCGTGTACAGGCATGTTCCCGTGTACAGGCATGTTCCCGTGTGCAGGTATGTTCCCGTGTATAGGCATGTTCCCATATGTAGACATGTTCCTGTGTGCAGGCATGTGCTTTCTCTCCACGTTCCTTCCTGTTCGCTCCCCTTCCTCCCAGTGGCAGCATTTCCAGCGCAGCTTCAGCCTCCAGGGCTGTCCTTGTCCCCGTCCTGTAGTGCCCGTCCTGCCCATCCCCGTCCTTCCTGTGCCTGTCCTGCATTGCCCCGCTGAGCCGGTAGCGCGTCCGCCCATCCCCTTCCCTGTCCTGTAGTGCTGCTGGTCTCCCGCTCTGCGCGTGTCAGACACGGCTGGCGTGGATGCTCCGTCCTGTGCTTGTGTCATCATTTCCCAGGAGAAGTTCCTGGAATCGGACACACGTCCTGCTGCCCCAAGGCTGGTGGGCCCTGGCTGTGGCTGCTGCTCGTCCCACCCTCTCGAGCATCCTGGGTGTCACAGGAGAAGGGCGGGGTGCAGGCCCCCCAGCTCGGTGACTCCTCAGGCCCCCTTACCCACCCCTCGGGCCCTGAGAGGGGCAACTCCAGGCAGCCACACTGTCCACCCCGACTCTGCCTTCTGTGACCTCCCACCCATCCCCAGTGCTCCCTGCTCTGTGCTCATCACACCTTGGGCCCTCCCTGATGTCTGAATGCAGGTGTGGCCTGCGGCTGGTCTCCACGTAGTCCCAGAGCTGCTGTCCTGGTGTAGGGCAGGTTCCATGGGGACGTCCGCATCCACCACCACTGCTCTGACCTCTGCTGGCGTCAGCCTTTGACCTCCTGTGGCTCACACAGCGGCTGCACCGGGGAGGGTGGGGACTCGCTGACGAGCTTCTGCATCAGCTGAGGATAGCAAATGCGAGGACGCAGACTGCGAGGTAGAGGGAGGGCACGGAAGAGGGTGGCACTCAGCTGGCCGGCTTCTACCTCCACCCCGCTGGCCCTGAGTCCCTTCGAGAGTGCTCCTGAGCCCCTCCAAGAGTCCTCCCAGGCCCCTCTGAGAGTGTTCCCTGGGCCCCTCCGATTGTGCTCCCCAGCCCCCTCCGAGGATGCTCCCAGGGCCCCTCCGATTGCTCCCTGAGCCCCGCTGGGTGTGCCCCATTTGGGTTTCCAGAACTTTCTTTTTTTATTATTAATTTTTATGAGTGAAACACCATGAGGTACAGCTGTAGACTTAGAAATTTTTGTGCTTGGGTTTCAGTTATACAATGATTGAGCACCCATCCCGCCACCAGTGCCCATTCTCCACCACCACTGATCCCAGTATCCCTCCCACCCCCCATCCCCCCATCCCACGCTGCTTCTGTGGCAGGGCATTTCCTTTTGTTCTCTCTCTCCTTTTGAGTGCTGTGGTTTGCAAAAGAGGCATTGAGTGGCAATCATGTTCGGTCTATAGTCTACTCTCATCACGCATCTCCCATCCTGGGAGGAACCAGAACTTTCTCAGCCGTGAACGCTGCAGAGAGCGGAAGGCTGAGGGGCCCTTCTAACGTTTGAGGGGTTGTGCTGGGGGCCACACAGCCCGCTCGCCTGCTGTGCCCCCGGCACATCCCGCAGCTCGCAGGGGAAGGGGGAGGGCAGTGTCCGGGGGTGCGGGCTGGTGCAGCTCACACCAGGGTGTGGCCCCAGGATGAAGGCGGGGGCCGCTCCAAGCCCAGCCACAGGAGAAAGGTGTGTCAGGGACGGGCGCCCACTGTGGCAAGGAGGGGCCCTGCCCTAAGGCCCCCCAGGAAGCTTCTGGGCCCCGGCCCTGTCTCGGGTCAGCCCAGTTTGGGCATGCAGCCCCGCCCTTGTCCAGGCCAGCCAGGCCCTCTCCGGGGGTCCAGTGTGAAGTGTCTGCCCAGTGGTCAGTGGGGCCACAGCCCTGGCCTAGGCACTCACAGGCGCCTGCTTTGCGTGGGGCAGGGCGCAGGCACAGTGTGTCAGTGTGAATCCCCCATGCAGCAACAGGGGCGCGGCCGTCCCTCATGCCCCTTTCTGGCCCGCAGGTGGTCTTCAGCAAGTACTGCAACTCCAGCGACATCATGGACCTCTTCTGCATCGCCACTGGCCTGCCACGGTGAGCCGCCACCAGGACTCTGTCCATAGCCCCTGCCACAGACGGACGGACAGAGATGGGGGTGACCGACAGCATCGCCCACACGAGGGCCAGAGGTCACTCACACAGCATGGCCACGGGCCTTCCCCTCCGTGTGCACAGACTATCTGTTACATAAGCAAGTTACAGACACCAGGCTTTCTACATGTGACTTGTATGTGCCACTGATCACGTATGTTTGTTTCCACCATTCATACATCGGCAATCACATATGCTGTCATATACCTCACATATGGTTCTTTCAAGTGTCTATGTGATTGTTCGTGAATTTATGTATATCACTCATACGTTTGTTCATGTTACATATGTGATATTTATGTGTGGTATTGATGTCATTCATGTTCTGTATGGTATTTCATCTTCTATATCTACATCACTACACATACATCTTCACATCCTTTGTCACTACTATGTATCTTGCATAGTATTGTTTGCATATGTGGTTCTTGTGATATGAGTGGTTATCTATAGGACAGCTACTACATGCATTGCTTATGTAGTTGTTCATGTCATGCATGTGGCCGTGTATGACACATGTGTTGCTTACATGTGGCTGTCATATGACACCTACCCACATGTTACAGACAACTCTTCATGCTACACGTGAGTGTTATGTCTGACATTCCCTGTCCATTGTGCACATGTAACTTTTTGTTATACATATGGCTGTCATGTATGACGCCTGCTACATAAATGCATATAAACTTCTCATGTTATGTGTGTGACAGTCACGGGTGATATCTGCTGCATGTATGATCGTGCAGAACACCCTGGGCTCATTGGGGCATATTTAAGCCGCATTAGCCGAGGCGCAGAACCGGGTGCAGGGCTGCCTGCCATGAGGGCGGAGGGGGGTGCTGTTCCGTGGTGCCCTGGGGCCCCTGGGGGGCCCCTGGGGGTGGCAATGGCAGCGCTCACGCGGGCTCTGTTACAGGAACACGACCATCTCCCTGCTCACCACGGACGACGCCATGGTCTCCATTGACCCCACCATGCCCACCAACTCGGAACGGTGAGCAGCTCCGCAGCGGGGTGGCACTTGGCTGTGCCTCGTGGCCACGGGGTCCTCTCCAGCCAGCGAGGACAAGAGGCGCACAGGGAGCAGTGACGGGGCTGCCACCTCTTCGGGCACTGTCCAGAGGAGACAGTGTTGAGACCTCGGGAGACTCCCACAGGCCCTTCTGCCCGCGAGGCAACTGTTAGTCGCACTTGGTTACAGGAAGGGAAACCGAGGCAGAAGCTTCACGGCAGAATCAAACTCAGCCTCTAGACTCAGTCACTCAGACTGAGTGCCCAGAGATAGCCCGGTCACTGCCCAGAGGAGGGACCTGAGAGTCGGGGAACATGAAGCAGCCAGCCAGTGGGGGGCACGCAGCCCTCCCCCCGGGCTGGGAGGCTGCATCCTGCCCTCAGGCACACCAGTACTCCCACTGACCCCCAACAATCACGCTGACCCCTAGCATGGGCCAAAGTGGGCAGAGAGAAGAAACGTCTTTGCTGCCCAGGACAATGCAGGGGAGGGACAGGACTCTCTCTCTGCCGCCTTGGTCACCCCAAGCCCAGTGTTGGGGGACAGGCTAGGTGCCCTTCCCTGCCGGCCCCCCACAGCAGTGCTGTACCAGGCCGTGTTCGGGGCCTGGGGTCTCTGGGGCCCAGCCCTGCGCCCAGCCCCTGGTGCCGCTCGGCTGGAGATGGCCACTTCCCTCAGCCTCTCTCGGTGGGCAGTGCACGGCCCCCAGAGGAGAGCCCGCCTCCCTGGGCAGTGCTGCTGGGGTCTGTCCCTGGGCCCCCCTGGGAGCAGCCAAGCAGAGGACATGCTTGACCAGATTCCCCCAAACCCCCCGAGTGAGTCCTGAGCACAGAGCCAGGAACAAGCCCTGAGCACTGCCGGGCGTGGCCTCCAAACAGAATCAATAAAATGGGCGCTTTAGTGCGTGGGGATCCTTCTGAGCAGGGCTGCGCAGAACAGAGTCCTTAGGAGCGTGGCTTCCCGCGGGTCGCCGGCCACCCCTCACACTGCCTTCTCTCTTGCAGCACCCCCTACAAAGTCAGGCCCGTGGCTGTGAAGCAGTTGACCGGTAAGTCCCCTCTGCGCATCCGCAAATTACCACCAGCTGGTCGGGCTGGAGACACAGGGCAGTGGCTGGGCTCTGCCTTGCACAGGGCCGACCTGGGTTTGATCCCAGCCCCCCAGAGGGTCCCCCAAACCACCTGAGTGACCTCTGAGCCCAGAGCCAGCAGGACATCCTGACCCCACCAGGTACGGCCCCAGCAAGCAAAAAGAACCAAGTTGTTTGTTTGTGCCCAAAGACCTCTGTGAGTGTCAGGGTGCCACTGGATGCCCCCCCAACAGGCGGACGGACCCTTGGTCCCAGACGGGGCACACCCCCGCCCCAACATCCCCACAGAGCCCGGGTGTTCCCAAGCCCGCTCTTGGCGTTGCTGTTTGCGGCTGTTTCTAGGCGGGAATGGTGCCTCCCGTGCCCATGTTGGCCGCTTGGTTCCGGCCCGGGGCCTGGCGTGCAGCTGGAGGCCTGGAGCTTCGGGGAGATGGTGGCCGTCCATCTGCCGCTGGTTCTCTCCCCAGCCAGGCCTCCAGGCCGGCCACAGCGACGAGAGGGGCATGCCCCTGCCAGGGTCGCCTCTCACCTCTGGGGACGACGGGACCATCTCCCTCCGAGCCCTCGGTCTCCCCACCGGGGCCCCTGGCATTCTTGTCCCATGACATTTTGTGGGGGGTGTTTGTGTGAAGCCACACTCAGTGCTGCTCAGGGATCACTCGGAGACTGAATGGGGGCCTGGGGGTAGGACCTGGGCTGGCCACGTACAAGGCCAGCAGCCCCCTGCCCCCGGGGGCAGACTTCTCTTCCCCTGCTGAGCCAGTGACTTGCTTTTTTTTTTTTTTTTTTTAATTGTATCACGGTGAGATACAGTTACAAGCTTTCATGTCTGAGTTACAATCATACAATGTTTCTGACGGGCTCAGGGCACACACACAACTTGGCTTTCCCAGACAGCCCTCTCGGTTTCCAGAAAGTTCTCCTAGGAAGACACTCAGTGCCTGAAGGGACAGTGTGTGCCCGAGGCCCGGCAGCGGGAGCCGATGTCCAGGTGGTGGTCAGTGGGCGCTGGCCCGGGAGAGGTTGTCAGAGTCCCAGGGTGGTGACACTCGGGCTGACCTCCCGGGCTGCCCCTCCCCTCCCAAGGGTCCCACAGGCTGCCCTTTGGCCCCAGCTCGGCGTCTGCTCAGTCTTGGTGGAACACCCTCCCCCCCACCCCAGGCTCGCTGGCCCTGGTTCCGCGAACCCCTCCCCTCCCAGCTCCCGCTGGTCTTGTCCCCATTCTGTTCCCGGTCAGCCAGACTGCGCGGTGCCCTCCATGGCGTCTGGCCTTCCTCCTGGACTTCGTCCCCTCCGCGGCCTTATTTTAGCGGCAGTTTTAGGGCCATAACATGGAGGAAACGCTGAGTTCCCAGCAGACCCTCCCGGCACGCGGCCGCTCCCGGCGCTGCCAAAGTCCGGAGTCCATGAGACTCCCGCCGTGTCCACCTGCAGGCCGTCCTGTCCCGTGACCGCCCGCGCCTCCTCCCTCCGGGTCCGGCACCACCCGTCACTGTCCTTGCTTTTCCGGGCGTCTGTCCGTCTGCCCATCGCCCCTGAATTAGACCACAGACGGCCTTTCCCTGTGGCTTCTCCCTCCCGGCGACGTGTGGTGAAGTGGGCCCCACTCCCTGGCGGGTCTCAGACTTGTTTCTTTCTTATTGTTTGAGTGTGGAATGTGGTGGCTGGGGGTGGGGGGGGCAGGGCCCCAGGCTGGCTCCTGACTGTCTCACGGCGCCCAGAGCCTCCCACCCCCCTGCCCTGCTCAGCCATCCTCCCCCGCTCCGAGGGGCTCTAGCCGCCCACAGGCGAGGTGCGAGGCAGGGCTTGGTTCAGCTCTGCGGAAGCACAGGCGGCCCCCGCTGGACAGGCCAGCCGGTGGCTTTTCTTTTCCCTGGTGAAGCGTTTCTCAGTTGCTCCCATATCCCTTAATGACAAACAAATCTGCAAAAACCCGTGTGGGTTTGAGTGTAGAAACAAGTGCCCCCCACCGTTAGGTAAATACAAGGAACACACCAGCCCCCAGGTTATAGGTCAAGGGTCTGTGCAGGGGTGGAGAGGGACTGCAGGGCAATACCATCAACTCCGGTTCGATCCCCGAGGACCACTGAGGGTCCTCCAAGTACTGCCAGGAGTGATATGCTGAGCCCCAACTTCCATCTTCAGCATGGCATGGCCCTGAGCACTGTAGGCTCATGACCCCTGCCTGAGTACTGCGGGTGGAGCCTTGTGGATCTGAGCACTGCAGGTGGAGCCTCGTGACTCCTGAGCACTGGGAGTTGAGCCTCACGACCCTGAGCACTGTGGGTGGAGCCTCACACAGCAGGCCCCAGTGCCTGGCTTCCTGGCCTCTATGTGGACAGCGCCCAGGCCCCTCTGCTGGCCGCTCCCCATGATAGATTCTGGTTCCGAGGTGAGGTGCTGGCTGTGTGGGGCTGTGGCGGCCCCAGCAGGTGGTCCCGGTAGCAGCCTTGGGGGTCCCGAGCCACTCGTCAGAGTCTCGCTAGACTGGAGAGGGCGCAGACCCTGGCTTGAACCCCAGGCACTACTGTGGGTCGCTCCTGAGCACGTCCCAAAGAGCATCTAAGCAACACGGTGTGACCCTGAAGTAGAACAAACCAAACATTTATTTTCCAATAAGAAACCCAGAGCCTTCCCAGGTTCGATCCCCAGCACCCCATATGGTCCCCCAAGTACTGCCAAGAGTGATTCCTGAGTGCAGAGCCAGGAGGAACCCCTGAGCATCGCCAGGTGTGACCCAAAAAGAAAAAAAAAGAAGCCCAGAGCCAGCCCACCCGGCTCCACCCTGAATAACTGTCCTGGGTGTCGGGCTCAGCCCCCAGGGTCTCACCCCCACCCCTAAGTGGGGGCTCTCGGGGCCGTGCCTAGGAGCATGGGGGTTGGGGGTAGAACCTGGGCCTGCCTGCAGCCCACCAGGCACGGACCCTGCCCTTGAGTGGGTCAGCACCCCAGCATGAACTGTGGCCTCCTGGGGTCATGGGGAGGGTGAACCAGGCACAGCCGGTTAGGCCCAGCCCAGAGCACGGCCCATCCCACGCCCCTGAATGGAAATGAAGTCTCGGCACGGTGCCCGCCAGGTCAGGCCGCACGCGTCCCCTGAACCCCTACACCCGGGCCCCCGGAACTGCAGGCAGGAAGTCTCTCCAGAGTACAGGAGGACCCTCCTCAGCCCACCCCAGCCTGAGCTGCTGCGTCCCCCCACAGCCCCGCGATGCCCCTCTGCGGCGGGCGGAGGCCAGGCAGCGTCTGTGCCTTTAAGGACGCCCTGCCCGCTCCTTCCTCCTGCTTTATGGGGCCATAAACCCGTTGATGGCCAGGGCTGTGCCCTGCTGTGTCCCTGCTAGAACAGGCAGCTGAGAGGAAAGTGCCGAGGTGAGTCCTCCCTCTGCTCCCCTGGACACGGGGTGGGGGGGCACTGGCACCTGTAGTCTGGCTCTGGGCTCCTGGGGGCCCAGGAATGAGTAACACCCCCCGCCCTTGCCATGAGGTGGGGAGCGGGCCGTGCCTCAGGGGCTGTGAGGGGAGACCCACCTGCTCCTCTGTGGCTTAGGGAGGCGCGAGCACCCCCAGCCCTGATCAGGAGAGATGCCCCCAACGCTGCCCGTGCCAGCATCGCACCCAAGGGCCGCACCCCTGCCCTGTGTGCCAGCCTGAGGCGCACACGGCCACAGGGGAGCGGAGCCGAGCTGCCATCTCCCTCCCACTCGACAGGGACACGGAGGGCAGCAGGGGGGCAGTGACTCGCTGCTGGCCCTGAGCAGGGTTCGGGCAGGCTGGGCCTTGGGTCCCTGCAGCTCACGTTCAGCGGCTGCGCTCAGACGGCCGGGAGCATCGGACAATTGCAGGAAGGGCCGGGCAGGCGGAGGCGGGGGCTGGTTCCGTGCACACGGGTGGGGGTCGGGGCCGGACCTGCCTGGCATCTGGGCACACGGGGGGGGGGGGGCTTCCCCCAGCCCCACCCAGGAGACGGCACTCAGGGCCCCTGTGCGGACGGCCTGTGCCAAGCAGGGTCCAGGGGGCCCCAGAGCCTGATTCCGCAGCACCTTGAAACTGGACATTGGCCGGGAAGGGGCTCAGGGAGGGAGATGTTCCCAGTCCTGTAGAAACCCCCAAAACAGGAGGCGGCCACAGACTCCGCAGACCCAGCGCTCTCTGGGCACTCACCATGTGTGTCCACCTGGACACTCTCTGACCTCCTGTCCATCTAGGTATTCCTGACCGCCTGCCATCTGAGCAATCACTGACAGTGTGTCCAGCTGGGTACTCACTGACAGCGTGTCCATCTGGACACTCACTGACCACCTGTATGTCCATCTGGTCACTCACTGGTCATGTGTCCCTTTGTGCACTCACTGATCATGGGTCCATCTGGGCACTCACTGACCACCTGGTCACTCTGGTCACTCACTGGTCTTGTGTCCCTTTGTGAACTCACTGACCATGTGTCCATCTGGGCACTCACTGACCACCTGTTCATCTGGGCAATCACTGACGGCATGTCCATCTGGGCACTCACGGGTCGTGTGTGCATCTGGACAATCACTGACGGCATGTCCATCTGGGCACTCACTGACCACCTGTCCATCTGGGCATTCACTGACCTAATGCCAGCCTGAGGCCTTGCTTGCCCAGCCCTGGTCAGGCTGAGGACCAGAGCCTGCCGCCATGTCCGTGACTGGCGGTTACTTGCATGGACATGTCCTCTGTCTTCCTAGAAGCCACAGGTGCCCAGGGGCCCATGGTGGCGCAGGGCGGGGCTCCTAGTCAGAACCCATCTCAATCACACACACAAGCTGTCCAGCCCGTGGCCGCCGGACCCCCGGTCCTCCCCATGACGAAAGCCACAGGGCATGCGAGGGGAGTCCGACGAGCCGGATCCCTGTCCTTCCACCGTCCACCCCTCCCGTCCCTGCCTGCATGCCCACCGTTGGGGGCTGAGCACTGCCCTGTGGGGGCTGGACTGTGGGGTTCCAGCGTGGGCATCCACCGTGCTCCCACCCAGATGCGAGTGGCGGGCTCTTCAGGGAAGGCAGGCACGGCCTCGGGGCCAACTGGGGACTCCTGATGGAGCTGTTCTGGTGGGGGCCACTCCCGGCAGGTGCAGGGTCCACCAGGAGACCCCAGGGCTGTGCGAGGAGGCACCCTCGGCCCTGTGCTGGCCCCCAGTCCACAGATGCTTCAGGAACTGCTGAACCCTTTCCTGGGATGGCCAGGCCCCGTCAGCTACGTGGGATCTGATTTCCCTTCGTTCTCCCGCCTTTTGCTCTAGAATTTTCTGTGTGCACACAGGGAGATCATGTGGTGGGTTTCTCTGCCTTCCACATACTCTGCTGGTCCTGCAGGGAAGCCCTGCCGTTTCAAGGGGCATGTGTGTGTGCGCGTGTCTGTATGCACACATGTGTGTGCGTTTGGGGGTGTGTGCACGCGTGTGCATGTGCGTGTGTGTGTGTGCGTGTGCGTCTGCGTGTGTGTGTGTGTGTATGTGTGTGTGGCCTCCCTCCATGCTGCATGCCCCTGCCAGCCCCACGCCCCTGCCAGCCCCGTGCCCTTGGGGTCCAGTGTCCTGGGTTCAGGTCATCCCGAGACCTCCCTGAGGCTCCAGCCTCGCCTCCTTGGCACCTCTGTGGCTGCGTTGCCGTCCGACTCAGCCATTCACCTTCACGTCAGCGGGGTCCCAGTGGCGCAGGTCTTCCTGCCCCTTCCTGCCCATTTCCGCAGCCCCTTTGTCCCCCTTGGCTGTCTTTCTGCCAGAGAATCTGCTTCAGCCCTGGGCGGAAGCGGCATCTTCCCTCAGCTGCACCAGGGCCTGCTTTCCCCTGCACTGACCCTCCCCCACCCTGCGTCCACACTCCCCATGCGCTCAAACACACTCAGAGACTGTGGCTGCCTGGGGGTCATCCTGAGCCTCGAGCCTGGAGAGAGAACACGGGAGGTCAGCACTCAGCTAAGCTGGGCTGTTCCCGCAGCCCAAGGCCCCTGGAGCCCGCGGGAGTGACCCCTGAGCACCGCCCTGGCACCAGGGAACCGTGTCTGGCCCTGCCCGGGCTCTGTCCTGCCCGCCATGCCCTCTCTCCGGATCCAATCTGGGCTGAGAGATGGTCTCAGGTCCTCTGGGTTGGGTGCTGCTGCTTTGTGGGGGAGGGTGCAGCTCCGGGAACTGCCTCCCCTGAAGAATTCACACGCTGTAGTGCGTCTCCGGGGAAACCAGCTGCCCTCGAAAAGGCCTTTTTTTTTGGGGGGGGGGGTTGGTGCTGAGCCAGTTCCCGGGGTCGGGGGTCAAGCCTGGGCGGGTGGGAACTGGGTGCTGCCCCCCTGCCACCCCGTAGGCTGCGGGCACACTGGTTCCCTTACCAAGACCCCAGGACAGCCCACTCGCCTCCCGCGCCCCACTCCCGCCTGATGCCCCCTCTCCCGCCCCCTCTGCCTTCGCCCCTGCGCTCTGTGCTGATACCTGGGTCTCGCCTCTGCCAAAGGGAGGTCTCTGGCCGGTGGGCCCTTGTCACTGAAGGCACAGCTCTCCCAGTCCCCGGCCAGTCACTCCTGGGAACCCCACATTGCTCCCTGCCTTCTCCCTCCCTCCCTCTCTCTCCCTCTCTCCCTCTTTCTCTCTCTTCTCCCTCTCCCTCTCCTCTCTTGCCTCTCCCTCTGTCCCTCCCTCTGTCTCTCTCCCTCTTTCCCTCCCTCTGTCCCTCTCTCCCTCTCCCTTTCTCTCCCTCTGCCCCTCTCTCTCTCCCTCTTCCTCTCTCTCCCTCTCCCGCTCTTTCCCACCCTCTCTCTTCTCCCTCTTCCCTCTCTCTCCCTCTCTCACTCTCTCCCCCCTCCCTCCCTTTCTCCCTCCCTCTCTTCGCCCCCCCCCCCCGCATTTCTAGTGGGCCCCTCTATCTCAGATCTCTGTAAGCCCCTGCAGACTGCGGGCCTCCCATGATGGGAGTGGCCATGAGTGTCCCTGATCTGGTGGCGTCTGAGTGTTTCTCGAGACTTGGACACCAGCTCTTGGTTAAGGCACGACTCTGGCTGAGGATTTCCAGCTCAATCACCTGAGGTCCTGCAGGGGGGCCTGTGAGACCCAGGCCCTCGGTGACCCCTTCTCCACGCTGTGGGGGTCTGTACCGGCATGTTCCAGACACAGGGAGGCACCATTTCCCGTCTCTGCCCAGGGACTTAGTCTGGTGATGGTGGACACAGGGCCAACCTCGGGGCCATTTAGGTCAGCAGAGAGTCGGGAACAGGGCAGACCCCTGCAGGGGAGCGTGAGACACCAGTAAGGGCCGCAGGCCTGACAGCCACAGCTGCCCTGTCAGAGGCAGGGCCCGGAGGGCGCAGGCTCCCTCCCAGCTCTGTGCTCGGGACTGACTCCTGGATTGGTGCTCGGGTCTCATTCCCGGCTCTGTGCTCAGGGCTGACTCCCAGCTCCGTACTCAGGGCTCACTCCTGGCTCTGTGCTTGGGGTCACTCCTGGCAAGGCTCATGGCATCCTCTGCAGTGCCGGGGACTGAACCTGATTCAGGCATATGGACATCAAGTGCCTCCCCCATCTGTCCTCTCCAGCGGCCACCAGCATCTGCAGCGTGCACTTTCTGCAGCCAAATGTGGTTGCGGTAGGCAGCGGGGAATCCGTCTGACCCATTCCACTGTGGGCGTGGCTCTTTCTTATAAACTGGACCCAGCTCAGGCATGTACGTGTTCCCTTCACCCACTCCCGGAGACCATCCAGATTCCTGGACTGGGCACTGATGGAGCACTTTGGTCTGGTCACCTGCTTGACGGGGCGGGAGCAAGAGGTGATTGGGGCTCCTCCCAGCTCAGTGCTCAGGGCTGCTCCCAGCTCAGTGCTCGGGGCTGCTCCCAGCTCAGTGCTCAGGGCACCCTGCAGTCTGGGGGAAAGCCCCACGCATGGCTACCTCGGCCCCCTGCTGCTGTCTTTGGTCCCTGGTCCGGTCTAGTTTTGTTGGGTTTCAGAGTGGGGGTGGGCAGGGCGGAGGTCAGGGAGGGGTCGCGTGGTCCCAACCCTGGGCTGTGCAGACTCAGGAAGCCCGGCGTGCCTGGCTGTGACCTGCCTGCCGCTGTCCATCCGTCTGCCCGTCCACCAACACCAGGCCCCAGGCCCCGTGTTTGCACCCAAGCGTGCCGCTTCCCCAAGGGCCTAGGGCTGGGGGGGTTGGGGACCAGCGGGTCAAGCCTCAGGGCCCCACGCGCCTCCCTCTTGTCCACAGAGAAGGAGGAGCTGCTGCAGAGCGCGCTGAGCCAGGTGGCCGAGCAGCTGTCCAGGTACCATGGAGGTGGGGGGCGGGCTGGCACTCATGGCCCCACCTGGCAACTGCCCAAATGCCCCCCTCAGGCCAGGGAAATGGGGGTGCAGAGCCAGGAGCAAACCCGAGAATCCCTGGGTTTGGCCCCCCAGTAAACTAAACGGGAGCCAGAGAGAGCACAGCAGGGAGGGCCCGGCCTTGCGTGCAACTGACCCGGGATCAGTGCCCAGCACCCCATATGGTTCCCTGAGCACCGCCAGGAGTGACCCCTGAGTGCAGAGCCAGGAGTCAGCCCTGAGCACAGCCAGGCGTGAGCCCTGAGCACAGCCAGGAGTCAGCCCAGAGCACAGAGCCAGGAGTCAGCCCAGAGCCAGGAGTCAGCCCTGAGCACAGAGCCAGGAGTCAGCCTTAAGCACAGCCAGGAGTGACCCCCGAGCGCAGAGCCAGGAGTGAGCCCTGAGCACACCAGGCGTGAGCCCTGAGCACAGTCAGGAGTGAGCCCAGAGCACAGGGCCAGGAGTGAACCAGAGCACAGAGCCAGGAGTCAGCCCTGAGCATAGAGCCAGGAGTCAGCCCAGAGCACAGAGCCAGGAGTCAGCCCTGAGCACAGCCAGGAGTCAGCCCAGAGCACAGAGCCAGGAGTCAGCCCTGAGCATAGCCAGGAGTGACCCTGAGCACAGCCTGGTGTGGCCCAGATCAACACAGAACTCAGTTAGGGGTGGTGAGGGCAGTGTGCTGGGACTTCAGTGTTCAACCCGGAGGGTCCCAGGAGGGGGCTGGGCAGTGCCCCTGGACAGACCCCAGATCTCAGTCCCACAGTTCCGTCCCCAGGGGCGCACTGGAGGGGGCATCCAAGCACCCTCACGCTCCAGATTCTGGGGCCCCCTTAGCCCTCGTCTTCCCCCACCCCTCGCAGGGCCTTCAAGATCAACGAGCTGAAAGCGGAAGTGGCCGACCACCTGGCCGGGCTGGAGAGGCGCGTGCAGCGTGAGTGCGGGCGGGGGGCCACCTTCCCCTTGGGAAATGGGTTGGTCCAGCAGGGACCTCTGAGGCAAGAGTGGATGCAGGGAGCAGTAGGGGGCAGGCACCCCGCTGGGAGGCCTGGGCAGGGCGGCGGGCAGGTGAGGTGCATCAGCAGCTGGACCTCCTCCCGTGGCACCGGGGCCACCGCAACCTCCCGGCCACTCAGCAAGCCAGGCTGGAGAGGGCCACTTCCACCCGCTGCAGCCCCCCGACTCCCGGCCCCGCATCTGCCCAGCACTCAGCACCAAGCAGGTCCCAGGACCAGACCCGCATCCTCGAGCCCCGAGCCGCTGGGCCCAGCTGGCCCTGACCTGGAAGTGGTCAGCTGACGCGGACATGGTCAATTATCCCAGGAGGCTGACCCCGGCCCATGTTGGCCCTCATGAGTGTGCTGAGGCTTGGGGACCTTCAGCCCTAACTGGGCATGTCTCTGTGTGTGAAACTGAGGGGCCAAAACACGGGAACAAACACAGTGCTTCATCCCAGTGAGCCGTCCCACATGGCGAGTCTGACCCCGGGACAGCGGGGAGGGTGCTGGCCTTCACACAGCTGACCCGGTTCGATCCCTGGCACCCCCAGGGGTGACCCCCGAGGGTAGGGCCAGGAGTCAGTGCTGAGCATGGTTGTTGGGTGTGACCCAAAGAAGTGGGGGAAACTCCAGGTCATTTGTGAGTGAGGAAGGTCCCACACTGGGGACCCAGCAGGAGGGTAGCAGGTGGACTCAGGGATAAGTGGGTTCTTCCCAGCGTGCCCTGGGCTGCCAGTGGACCCCAAAACCCGCCCTCGGCACCTGCAGCCCCCCAAGACCCACCAGCATCTCAGTGCCTGCGGCCCCTGACCTGATCCCATTTAGCTTTTCTTCGGGAGTGAAGACTCCTTTGTCCTGTATTTTCTGGGGGTGGGATAGGGGCGGGAAGAAGTGGGTGCAGAAGGGAGGGGGCGGGTACTGACCCACAGACCATCCAGGCAGGGCCCGCTCTTGCCTGGCCACTGGCGGGGGCGGGAAGCAGGACCCCCCTGCCCGGGCTCCTCGCGTGCCTCCCGGTGACCCCATCCGTCTCTGCCCTGCCAGTGGAGGCCCTGAAAGCCGTGGAGATTGAGAAATGCAAGAGCGACATCAGGAAGATGAGGGAGGAGCTGGCGGCCCGGAGCAGCAGGTGGGTCTGTGCTGGGGGGCCACTTGGGCACAGCTGGGCGTGCTGGCCCCCGTTCCCCCAGCCAGGCAGGTCCGCGGCACTGTGCTCCCTGCAGGTTAGCCCCAGCACACGGCTTCAGTGCTGTGTCCCGGCCTGCGAGTGCCTGGCCTCACCCCGCAGAGGGAGGCCGGGCCAGCTGGGGCCACCCGGCTGCAGACAGAACCAGCCCCACGAGAGGAGGTTCTGTATGGCAGCCACGGGGACCGGCCGCAGCAGGGGCAGAACCGTGTTCCGATGGAAACAGCAGAGAGAGAGATGCGGGGACACTGTAGGCATGGGGATCGGGGCAGATGTGATGGGGACACTGATGGTGACAGAGGCTGGAGGTGGCCAGCACGGTGACAGAGCTGGGGTGGAGCAGTGGTGACTGCTGCCGGGGTGATGCTGAGGCTCGTGGTGGGCTGGGTCTGGAAGGGAAGGGGAGCCAGGACACGGCCTGGACCCTGGGCACGGGAGAAGCCACTGGGCACAGAGCCCCGGGCCTGACTGCAGGGGCCACAGCCCTCACAGGTGACGGTTAGTCGGGGCTTAGCAAGCAGAGGCGCCATGACACAGGGAGAAAGGAGTGAGCGGTGACTGCGGGGAAGGTGGGGGGGGGGGAAAGAGAGAAGACGGGGGAGTGCTGAGGGAGTGATGCTGAGTGCCGAGCAAGTGCTGAGTGCTGAGTGAACAGCAGTGACTGCGCCTCATTTGGCGGTGTGGGTTGCCCCTCAAGCCAGGACGGGAGCTGCCCTTGATGCCTGGGCAGAGGCAGCTACAGTGCAGTGTCCCTGGCCCCGACTCACTTGGCTCAGGTGGCCTCACACCAAGTGCCATCTGCCCAGCCGGGCCCTCAGCCCCTCAACCACTCGGGGAGGCTGAACCCAGTGTCCAGTCTCCAGCCTGAGGCAAGCGGTGCCCAGGGCCTGGATGATGCACCCTCCCCCCATACACACACCTCAATGGGCAACAAGAACAGTGGAAACTCCACAGAACAGGAAGGAGCACAGTGGTCTGCAGCACGCCAAGGCTGCTGGGTCAGCCCATAGGTTGGGCTGCGGGGGCCCAAGACCCTCCATCCCAGCCCGGCCCTCCCCCTCCATGCCGCCCCCATGCCTCCCCCCTCTGTCCTAGGCCCCTCTGTCCATGTGCTCTGACGCCCCCTGTCACCCTTTCTCGGGGAGTGGGGCCAGTCCTACTCCTCAGGGCTGCTCCCGGCTCAGTGCTCGGGCACCTGGGTCAGGGATGGAACCCAAGGCCTCACCCATGCCCAGCCCGTGCCAGGGGCTCCCAGAAAGGAACGCTTCCCCTTGGGGGCGGCAGTTCCCCAGATCTCTCGGGGGCGGGGGGGGGACCACAGGACATGCAGGGACACATCAGAAACCCATCTGGGTAGAGAGGGCAACACACAGACCCGTTGGGTTGGGTCCTGTGGTTCTGTGCCGAATGGCCGCCACGCCCTGTGCTGCTCCGTGTGTGCACGTGTGTGTGTATGTGTGTGTCTGTGTCTGTCTGTCTGTCTATGGGGGGCGCATGGGAGAATGCTGGCCCCGGGTGTTGGTCTGGCCCCACACTGGCCCCCGTGGAGCCCCACGAGAAGGCCCTGTCCCCGTGTCCCCAGGACCAGCTGCCCCTGCAAGTACAGCTTCCTGGATGACACTAAGAGGCTGGCCCCGTGCCGCGATGTCCTCACCTACCCCAAGGTAAGCTCAGGGCGCAGCTAGGCCCGGCCACAGGTGGGGCCCCGTCTGCTCTCCCACTGACCCACCGACCGAGGTGGCTGCTCTGACCAGCTGCCCTTCCGGTCCCGGGGGTTCTTCCTTAGGCTGCCCCAGGCTGACCAGGTCCAGCAGCTAACTGTGAGGACTGAGTATGGGGTCTCCTGGGTGCCAGGGGTATGAGGGACACGCCCGGCGAGCTTCAGTCCCCGGTACCCCCATGAACACCCCTCCCCGCTAGGACTGACCCCTGAGTGCGGAGCCCAGAGTCAGCCCTGAGCACACACAAAAATCAAAAACAAATGAAACCCCAGAACCTTGCCCTGCACCCCCACTCCTCCCCCAGAACCTTCTGGGCCCCCCGGGGCTTGCAGTTCCTGTGCCCCGACACCTGTGTGTGGTGAGGAGGAGGGGTGGGAAGGACACCCGGCCCCCGAGGGCCCGCGGTGACCCCCCTCCCCCGCTCCTCTGCTCCCAGTACCTGCTGTCCCCGGAGACCATCGAGGCCCTCCGCAAGCCCACCTTCGACGTGTGGCTCTGGGACCCCAACGAGGTGAGCCCCCAACCTGGCTCCAGCCCTGCAGGGGTCCGGGGGCCGGGACCACCCTCTTGGAAGCCTTCCCGCTCATGCATTCCCCGCTGCTCGGGGGCGACTGCTCACACCCTGGCCTGTCCCGGCAGCAGGAAGGGTTCCCAGAGTCCAGACCCCCGAGGCCAGGCGGCATGGACGCTGCCGGGAAGGAAGCAGAGCCCCCACGCCGCACCCTGTGGGCTCTTCTCTGGGGGACACCGACCCCCCAGCCGGCAGCTGCAGCCAGGGCACGGAAGGGGAGGGCCCAGCGGAGTGGGGTGGACAGGGTGGCCGGGACGCTGTCCACGAGAGCGGCCCTTCCCCAGATGCTGAGCTGCCTGGAGCACATGTACCACGACCTGGGCCTGGTCAGGGACTTCGACATCAACCCCATCACGCTCAAGAGGTGGCTGGTGAGTAGGGGAGGGTGCAGGCGCGCACCGGGGCCCCTCCCTGCCTCCCCTCCCGAGCCTCACTGCGCCCGGGTCTGCCACAGGCCCTGTCGCTGTAGAACAGTGTGTGTGCACGTGTGTGAATAGTGTGTGTGCACGTGGATGCATGCTTGTGTAAAGGTGTGCAAGTGTATGAACGCAGCATCTGTGTGTAGCTGTATGCGTGCATATATGTGGGCTCTCAGGATGTGATTATGTGCTCATGTGAGCTGTGTGCAGGTGTGTGTCCATGAGTGTGAGGGCATGGGTACACCTGCTGTACATGTGTGCACATGTGGGTGCACCGTGTATGTGTGCAGAGGAGTGAGCTTATATGCATGTGGGTGCATGTGCAGCCAGGTGTGAGTGGGACAGGATGGGACAGTTCACCGTGTGTGTGTGTCTGTGTGCTTATATGTGTATGTCAGATCCCTTGTGTGTGTCTGCATGTGTGTGTGCATGTGGCAGATCCCTTGTGTGTATGTGTGCGTGTGGCAGATCCCTCGTGTGTGTGTGTGTGTGTGTGTGGCAGAACCCTTGTGTGTGCGCATGTGTGTGTCCATGTGGCAGATACTCATGTGTGCATGCGTGTGGCAGATCTCTTGTGTGTATGCATGTGTGCATGTGTGTGGCAGATCCCCCAGCCTGGTGTTGCTCAGAACCAAGTTGGAGAAGCCTGTGGTGGCCTTGCTGGCACCAGGACCCAGAGCCCCGCAGGGCCCTGCCATCCAGACTCTGGCTGGGGGCCCCTAGGGGGGCCAGCCCCACCACACCCAGGGCCTGCTTTGCCCCTGGGGACCTCCTCCCGACACTCAGGCCTCCCGTGAGCCTCTGCTTCCAACAGGGCCATGCTGACATAAAGGGGTTCTGGGAGCCAGGAGGGGCCCCTGTGGAGAGGCAGGGGTGAGGCCGAGTGTGGGCCCGGTCTGGAGGGGCGGGCAGAGAGGAGTGGGCTGGGCGTGTGGGCGGGGCTGAGCGGGGCTTAGAGGCAGGGCTGAGCATGGATGGGCGGTCCGTGATGAGAGCAGAGCTGAGCATGGGTGGGCGGGGCCAGGAGTGGAAGGGCGGGGCCGGTGGAGAGTTGGTGGCCCTGCTGACCCAGGCAGAGGCTGCAGCTGCGCCCCTTCCTGTAGGCCTGTGTACAGCACAACTACAGGAACAACCCTTTCCACAACTTCCGGCACTGCTTCTGCGTCACCCAGATGATGTACAGCATGGTCTGGCTCTGTGGGCTGCAGGTGGGCGCCCCTGCGGGGAGGAAGGGTTACGCCAACCTGGGGACAGCCTCCTAGGGACACCGCCCCCCGCCCAGTGAGGACCTCCCTGCCCCTCCCCGCCAGCCTCCCCCAGAACAGCACCTGACTCCATAGGCCACTGGGGGCCTCCCCATGGCCCCTCCCCACAGCCCTTCCCCTCTAGGGCTCTGGACCCGCCTGCCCCCCAGGACACGCTCTGAATCCTGCCCCGTCCCCACCAGGAGAAGCTGTCGCAGATGGACATCCTGGTGCTCATGACGGCCGCCGTGTGTCACGACCTGGACCACCCTGGATTCAACAACACGTATGCAGGCCCCTCTGCAGCCCCTGCAGGACAGGCCCGGCCGCGAGGCCACTGTCAGGACCCTGCCCCTGGGCTTCCCAGCAGCCTCCCCAGCCTGTGACAGAGTGAGGCTGGGCTCTCCCGTCTCCCAACTCCAAGCATGGCTCGTGTCTTCCCGGTGGGACGCAGGGCCCTGGACCCAGGGTGTGCCCACGTGTCCCTGCACCCCCGCCCCGCTCTAGGCAAGGCTGAGCCCCTGCGTTCCCCACCCAGGTACCAGATCAACGCCCGCACAGAGCTGGCCTTGCGCTACAACGACACGTCGCCCCTGGAGAACCACCACTGTGCCGTGGCCTTCCGCATCCTGGCCCAGCCGCACTGCGACATCTTCTGCAGCCTGCCACCTGACCGCTTCCGGCAACTCAGACAGGTGCGGGCGGGTGACAGACACCGCCCCGAGCAGCTCAGATGGGTGGGCGGGCACAGCCCCAGGCAGCTCAAACTCAGACTGGTGGGCGGGCACGGCCCCAGGCAGTTCTGATGGGTGAGGAAGGCACTGCCCCAGGCAGCTCAAATGGGTGCGCAGGTTCCACTCTGGGCAGCTCAGACTGGTGGGCAGGCACGGCCCTGGGCAGTTCAGATGGGTGAGGCAGGCACCGCCCTGGGCAGCTCAGACGGGTGGGCGGGCACGGCCCTGGGAAGCTCAGATGGGTGAGGCGGACACCACCCCAGGATGGGTGAAGGGCACGGACATGGCGAAACCCCATGGTCTGTCCCCTCTTCCCTGGGTCCCAGGTCCACAGGCAGCCCTGGGGCCAAATCCCTCTTCACTTTACCCTCGCCCCTGTTGTCCCCAGGCAGGACATGTTTTCCAGGGATGGAGCAGGCAGGGCACAGGATGGCCTGCAACACGCAGAGTAGGCTGTGGGTGGGGTCCCCGTGTGGAGAGTGGGGGTGCGGGTAGATTCCCTATGTGAACGCGTGTGGACGCGGGCTGTCCCCAGGGCATGATCACGCTTATTCTGGCCACGGACATGGCGCGGCATGCGGAGATCATGGACGCGTTCAAGGAGAAGCTGGACAATTTCGACTTCAGCAACGAGGAGCACAGGACGCTGGTGAGATGCGTCTCAGGGGATGGGCTGCGGGGTGCCAGGGAGGCCCCCGGGCAGGGCCACAGCACCCCGGCCCGCCTGGCACGGGACCCTGACTCCAGAGAGAAGGTGCTGTAGGTCCCGGCCCCCACCCCCAGGACCACCTGACCCAGAGCAGGAGGGGCCTGAGCTCCGGTCAGCCCTGGAGCCCCTCCAAGAGGATAAGAGGGACAGTGTGTGGGAACGGACAGAGGGGTGGCGAGAGGGGCCAGGGAGGGCTGGGAGAGACAGCGTGGAGGGCATGGCCGCCCTCCTTGCTGCTGGGGGTGGATGGGATCGAACCGGGAGCCATGTACCCCCCAGGAGGTTCCCACGGGGACAGGCAGGGGCAGGGACACTGTCCACCCCACGGGACCTTTTGTGGGTCCTGAACCCTGATTTGGGGTCACGGAGGATCCCCTGCGCCCTGGCCCTGTCTCTTGTTCAGACAGCCGAGACAGCATTGGCGCCAGACCCTGAGGCCTACGGGGCTGTGATGGGGGTGGGTGGATCAGCCCCAACCCCTGTGGCCCCCCCCAGCTTCCCGAGGCTGACCTCTGACCCCACACATGCCCTTGCAGCTCAAGATGATTTTGATCAAATGCTGTGACATTTCCAACGAGGTGCGGCCCATGGAGGTGGCTGAGCCCTGGGTGGACTGCCTGCTGGAGGAGTACTTCATGCAGGTGACCGTGCCCCCCCACAAGCCCCTGACCACATGCCTGACACAGCACCCCAGCCACGTGCCAACTACAAACCCCCAGCCATGCCCGCCACACAGCCCCCTACCACGCAGCCCCCAGCCCCACACCCACCACACAGCCCTGGCCACACGGCCCCGAGCCCCCAGCCATGTGCCCACCACGCAGCCCCAGCCCTGCGCCCGCCACAAGCCCCAGGCCCCGCGCCCGTCAAACAGCCCCCCACCACATTGGCCCGGCCACAAAGGACAGAGCTTGTGTGGCATTTGGTTCATTCCTCTCGGGGCAAAGCTCCTGCCCTGCCCCACCTGCCCGTGTGGCTGTGGCTCCCCGGATCCCGTTCATGGCCGCATGCACGTATGAACGCCCCTCCCCATGTGCATGTATGGGCCCCCGCCGCCTGTAGCCCCCACACTGACAGACGTCCTCCCGCTACTGCGAATGGGCACGACCTCAGCTCCTGGCTGGGCAGGTGCCACCGGGCAGATGTGCCTCAGGCTCGTGAACCTGCAAACCTGAGCCCCCGTGGGTAGTGCGGTGGCCCAGCTGGCATACGGGGCAGGGTGGGGTTGGCACCCACCCCAGGAAGGACTTTCACAGGCCCCAAAGCTGAATACCTCAGGGGTGGGGCAGGCGAGTGTGGGTCTCACAGGCCGAGGTCCAGGGCTGGGGCCCCAAAATGGGAAGAGAGGAGAGGCAGAAATAGTGGAGAGGGATGCCTGGACCGCAGGGGTGAGCAGGGGTGGATGGGCCGCAGCAGCTGCACTGCCCAAGGAGATCAGTCAGCCCTGGCTCCCGCCCTGCCCCCAGCCACACACGCTCCGTCTCGGCGATGGGGGCCTCAGCCCTCCCCAGCTCACTCTGACGCTGACCCTGCATTGGCACACAGAGTGACCGGGAGAAGTCGGAGGGGCTTCCTGTGGCCCCTTTCATGGACCGAGACAAAGTGACCAAAGCCACAGCCCAGATTGGCTTCCTCGAGTTCGTCCTGATCCCCATGTTCGAGACTGTGACCAAGGTGAGCGGGCAGCATGGACAGCCCGGGACTGAGCCTCAGGGACGAGGGGACAGCGCGGGGCACCCAGACCCCATACGCATGCACCGGCCATTGTGCACACTTGCTCATACATGCATACTCCCATTCATGCACACTTGCTTTTACACGCCTGTCCTGTGCAGGTACTCAGACACACGTACCACACAGGTGCACACATCTGGCCATGTGCACGCACACACGCTGTGCAGGAGGAGGTCCATTCAGCCACACGTACGCACACTCACATGCTCACATGCCTGCATGCGTGTGCACGCTCACCCCCACCACATGCACACGTGTGTCCACACTCTGAGGATCCATGTACCTGACACTGAGCATTCACAGCCCTCTGCCTCTGCCTTCCCGGACGTCCCTGCGGGGACGTGGCAGCTCGACCTGGACCTCTGCATCCCCTCAGTGTGGCCACCCAAACACCCGCTCTGGGCCACGTCCCCACCAGGGCCACCAGCCAGGACGCCTTTGTCATCAGAATCCCCACCCCCCTCCCAGGCAGGAGATGCTGCCCGGCCCCACCTCCCCAGCGTGGACATGGGGGACCAGTGCCTGAGGGACAGGGCGGAGTGAGGGCAGAGCGGAGACTCTTGGGGCTGAGGGTGCTGATGGGGGGCGAGGCGGCATGCTGGGGCCGGCAGGTGACCCAGAGGGGCTGCCCCCCACCTCTGTCCACCGTGGTCCCCAGCTCTTCCCCGCAGTCGGGGACCTCATGCTGCGGCCCCTGTGGGAGTCCCGGGGCCGGTACGAGCTGCTGAAGCAGATGGACGACGCGGCCCAGGAGGTGAGTTGCCCAGCGCCGGGCTCCGACCCCAGAGCAGGCACTGCCCCAGGCAACTGGGCACGCAGCTTCAGTGCCCCCATCCCCACAGCCCCTCGGGCCCCCACCTGATGCCCCCGGGGCATCGCTTGACCACTGGCCACGTCTCACTGCCCCCAGACGGGCCTGTTCTCCGGGTCTCCAGCCTTCCCTGGGTGCTGCACAACCACCTCAAGCTGGGTCCCCTTGCCGGGTCCAGGTGCCGAAGGTCTGATGAGCGGGGCTGGCCCACACTTGGAGGGCTGTGGGGGGCAGCCCCAGAGGGGCAGACAGAGCCCATGAGGGGGCTGACGGGCATGCTCGCCACGGCAGTGGAGGGGCACGCAGCCAGCCCAAGAGGGGACCCCCAGCCCCCAAGCCGGCTGTTCTGGGAGACTCATGCCGTGTGCCGGACCCCCATGCGGAGGCTGGGCAGGGGCTCCTCCCGCTCTGGTGTCAGCAGCCTGACGGGTGGGGCAGAAAGTGAGGGTGCCAGTGGTGGCCGCGGCTGTGGCGGGGCCTCCCCGGGCTCACAGAGGCGAGGCTCATGCCCAACTCAGCCCAGTCTGACTCGGCCACCCTCTGCCCCTCAGAAGGCCAAGTCCCTGGCTTCCGAGGGCACTGAGCCATCTGGAGAGAAGGGCCAGGGGAAGAGCCAGGAAAAGGACGCGCTCTCGAACTGACCCTCCAAGTATAGCCGGACGGCGGGACAGAGCACTCAGGTGGGCACAGGGCAGAGGCGTGCCAGGGCCTGGCTGCTTCTTGTTCACGCTCATGCAAGTGCACGCTCTCTCCCTCTCCCTTTCTCCCCTCCCCCAGCTCTCCCTCCCCCTTGCTGGACTTCCTCTCCTGCCCTGGCCTCCCACAGCACCCTTGGCCTCACCATGCCTTAGCGAGGACACACACGGCCTGCTGCAGTGGGTGGGGATGGAGTGTTTGGGGGTGCTGGGTCCCACCCAGCACAGCCACCATCAGGACCAGGGGCCCCAGCCCTGCCGCCCTCACGCTCCCTCCTGAACCTGCAAACCTTCCCAGCCCTGCCGCCCCCAAACCCCACGGGTGTCACTCCTGTGGCCTTGCCACTCCGCAGCTCTGCACGCACAGCACACGCAGCCTGTGAGTCAGTGCTGTTCTGGAGAGTTCCACAGGCCGCATACCCACAAGCTCTCCTTCCCGAGCAAGGGGCCTCCTGTTCCGACCTGCGGCCATGCGGGATGCCCAGGTGGAAGGACACTGGCTGTGGACCACACCTCCTGAGACCCATCCCGTTCGGCCAACTCGAGAAAGGCTCCACGATCTGCACAGAATTTTTATTTTTAAACAGTCTTAAATCATCTATTCTTATACAGACACGGGTGCTGGCCGTTTTCTTTGCTAGAGGGCCCCCGTGTGGACAAGGATGCTGCCCCTCACCCGGATGGACCTTAGAGCCTGCCAGCGTCTATGGAGGGGAGGGGACAGAGGAGGCCCGGGGTCATGGGGGCACCTGCAGAGAAGCCGGGACTGGCCAGTGACCCAGAGGCTGATGGTCTGGAGGGACATTTGAAGCCCCCTCAGAGGACAGTCTGCCATTCTCCTTTGGGGATACTTGGGACCCCGAGGAGAGCAGCCCCTTGCCCGAAGGGGGAGGTCGGGGAGCCCATGGCTGGCTACTCCTTTCCAACGCAGCCCTGAGCCATTAACCCCAAGGCCAGTGCCACATCGCTACATACCATGAGAGGCCAGGCCAGGGCAGCCTAGAGAGGGTGACAGAGGCCACCCCTGCCGACCCCATGCCCATGGCTGATCCCTGGGCAGAGGCTGGGCAGTCCCCAGCTCCCCCAGGGACCCACTCACTCCCTCCCCACCCCCACGCTGGACAGGCAGCAAACAGCGATGACACGCTGTCATCTTCCCTGGAGTGCATGTGGCTGGGCAGAAACACCTTGAGCCAAGCTGCCCCAGCTGCCCTGAGACTGGAGGTGCCCATGTCAGGTGCCTGTACCCACTCCTCCCTCCTCCCTCCTCCGAGAGCTGGACTAAGGAGGCCCTCAGGGGCCCAGAATGGCCGCAGAGCTCAGGAGTCGCTCCTGGTGATGCCGGAAGCCCCTAGGCCATGCCAGGGACTGAGCCAGGTCAGCCACGGGCAGGCAAGTGCCTGGGCCTTGCTACCCCTGGTCCCTGTCCAAGGCACCCACTTCCGCTTATTTCCCGCCATGGGATAGAGGGGGCCAGGCAGGTCTTCGGAGGCACAAGTGTGGGGTCTGCTGCCCTCCAGGCCGGCGGCCATGGACAACAGGGCCGGTGCTGGGGGACACACTCACGTCCCTATCTCTCTGCTGGACCTTCTGACACGTGCTCAGCCAAAACCGTCCTGACTGCCAGGGGCCCGTCATGCCCACTGGCCGGGCTGTCCCCCGGGCCTGGGCAGCCCTGTGCCCATCCACACGGGAGCTTCTGCAGTTGGGGACACCCACCGCTGGCCTCAGGGCTGGTGCTCCGGTGAGCATCCGCACAAATGTCAGCGCTGCCCCCTAGCCTAGCAAATAGGGGCGCTGCAGCTAGCCTGGGAACCAGGGTGGGCCAGTTCTGTGGGGATCGTAACAGCCACCAGCAGCTAGGGACATGGGCCAGCAGAGGCCAAGTCAGATGGGGCACAAGTGAGGCACCAAGAGAACCCAGCCTGCCTTTACCAGTGACGGGAGCAGCCAGTCCCGCAGGCCCTGCCGAGTCCCCAGCTGCTGTCCCTATCAGTGCAGGGCTGAGGCTGGGGGCTGCATGGGTGCACATCAGGCCTGGCTGGGACGGGGCTGGGAGCCACTCTGGCTCAGGCTCACACGAGGGCCTCCCTGAGCCCGGACAGTCATCAGGTACTACGGGCTCCCACCCAGCAGGGAGGCCTCGGCCACAGAGCAGCGAGTGCGGGTCTAGGCAGCTGGCCAGAGAGTGACCAAGGGGGACACGCAGCAGCTCCTCTAAGGCCATGGCTGCAAGGACCTGACCCAACAGGGTCAGAGGCCCACGACGCGTGTCCTGTCCTGTCGCTGGGCCAGAGGGGGTGAGCTGGGCCAGCAGAGGCTGCCGGGCGCCTGCACTGGCGTTGTCGTGCTTCTCACACCTGCGTTTTTATTCCAAGAAGCAGCGGGCGGCCACGCCAAGGTCCCACACAGACCAGCACTCGGGGCTCATGACACTCACAGTCTGGGGGTGTTCACAGTCACACAGGCACTTGGCTCAGACACACCCGCCAATGCTCCCACGCGGCCACCTCCGGAAGCGGGTCAGGCCACACGCAGTGGCCAGTCTGTCCCAGACCATCATAACGGCTCCCTGGTGGCCACACGGCCCCACCGGCAGCTCAGCTGGAAGCCGCCTGGGTGCTGGCGGCTCTCCTGGGGGCCCCCATCCGCCCTTGACCGTCATGTCTTCACTTCCCATGGGGGCCAGTGTCCAGCCCGGGTGAGTCCTCACCCCATGCCTCCGTCCAGAGCCTGTGACCACTTGTCCTGCCAGGGCCCGAGATTGCCTTTCTGGCCGCTGCACCTCTCCCCGCCATGGGGCGTTCCGGGTCCCCAGGCATCCATGGGTCCCTAGGAGCAGCCCAGGGCAGTGTCCCCAGCGTGTGGTTGCTTGGCCGGCCCACTGTCCACCGCCCGCCGCTTCCTCTGCAGTAACCGCTGCTGCTTCCTGTGCAGGTACGCGGCCACATTGTCGCACGCTGCCTTGTACAGGCCCTGGAGGCCAGGGCGCTCACCAGCAGAGCCTGCGGGAAAGGAGCAGTCACCACGGGGCTGTGGGAAGAGGCCAGGCCACCCCCACCCACCGCCCAGCTAGGCCCCACCCCACTCACTGCCCAGCTCGGCCCTGCCCCACCCCGCCCCACTCACCACCCAGCTCGGCCCAGTGTGCGCGCAGGAGGCTGGACACCCGGCTCAGCACAGCGTCGTCAGGGACCAGCTGTGAAGGACAGCACACGGGTCACACCTCCGGGCCACGCCCACCCACACAGGCTGGGCCTGGGAGCGCCCCTCACCTGCCACTGGCCGCCCACTGGCCTGCAGAGCAGCAGGGGGGCATCCTCGGAGTCCTGCAGCACCCACAGCCCCCGGCCCTCCTCCAGGCCCAGGTCCCACGCGCGGTGCTGCAATGGGAGCTGCTGCCAGAAGGCCAGCCGCCGGCCCGCGCCATCTAGCCGGAAGATGGACACGGCAGGAAGGCTGTGCACAGAGGAGAGGCTGGTGCGGGCGCGGACAGAACTGCCACCAGGAGGGGGGTGACAGGGCTGGGGGCAGGGGCTGGGGATAGGAACCAACACAGCCTCAGGGTCGTGGGAAGGCTTGGGGCGGGCAGGTGGCACTCACCCCTCACACAGCAGCGCCACGCAGGCTTCCTGGCGCCAGTACACGAGCCTTGAGGCGGCCACCCGCTGCAAGGGGAAAGTGGACACCGTGGGCAGGGAGCCCGGCCAGAGCCGCCCACGCTGCATTGCCCCTCCCAGGCTCTCCAGGTGAGCTGACCAGGCCCATGTCCAGGGCGCATCCCAGGAAACTGCCCCTCAGGATGGCCCTGCCCACAAGCAAGGACATGGGGAGGCCTCCTCCCAGGGGCCCGGGCTCCATGCCCCTCCCCACCGTAGGGCAGGACAGGGGGCCCAGTAGCAGAGCCCCGGAGAGGTGTCCAGCAGCTACCTGGGGCTCTGCAGGCTTGGCCGGCTCCTGCAGGCCAGTCAGGGGGCAGCAGTGCAGTTCACGGCCTCGTTGGAACTCCCAGAGCCTCAGGGTGCCATCCTACAGTGGGCATCGGCATGGGGATCAGCACACACACAGCACGCAGGGGTCAGCACGAGGGTGGGGGGTGTCAGCACGCAGGGGTCAGCACCCAGCTCCAGGGTACCAGAGAAAGGAGAGCAGAGTGGCAGCTCCACAAAGGCTGACAAAAGTACCATGTGCAGGCCCAGAGCAGGACATATGTGCACACGCATACTCAGGCCCAGAATACACACACACACGCCTTCCTGGGTGGGCCTGAGTCCCAGACTCAGGAGCATGCAGGGCAGCAGACACCCACATGTGGGCCCCCATCACCCAGACCCCCCTGGACCTCTACAGAGCCAAGAAGGGGGGGTCACAGCACAGCCAGTGCCCGCCGGGGAAGGCCAGGAGCACTGGGCACGGAGCCCACGTACCCCAGAGGATGACAGCAGCAGCTCAGGCCAGTCGGGGGGAACCAGGATGCGGCTTACAAACCTGTTGGGGGGGGCGGGGGCTGTGGGAGCTGCAGGGAGGGGCTAAGCGCAGACCCCCACCCCACAGCACCTTCTGCGGCGGGGGGGGGGGGGGGCAGGAGTGTTCCTGGAACCCCCTAGCACAGCCGGGTCCCACATTCCCATGACCTGGGGGGCAGTGCTGGGGGGGCAACACCCTTCTGTGGGCTCCAGCCAACACCCAGCTCCACCTAGCCCCCAGACCCTGGCCCCGGCTCCCGACCCACTCACTCAGTGTGCCCCAGGCAGAAGGCCTCAATGCTGTGTGGAGCCTTGGCCCAGCTGACCCGGATCTTCTCATCCCGGTCAGCCGTGAGGACGTAGCGGTCATCAGGACTGACGGCCTGTGTGGGAGAGATGGACGGTCCCCACCTTCTCAGCCCACACCGAGGTCACCCCTCCTCGGCCTCTCTCAGCCCCTGGACCCCAGCCAGGTGCCCCACCTACCACGTCCAGCAGCATAGACAGGTGGCCAAGCTCCAGGCGGCCGGGGGCGCCCGGCTCCCCGATGGGGAAGGAGTACACATCCCCTGACTTGTCGGCCACCAGGACCTTCTCCTCGGACGCCGTGAAGCTCAGGGCCGTGCAGCGCCGCGCCACGCTCCTGGGGGGACCTGCCGTCAGCCACGGGACCAGGGCTGCGATAGGCCCCTGACCTGCCAGGTGTGCGCCAGCCCCCAGGGCCAGGACGCAGGGGCCCGGCACCCCTGGGCAGCTCATGGCCCAGCCTGCGGGAGGCAGAGGGTGGCTCCAGGAGGACCAGAGCTCCTGGCGCTGGCTGACCGCCGTGGACAGAGGCACAAGCCCAGCACGGAAGCCGTCCACTCCATCACCCGGCGCCCCACTGCCCACACTGCCCGGCTACAAGTCTCCTTTCCCTGGGGACAGTCTCCAGGCGCCCCCAGAAACGAGAGGTCATGGCTTCCCCCAGCGACAGAGCACCCCAAAGCCCCAAAGGAACAGACGTGGCCTAACGGTCTTGGGAACCCGTGGTGCGGGGACGAAGCTGCACCCCGGGGCCATTACGAGGGCTGACCGGAAGCCTGCCTTGGCCACGGCCACCGCGAGCAACATTCCCTACCTCACACTCAGGCACTGCCACGGTCTCGTTCGGAAAAGAACCAGGCGCTTACTGTCATCGGTCAGGGCGAAGTAGTTGCCCGACGTGGAGAAGGTGCAGGCCAGGATGGTGTCACTCCCTCTGTCCGTGAGCTGGCTGTCCTCCCTGGGCAGAGAGGAAGATGACGGGGCTGCAGCCCTGCCCGGGCAGAGACCAGCTCACTCGGGACCTGGCAAGGCCGGCAGGAAGGCTGCAGGCGGCAGGGACAGTTCTGGCGGGAAGGCGCAGCCCACCTGGGTTCCAACCTCGGCACCACAGAGGGTCCCCCAGCACTGCCAGAAGCGATCCCCGAGCACAGAGCCAGGAGTAAGCCCTGAGCACTGAGAGGTATGGCTCAGAAACGAAACAACACAGAGAAGTGGCCAGACACGGCCTCGCAGCACAGGTGCTCTGGGTGTAGCCTCGGTCTGACCCCAGTCACAATACCTGGACACGCGCCTTTTCCAAAACACATCACTGGACCCGCCTGACAGCCTGCAAGGGCTCATCCAGAAGCCGGCCCGCATACCCATTCAGCACTGCTTCCAACAGCGGGGGCAGCCACCGCGCAGGGGCACCAAGTGCTCTGAAAAACCCGCATTCCCCCTGCCCTCCAGCCACAGTCCCCACCAGGGCACAGACCCCCAGGGCCCCTCCACACTCACCCCTGACTCTCACGGGGCTTCTCTGCGGTCCTGCAGTCGTACGTGAAAGGGATGTCACTGACACTGCAAAGCAAAAAGACGAGGGGGTGTGAACGGAGGAGGCCGCTCCCCTACTGCCACCAACAGGCCTGAGGCCGAGGGTCTCACCCACCCCTTGGCAGAGGGAACTGCCATGGGGTCGTCACATCAGGGGTCAGCTCAGGAGCTTGGTTTGCTTCAGGGAGATTCATGGTGCCCAGCTGCAGTGCCACACACACGCGCGCATACACACACGTACACATACATGCACAAACGCGGGCACACACATACACACATGTACGCACAAGCAATGAAGACAAGAACACCACAGGAAGGAACACGCATAGGCCCGAGGGGAACAGAGGAAACTGCCCTGAGGCCCTCTTTGGTGGGGTCTTGGCACCCACACTTAGAAATTCCCTTTCCCCCAGCTGGTTAGGTCCACAGCTGGGGGAAAGGGACCCTCAGCCACCACTGGTGGCGATGTCGCTTGGTCCAATCTCTTCAGAGACAATATGGAAATTTCTCAAATATTTCAGAACCAAGCTCCCATATCACCCAGCAATTCCACTTTTCAGTGTCTACTACTAGGGCCCAGAAACCTGATTCAGAAATGGTATCTGCACACCCATGTTCACGGCCGCACCATTCACAACAGTCAGAATCTGGAAAGGATCCGGGTGTCCGAGAACAACTCAGTGGGTAAGGAAAACTGGTCCATACACATAACGAACACCCGTTGGCCGTAGGAAAAGATAGAACCGTGTAATTTGCTGCGGCGTGCATGGAACTGGAGAGTCTTGCGCTGCGTGAGGTCTCAGAGGGACCGACAACAGTCTCTCTGTGGGATACGGACAGTAGCGGAATGAAGAGTGCCCGGAGACATGGCCAGAGAGGGCAGAGGGGAGACCTCTTCTCCTGCACACGGCCAACTCAGGTCCGACCCTGGATGCCCCCCTCCCACATGGTTCCCCAAGCACCGCCAACTGTGATTCCTGAGTGCAGAGCAGGAGTAAGCCCTGAGCACTGTAGGCTCAAGAAACAAAACAGGGGCTGGAGCGATAACACAGCAGGTAGGGCATTTGCCTGGCACGCGGTTGACCCGGGTTCAATTCCCAGCATCCCATCTGGTCCTCCGAGCACCGCCAGGAGTAACTCCTGAGTGCATGAGCCAGGAGCAACCCCTGCGCATCGCTGGGTGTGACCCAAAAAGAAAAAAAAGCATGCCCAAAGGACCTTGGACAGTGGTGGAGGGGAGTGGACACTCTGGGACAGTCTGGTGAATGGAGTGCTGCTAGAGGCCGGTATGCATGGAACTCTAGCATTACGTTTTGTAAACCAGTCCCTGAAGAGAGAGAGAGCAGGTAGGGGCCTGGGAAGGGGCCTCTCCCCTCCCCTGGCAGCCCCTGAACTCTCGGGCCATCCCTGGGCCACATTCTGCAGGGGACGGTGTTTCAGGCCAGACGGACCTTCCGAATGGAGAGCAAACACTGTCTCCACACCATGCCACGTCCAGACTCGGGGCTTCAGCAGACTGGACGGCAGCTGGCCTAGAACCCCCAGGCTCCCGCAGGCGGATCGCACACAACTTCTCTCCAGCGCAGCCACAGGGGCCAAGCAAGGCACGGGCCGGAACCCGCAGGGTTTCGGCGAAACCCAGCAGAACCGGGAGCGGATTACTACAGCCAAACGCTGGCCCGAACGGACAGGACAGGCGGTGGGACAAGAGCCCATCTACTGGGAGGGAAGCATCACGACGGGCGTGAAACCCGCCCGAGACCGCCGGGTCTCCGGCCGGGATCAGCTGACCTGACCGCCCGAGACGGAGCAGTGGCCGCTGCCCGCGCGCTGTCCACGCACCGGCCCGCCCGGCGCGGACACGGCACCCGGACGGCCGGCTCGCCTGGTCCGAGCTGCGGCAGGCGACGGCGCGGGGGGGTCGGGGTGCGGGTACGCAGCGCCTCACCTGCTCGCAGTGGACGTGGCCAGGAAGCGGCTCCCGCCGTGCACCACCAGCTGCTGCCCGCACAGCGCCAGCCCCGCCGAGCCCGCCATGGCTCGCCGCCCCGCCCACGTGCGCCGCGCCGCTCTTCCGGCGCCGGGAGATGACGTCACGCGGCGTCTCGGTGACGTTACCCCGACCGGGCGCGCGCTGTGGGAGACGGGCCGCCGCGGAGGTGACGCCTGCGCGTCGTGTCGGGTCCGAGTCCGGGAACGTTTAGTTCCTGTTTGTCTGTTTTTCGGCCACACCCGGCGAGGTCGGGGTCACTCCCGGCTCTGTGCTTGGGGCCACTCCTGGCGGGGTCAGAGTCACGCCTGGCTCTGTGCTCAGGGTCACATCTGGGGAGCTCGGGGTCACTCCTGGCTCTATGCTCAGAGTCACTCCTGGCTCTGTGCTCGGGGTTACTCCTGGCTCTGTGCTCGGGATCACTCCTGGCTCTGTGCTCAGGGTCACTCCTGGCTCTGTGCTCGTGGTTACTCCTGGCTCTGTGCTCAGGATCACTCCTGGCTCTGTGCTCGGGGTCACTCCTGGCTCTGTGATCGGGGTCACTCCCAGCGGGGTCAGGGTCACTCCTGGCTCTGTGCTCGGGGTCACTCCCAGCGGGGTCAGGATCACTCCTGGCTCTGTGCTCGGGTCACTCCCAGCGGGGTCAGGGTCACTCCTGGCTCTGTGTTCAGGGTCACTCCGGCTCTGTGCTCAGGATCACTTCTAGGGAGTTCGGGGACCATATGGGGACAGGGTGTGGAACTAGCACATGTAAGGTGAGCGCCCTGACCACTGGGCCTATAGCTTTGACTCCCGTGAAACGTTTGCGTGCCGGGCCAGAAGCCGCCATTGTCCGCCTAGGACCTATAGTGAGCGCCCTGGGCCGGCTGACACTGAGCTCAGCCCGGCCCTCACCGAGGCCCCTTCTCAGCTGCCCCCAGGCAGGCACCAAGGACAAGAGCATCAGGGGCGCTGGCGGGGAAGCTTCAGTACATACATCACAGGCTAGGCTAGACAGTGAGGAGGGCCTGTGGTCTCCCCTCTGCAGGCACTGCTTGGAGCCCCAGGTGGACCCCATCCCCCACTGCAGGGAGGGGTAGCCCGCTGAGTGCTGAGCACTGTGGGGGCTGCAGCTGGACAGGACCTGGGAGCTACTCCCTGAGCAGAGGCCCACCTACTGCCAGCCAGGAGGTGCTCCCCCCACACACACAGACACCACATCCCTTCCGCCCTGTGCGTGGAGAGAAAAGTGGCAGAGAGCCGGGAGCAGAGGCAGGAGGAGCACCCAGGCCAGCAGGAGGCCACAAACCAGGTGTAGGGTAACTGCGGAGGCACAGACAGCTCTGGGGGATGGAGAACAAATATGTGACCCTTAGAATTCCAGGGTGGCGAGATGGTACCCAAGCAACCATTCCTGTTTCGCCCCATCACCACTCAAGGCTCCTGAGCACTGCTAGGAGAACCCAAAACACAAGCCAGAATTGGACCTCAAGGGAGCGCTTGGGGGCTGCAGCCCAGGCTTTGGATGCAGGAAGCATCCCCAGCATCATATGGCCCCTCAAGCCCTGCCGAGGAAGGACACCCCGCCCCCTCAACTGTCCTGCTTCCGCACCAGCAGGGTGTGGCACCAAAGCGAGAGGGAAAAGAATTCGGCTGCAGAGAGAGGCAGAATCTTGGAGCAGGGTGGGCGGTGCCTCTTCTGAAGATGTCCGTGTAAAACAGTAAAACAACCTCAAGAATTCCTTAAAGGAACATGAAAACACCAAGAAAAAAGATCCTGCCAGAGAGTAGTGATCTTTCTACAACCAAAGACTGTTGAGGTCTGTAATCCCTGCAACAAAGAACTCAAAATAGCCATCTTAAGGGAATTCAAAGAGTTACAATGAAACAGAAGGCTAATTCCATACGGTCAGGGAAACAATGAATCAAATCACCTTTATCAAAGAAACAGAAATCATAAAAATAGGGACGAAGCAATAGTACAGCTGGCAGGGCTTTCATCTTGCACATAGCGGGCTGCAGTATATCCCAAGCATCCCTTATAGTCCCCTGGGCTGCCAGGAATGACCCCTGAGCTCATAGCCCTCATAGGAGTAAGCCCTGAGTACCAAAGGGTGAGGCCCCACAGCAAACAAAATCATCAAAAGGAAAATCTGCAACTGAGATCGATAGAATGAAAGGAAAAATACAGTAAGCACCATCAGCAGAACGGATCAAGTAAGAGAATTTGTGAATTGGAAAATAAGAACCTAAGGGGCTGGAGAGATGGTTCAGGAAAAAGGCAGTTGCCTTGCACACAGCTGACCCCAGTTGGATTCCCAGCACCATAAACACTCCCCTGACCACAGAGCCAGGAGTAAGCCCTGAGCATAGTGGGCCGTGGTCCCCCTGGCCCCCCAAAACAAGCCCTTCGAATAGGGGATATGAGCCATAGATTACCAGCACCACAAACCACAAGTTATTGTGGTCCCAAGGGAAAATGAAGAGAGAGGGCCCGGACGGTCGGGGAGCAGATGAGGGGACGGTGCGTGCAAAGCTGGTGCCTGTCCTGGCCCCAGCTCCCGCCCATAGGATGGGGACCTTGTGGCCTGGAACCCCTTTTCCATACCGCAGAGCCCTTCTCTGGCCTCTGTGGGTGCCTCTTGCTCCTGACCTTACCCGCCTCCAGCCACAGACTCTGCCCACATCTGACACTCAGGAACAAGCTCCTGTGAACACCATGGAGAGGCCCCGCGTCTCCTCACCAAGAGCCCCCCTTTCAGCCACTCTGACTGGGAACCCCACCTACTGGGCCACATTCTACCTTTGTTTCCCATGCACACACCGACTGGCCTAGTTTGGGGAAGACCCTCCTGGGGTCGCTCTCCCGGCAGGCTGTCACCCAACTGCAGGGTCAGGAGATTGTGCAGTACGAAATGAGCCCTGAACTTGTAGCTGCTCCAGCAAGCCGTGCGTGTGAGTGTGTGTGTGTGTGTTTGTGTGTGTGTGCACGCGCACACATGTGTGTGCATGCGATTGAGTGAGAACATCAAAGCTTTCCCAGATCTTATTAGGAGATGTGTGCATGTGTGTGATATGTTGAAAGCAGGTGTGTGTGTTGTAAAATGTGTGTCATAAGTAGATGTGTGTATGTTAGAAAACAGGGATGTGTGTGTTGGTAAGTAGGTGTTTATGTGTGTGTTGGTAAACAGGTGTGTGCTGGAAAACAGGTGTGTGTGTGTATTTGGTATGCAGGTGTTTGTGTTGGTAAGCAGGTGTGTGTGTGTGCAGGTAAGCAGGTGTGTGTGCGCATGTGTTGAGCCTGGCTGTCAGCTCAGAGAAAGGTCTTTTTTGCAGCTGTTGGTTTCCGTGGATAGACTGACAGCCCATCTCCAAACACCCCGTTTCCGGGGGACCAGGGTACTAACTTAGTGGTGGTGATAGCTGTGGTGGTGCATCAGGTGACTGAGCCATGGGGCCCCAGCTCCATTCTGGATGTTCTTCCTCCACTTCAGTTCCATGATTTCCTTTTTGTCTGCCTGTGCTGGACCTCCCGAGCGGCGGGCAGAGCCACACGACGTTGCACGGGAGGCCATGTGGTGCCGCACACGAGCCATTCCCACCCACTAGGGACTACTGCCCTGAGTGCCAGGGCGACCTGCCCTGTGTGTGCTGGGCTGGGGGTGAATGTCAGCACATGCCCTGCAGTCCGGTGCTGCAGCCCTTGACCGGAGCCGGGGCGCCTGTCTGTGCTGCTCCGGAGAGCCCTTACCGGCTCGGGCAGCGCCGGAGGACCTTGGGCGATGCAGGGGGCTGACCCCGGGCCTCCCGCTGAGCCCCTCACCCACCAGGGGGCCCAAACCCGAGGTAGCTGCAGGTGTCCGGCAGGCGGCGCCCTGCCGACCTCCGCGCGGTGACCGCGCCCCCCATCGCGGCGCCGGAGCCCTCTGGCCTCGGATTGGCTGCGCGCGAGGGGGCGGGGCCCGAGGGTGCGCGCGCAGGTCCAAGACTCCGCCTCGACGAAGACCCGCCCCTAGACGGGCGTCTCTCGCGGTGGTGGGCGCGACCTGGCTCGGCACCCGCGCTCCGCCCGCCGATGGGCGTGGCCTCGAGGGTGCGCGCGCAGCCGCCGCCGGTTCTCAGTGCGCGTGCGCGGGAGCGCCGAGCCGACCCTGCCGTGACCCCGCCATGGCGGCGCTGCTGCTGCTGCGGCAAGGACGGGCAGCGGCGTTGAAGGTGGGCGAGCGCGGGACTCCCGGGACCCGGCGCCGCGCGCGGGATTCCGGGCCCGACTGAGTGCCACGGGGGCGGGCGCTGCCTGCGCTGACCGACCCCGGTCCGGCTCCGACACGGCCCTGGACCCCCGCCCTGGCCTCGACCCCGACCCCGACCCCAACCCGGCCAGCCCCGACCCCGACGCGGGCGGTGGGACAGAAGCCAGCAGCACAGCGCGCCAGCAGCCCCGTGCTTGCCCGATGCCGGCCGCAGCTGACCCTCTGACCAGCTTTGGCCGGCCGCCCCGGGGTGCCCGGATGGGGCCCGGATGAACTCAGAAGGCAGCACTGACACCCGCCCCCCCTCCAGCCCTCCCCTGCCTCGGTGCAGTGCTCCTGGGTGGGAGCCGGGAGGAAAAGGGGCATGAGTGAGGGTGGGGGCCCGCTGGCAGTACCCGCTGATGTGGTGAGGGGAGCTGGACCCGGGTGGGCACGGGATGGCTGTCCTCCCGGACGCAGCGGGGAGGGTGCTCACCAGGCATGCAGGAGACCCGGGCCCCATCCCTGGCATCCCGTGCGGCCTCCGGGACGCTGCCAGGAGTGAGCCCCGCCGGGTGTGCCCAGAAAGCCTAAATAAACAGCGCGCTAAGATCTCTCTAGAGATCCCCGAAGGGTTCAGGGGAAAGTCTGGGTGAGGGGCGCAGAGCGTCCAGTTGGCACACGTGGGAACCAGCCGCTCGGGTAGCCGCTCACTGTCCACAGGTCTGGACCCCACTGTGTTTGCTCTTTGCAGACTCTTCTCCGAGAAGCCCCCGGGATCCGAGGCCTTGGGTCCACTATCTCCCTCTCTGCGGAGTCCGGGAAGACAGACAGGGGGCAGGCGCCTGGCCCCAAGAAGCAGAGTCCGCCCAAGAGTAAGTGGCTGGGAAGGAGGATGCCGGGGCGCAGCAGGCCCCACTCAGGGTGCCCACGCGGGGGGTGAACACAGGTGGTGGGTCTGGCTGGGCGGGGGTGGGGATGGTGAGTGGACACAGGTGGTAGATCTGGCTGGGGGGGGGCATGCAGTGAGTGTTCACAGGTGATGGGTCCAGCCCAGGGGTACCCATGCCATGAGTGGACACAGGCAGAAGGACAGGCCTCTAGCTGGACATTCTGCCCAGCACGTTCTTGCTGTTTTCTCTATATCCCACCTGGCTTGGAGCACCAAGGCTGGGTGCTCAGGCCGGGGGTGGCAGTGGACCCTGCCCCCTCCTGATCTGGCGCAGCACACCCTCACCCTCCCCATTGTGGTTCCTGGGAGTAAGAGGGACAATGTCTGGGTCATTTCCACTTTGATTTTTATTGCCTGTTTTCATTTTTGGTTGTTGTTTTGGGCCACACCCAGGGATGCTCAGGGCTGATTCCTGGCAGTGCTGAGGGACTCTATTGGGTGCCGGGAGTCAGCCTGGGTTGGCCGTGTGCACGGCAGGTGCCTGCCCCCTCTGTACTAGCACTCTGGCTCTCCAGCTGTTTTCCTTACTGTCCCCCCACACCCCTGTCACCTGCCCTCAGTGACAGGATGGAGACCACGATGCATGTTCAGATCCTTCTGGGGATTTTCATTGTCTGGGCCCAGCTTAGAATCACCACTCGGCTCCTTGTATTGAGTCTTCACCTTGGTGGACCCTAAGTTACCTTCAGAAATGGTCAGCGTCCACTATCTCTACCTTTAGGGATGGTCGGTGTCCACTCTGCCTTCAGGGGTGGTCAGTGTCCACTCTGCCTTCAGGGGTGGTCCGTGTCCACTCTGCCTTCAGGGATGGTCCGTGTCCCCTCTGCCTTCAGGGATGGTCAGTGTCCACTCCTGGCAACCCTTCAGTCCTTGCGAGGGGCTTTAGGTCGCTTCTCTGAGCAGAGTCCCCATGTGCACTGCAGGTGGGCTGTGTGGGTCTGGGTGAGCATGGGGTGCCTGGGTGCTGCCCCCACCTTGCCCACCTCTCCCCCAGGTCTCGGGTGCAGCCCCACTGCCCCTTCCTTCAGTGGCTGCATCCTAGCAGCGGGAATGGGTCAGTCAGCGCTCACCTGCTGCACTTTCTGCCCAGGACTGTAAAGCCCGGCTGTGTCCGCCAGGCTATGGGCTGATGGGCAGGTGGCCGTCTGTGGCTCCTCCCACGGGTCTCTGGCCGCCCTCTCCCCTCCCCCATGGCCCTTGGGAGTGATCTGGAGGAGGCGGGGCGGGGCCGGGTGTGGACGCTCCCCCTGCGCTCTGGCATCTCCCATTGAAGCCTTATACTCAGAGCTGCCGGCACAGGCGAGTAGCCTTGCGCTGCCCTTTCGTCCCTGTGGCCCCAGGCCCAGTGGGCAGCCCCAGCTTGTAGCACCTGCTGGTCGGTCCCTATGGCCCCAGGCCCAGCGAGCAGCCCCTGGCCTGTAGCTCCAGCCGGCTTGTTTTGACACATTCCTTCCTGAGTAGCCGCTGAGTCTTGGCAGTGCCAGAGTCAAGCCCAGGCTTCCTGTGGGCCAGCCACCCCCTACCCTGAGCCCACCAGCACCCCCAGATCCATCTCAAGTATTACAGTCGTTCTCACCTTGGGCAGGGACCCCACACACCCTGCGCCAGGCCCTCGCTTCCCTGGCGAGTGGGTGGAGGGTCTCTGGCAGCAACGGGCACTGGAGACTGGGGGCCACCAGGCCGGCCACAGAACTGCCCCACAAGGCACTCCCTGCGCCTGATGACTCGGCCTGGAGGAACGGCCAAGATGCGCAGGCAGGGGGCCCTGGAAGATGGGGTCCCCGATGACATCGCTTCCACAGCCACACCAGGCGCCCACCGGCCCTGGGACAGTGGCGGTGACACGAGTCCCCGCGGGACAGGCTGCTAGGGAGAGAACTCCGTGAGCCGGCGGTCTACCCCAGGAAATGCCCTTCCCTTCCACCTCTGGACTCTGGGGGTCCAGTGGGAGTCTGCATGGGCACCAGAGAGCCCCTCACCTCCTGCACACGTGTCTGTGGAGACCCAGGCCAGGCGCCACCTCTATGCACTGTTGGCTTCAGAAAGTTTTAGATGGCATGACACAGATGTCTCATTGTCCAGCACTCTCTGGGGACTGGAGGAGTGACCCTGGTTGCCGGCCCGCGGCCCTGTGCACGCGGGTGACGGCCCCTCTGTGGCAGTTAGTCAGCAGAAGTGTGTCAGTGTCTGCGTGTCTGTCTGGGAACATCCGTGTGTGATGTGTTTGTATGTTAGGCATATGGCTCTGTGTGTTACATGTCTGTGTTAAGTGTGCTTTATGTATGTGTCTGCTCATGTGAGTGTTGTGTATGTGTATATGTGTCTGTGTGCATCTACGTGTGTGTCTGTGTGTCTTACAGGGGATAACCAGTAACCAGCCCCCCCCCCCCCCCCGCCCGCCCCCGTGGAGGCCAGTGCTCGCTGAGCCACTGTCCACCCTGCAAGCCTCCTCTGCAGATTGCTCAGCTTCCAGCCTCTGGTAGGGCGAGGGCGCGGCCATGCAAGGGGACCTGGTCAGCCTGTTCGTGTCTGTGTCTGTCTCTTCCCTCTCCCTGTGACTTGGATTCGCCAGAATGTGGGTTTCTCAGGATGCCCCATCCCACCTCACCCCAGGCGAGCCTGCGTCTGGGTGATTCCGATGCTCGATGCTAAACTCTTCCTCTCTGTGCTGTTCCCAGATGTAGTGAAGTCAGAGGAGAGGGTCCGGCCCCCAGCCGGCCTGGCAGCCGCTGAGCTGACCAAGAGCCCGTCGCTCGAGCCCATAGGCAGGATGGTCGGGCCGAAGGCAGCTGCAGCAAAGACCACCGTAGCGTTTCCTCAGAGAGACCCGTCCCCACTGCATCCCAGCTCTGGAGCCCCACGCAGGCACGGGAGGGACACGTCCTCCTCCTCTTCTTCTTCCTCCTCATCTTCCAGTTCTTCCGATTCAGAGTCGGACGAAGAGGGTGACTTCAAGGACAGAGGCAGGGCCCCCAAGCCAGCGGCCCCGCGTCCCTATGGAAAGGGGGCACCCCGAGATGGGGTTTCGGCAGCAGACATGCGCCCACCACACATCAGCACTCCAGAGAAGCCCCTGCAGGCCACGAGAAAGGGCAGCCGGGACGCCAGCGCCGAGGCCACCACAGCTCCGCCACGCCTGGCCCAGGAGCCGGTGAAGCCCGGCAGAGGCTCCCTGGACCCAGGGCCCGGGGGGCCACACGCAGCAAACGGGGCTACCCCACGGCCACAGGACCACGCTGGCTCCAGGCCGCTTGCAGGGCCGGCCAGGCAGGTGGCGGGTGGGTCAGAGGCGCCCAGCGAGGTTTGGGCCAGTGCACCGAAACCAGGTGTGCGGCCGCTTCCTGGCGCCCGTGAAGGATTTTCCACAGACACAGCGGCAGCGGTGGCGGCGGAGCAGAGATCTGGAGGCATGGAGGCGGCGGCTGGCAGCACTCAGGGTACACCTTGGCCGCGAGCTCATGGGGGCTGGTCCATAGAGCACCCCGTGGCCCTCCTGCAGCTCCTAGACCCGAACTGCCACTTGGCCCCTGCCCCCGGGGAACGTCGGGGCATCCAGCTTGGGGCCACAGCTCCTGCTCAAGGAGGCTAAGGGCTGAGTCCAGGATGGGTGAGGTGTCCTGGCCACTACCTCGGTGGCCGCCTGCTTGTCCAGGCCTCCACGGGCTTCTCGGGTATTGGATCTTGAGGCCCAATGGGGAGGAGCCCCTTTGGCCAGGAGCTGGGGGTCCGGGGTGCAGCCGCGCCTTGTCTGCAGGGCCGGTCAGGCCCTCGCCTATGCCTCACTCTGCTCTGTCCCGTGCCCGCCCACCTGCGCCAAGCTCTCCTGTCCCGTCTGTCCTGCATTAACATGTGCCTGGCTGATACCGCTGGCCGCCGCGAGCTGCGTTCCCCCATCCCGCCCAAGACGGGCCCAGCTTCCCATGGAGACAGGGCTTGGCTGTGACCACGGTCCTCTAGAGCAGCCCTTGTCACTCCCCAGGCCCCTCCTCTCCCCGCTCGCCCTGAGTGCCCCGAGGCCAGAAAAGAATCCTGGAGCGAAGCAACGGGCAGGTGGCCGAGGGGAGTTGCTCCGACACTGGGCAGTGTCGACACCTGGCCACTAGGTACCAGCCTAACGTGGGTTGTGTTTCCCCAGGGCAGGGCACCGCAGTCTCTCAGTGGGCAGCAGCTCCAGCCAGTGTCCCTCCCTGCCCGCAGCCTCCCTGCTGGTCCCAGCCGCCTGGTGTTGCAGTGATTCATGGCTTCTGTGGCTCTACGCCCATGTGGCCCCGTGGGAGTCCGCGTTCTTGTCCTTCCGTTTCTTTAAAGCAGGGCAGGAGGGCCTGTGCTGGTGGGCAGCGCTGTCCCTCCCTGGGCACAGGAATACATAGGGCAGCAGGGCCGGAGCCCCCAATAGCACTGCTGCCCCTCAGAGGCCCCTAACCTGTACCTGCGAGCAGACCCTTCTTCCTGGACCTTGACGGGACCCCGGAGCCCCCCGCAGTGGCCCGACAGCCTGCCAGAACCAGGAGGAGGCGGGGGCCGGGGTTCCCGCGCCACAGCTGACGTTCCTTTCCTTCCGGCTAATTCGTTTGTGTTGCTAACAGACACCTTGCTTCCCTGGACTTTCCTGCGCTGGCAGGGTAGGGGTGCCACACCATTTCCCACTCACGCGTCTCTTCTCCCTGCAGAGCCGGCGCCCCCGCCCCCGGCCCCTGAGCCCTTCGACAACAGCACCTACAAGAACCTGCAGCACCACGAGTACACGGTCTACACCTTCCTGGACGTCAACCTGCAGCTGGCCAAGCAGCGGCTGCCCCAGCCCTCCTCGGGCCGAGAGTCACCACGCCACTGAGCGTCCACGGGCACGATGGCCCCCAATAAAGCTGAGCTTTAACATCCAGATTGAAGAGAAGCGGGAACCTGCCACGGCTCCGCTGTCTATGTCTAACCAGAACCAAGGCCCGCCTGAGAGAGTCCCTTAGAGAGTCCCTGAGGGTCCCGGCTCACCAGACACACCCAATCTGACAGACAGTTGCCTGCTTCCCTGCACTCTGGCCCCTCAGAACCCAGCCTAGCCCTGATCTTAGATGGGGGAGAGAGGACTCTCCAGGTCTTGGGGGCTAAGGGGGAGGACTCCCTGCACACTGCCAAGAGCTGAACACACTGTCCCTTACCAGTCTCCCGGTTGGTGCTCAGAAGTCACTCCTGGCAGGGCTTGGGGAAGCAGCTGGGGTGCCCTGGGCCATCGTCCCCTTTGTATTCTTGCATTAATGAGCTGCTGTGACCTTGAGGTCTGTGCAGAAGCTGAGGACCCGGGTGGGGGGGGGGGGGGGATCCCCTGCAGGGCCCTGCCACCATGTGGCTCTGAACTCCAGCTGTGCTAAGGTCGGGGGTTCGTGTCCAGCTGGAGCGGGCCTCAGGTGCCCCTGGCCTGGTTCTGGGCCCGGCTCCTGCCCGCTGCATTCTGTCACCTGCTCAAAGGAGCCGAGGGGGACGGGGCTGGGGCTGCGCTCACCCCCTGGGTCACTTGCACTGAAGGGGCGAGCAGAGCAGCCGCTGCCTGGCCCCTGCTGACCATCGGGTCATCAGTGCAAGCAGGCGAGACTGGCTCAGCCTGCACCTGCTCTCCACACGCCCGCACACCAGGAGGTCCAGCTGCTGGCCTGCGCACGGCCCACCAGAGTCCCCTCCACAGCACCACAAATGGTCCCCGAGCCTTCCCAGAAGGGGACCCTGAACACTGTGGCCCAGAGCAGAGCTAGAGCTGCTGGGACTGGGTTTGGCCTGCCCGTTCGCAGGTCCCTCCCTCGGCCAGCCACCCTGTGGCCAGAGATGTCTGGGTGCCAGTCCCTAGTCACCTACCCCCCTGGCCCAGAGCGGGGGAGCCCCTCAGGACTGTCTGGCCTAGCCAGCAGCCAAGCTGGAGGCCAAGGAGGTGCCAGCTGGCACGGGTTGCTGAGGCCCCCTTCCTGGGACAGGAAGTGGAGGGAGGGGTGCTCTGACTGCAACCCTCACCCACCATGGGGGCTCAGGCACCCAGGCTGGAAAATCTCCAGGGGTCCCTGGGAGCAACTGCCCCTCTGTGAGCCTGGCAATATGGCACTTGGCCAGTCATGTCTCTGCCCCACAGGGCAGGGAGACTGCTCTTAGCCTGCAGCCTTCCAGAAAGATCGACGGAGAGCCAAGCATGGCTGGAGTGAGGGGGACAGGCATGCACTTGGCCCTCATAGGAGCTGGAGGTGCAGGTGGGGGGGCGGGGAGTGGGAGTCTGAGGAGACATCCTGTCTCTACGGCGGGGCTGCAGTTAGGGGGCACTTCTGAGCTGGCCAGTCCTGACTCCCTGCCGCCAGAGCCACGTGCTGAAGCGGGCTTACTTCCGGCCCACAGGGGCCTCTTCCAAGGGGGGCCCTCACTGCACAGAGCCCCCTTCTCCAAAAGCCATGCCCTGGGGGGCTGGGGCCCGAGCCAGGGTGCAGCAGGTGGGGTGACCTGGGTTTGATTGCAGCATCCCATATCACCCCCCCAACCCCCACACACATACGCCCAGCACCATCAGGGCTGATACCCGAGTGCAGAGCCAGGAGTACGGCTCCAAAACAGAGAATGCTCTCCCTAAGGCATCCTTTGGAAAGAATCTGGTCATCTTGTCTCTTAGACTGGAGCTTGCTCCTCTGCCAGACTGTGCCAGGGGGTGAAGACATGCCTCTGGGGAGGAGCCGAGTCTGTGGGACTCCCTCTTCCCCGTGCTCCCGCAGGCTCCTCCCAACCAGCCTGTCAGGTCCTGGGAGGACTGTGCTGCCCTCCTTGCTCAGGGCTGCTATCACCCTGCTGGAGGCCCCTATGGTCCCAGAAAGTGAATCTGGGCCCTGAGGCCAAGCAGGGGCCAAGGGGGTGGGTGGAAGCCACGGGCAGGACACAGGATGCCTGAGCAGGACCCTCCTGCCCTACGCAGGGGTGAGCTGGCCCTGCACCCCCATCTTGCTCGCTGGACCCTCTGGGCTGCAGACACTCCCACCGGCGGGCAGGCAGGAGGTCTCCCCAGCAGCTTGGCCTTGGGGGTCTGTGCTGACCGCTGGACTTTGTGGGCCCACGGCCGTTGTCCATCAGGAACCCCCCAAGTGGTGGCAGATGTGCCTTGGCAGCTGGTCCTGTGCTAATAAATAGCCTTGGCACTGCTCGGGGCGCCCCAGTAGACACAGCGCCTGGTCAGCGGGAAGGGCTGAGTGCTGGGAGCAGCTTCCAGAGAGGGGACTGGCCTCTCCGTATTGCCCTGGCCGCCACACCTCTCCCCTGCCCAGCTCCCTGTGGCTGAGGGCACAGGAAATGCCCAGCCTGCTGGGGAGTCATCACAGAAGGTGGCCCCAGGGTCACTGCGCCCACTCACAGGGAGATGGACTGGAACAGGGAGGGGGGCTAAATGCAGGGAGGGAAATTAGTTACAGGGAGAGGAGGCTAGTCACAAGGATGGTGACTAGTTACAGGGAGGTAGACTAGTTATTGGAAAGGGGACTAGTTACAGAAATGGGGGACGAGTTACAAGAATAGTGACTAGTTATAGGGAGAGGAGACTAGTTACTGGAAGGGGGACTAGTTCCAGGGAAAAGGACTAGTTACAGGAATGGGGGACTAGTTACAAAGATAGTGACTAGTTACAGGGAGGTGGACTAGTTATTGGGAGGGGGACTAGTTCCAGGGAGGAAGACCAGTTACAGAAATGGGGGGACTAGTTATAGGGAGGGGAGACTAGAGGGAGAGAAGACTAGTTACAAGGATGGTGACTAGTTACAGGGAGGAAAGACTAGTTACAGAGAGGAGGATTAGTTAAAAGGAAGGAGAATAGTCACAAGGGAGGGAGGCTAGTCACAAGTATATTAGTGAGATATACTAGTTATGGTAAGGGTAACCAGTTACAGGGAGGGGGACTAGTTATAATTAGGGAGATAGGTACAGGATGGTGGGCTAGTTCCAGGGAGGAGAAATTAGTAACAGGGTGACTAGTTACAGGGAGAATGACTAGTTATTGGGAGGATTGACTAGTTACAAGGTGAGAGACTAGTTATAAGGGAGGGAGACTAGGAGGGGCAGGTTAACGTATATGTGGCCATTGGGTGGCCTCAGTGGGCATGTGGACAGTTATCAATGGACATGTCAGTTGTCATCGAGTTGTAATTAGTGGTCTGTGGTCAGTGGGCACGTGTCAATGGAGACTGGCCAGAGGGTATGTTAGCAGGCAGCGGGCAGTGGGAATGTGGTCAGTGGGTATGTGTTAGTGGTTAGTTAGTGGGCTGTGGTCAGTGGACATGGGTCAGTGGGCATGTGCCCAGCAGGCTGTTGTCAATTCCAGTCAGGCATGTGTCAGTGGTTAGTGGACTGTGATCAGTGGCACTGGTCGGCGGGTCTCAGGCTGCTCCTCACTGTTCCCCAATACTGGGCACGTTGCTCGAGACCCCAATATCTGAGGACACTGACCAGCTGCTGGCTCCATGCGAGGCCATGGGAGCTGCTGACCAGGCTGCAGCTGGACGTTGGGAGAAAAGGCACAACAGTGCCCCATGCTCCCCCCTGGTTTCTGATTCTAACCTCCAGCCTCCTGACAGCCTCAAAAGGTGCGTGTGTGGGCGTGGGACCTTCCTGGCAGATGGGACTGTGGCCACAACCCACCAGCACATTCTGCTGGCCCTGGCGGCCTCCCCCCTGCCCTCTGCCCCCCCCACAAAGTAGGTGCATCTGTTAGCGGGTGCAATGTGCAATGGGCACAGACTGGGAGGGGACAGGGATGCAGCCTCCGCGGCCAGCCGGGTCCTGGCTCTGGATTTCTCCTCTGAACACGGGCTGCCAGGCAGCTGTTCTGTCCTCCTCTGACCGTCCAAGACCCAGCCAGAGCTCCTGCCAGCACCAAGTAGGAGGGGCTAGGACAGGGATGAGTCCCAGCCCCTCTCGTTCCGTCCCCACTGGCCACTAGGGCAGCCCGGCCACCCACTGCCCTGGGCATACCACTTCCACTTCCCAGATGCCCCGCAGCACCTGAGTCCCACGGGCTGGGGGAGGGACAGTGGCCCCCCTCTGCCCCCGCTGCTCCTTAACCTCTGGCCTGGAGTGCCCATGGCAGGTGCTGTCCCCCAGGACACTGCTGCTGGGCAGGTGGACACGGGGGCACGGGGAAGCAGGGGCTTGGAGTCTTGGGCATTCCCCGCCCCCACCCCAGGGAGGGTGGAAACCACATGGCTGGGAGGTGACATAAGTCTGGTCTCCCGGGATGCAGTGCTGGGTGGGGGGGGGGAGCGAGTTCCATGAGGGGATGGTCCCCAGAACAGCAGAACAAGGCCGGAACAGCAGTAGGTCAGAGAGACGGCCTGGCAGACCTGTCACAGGGAAGGGAGAGATGAGATGGTGAGAAGATGGATCAGAGAGGGGAGGATCGGGAGATCAGTGGAGAGATCGATCAGAGAAGGGAAGGTGGGAGAGATCAATGGATGGATCGATCAGAGAGGGGAAGGTCAGAGATGGTTGAAATAGACAAATGGGCAATCATGGGCCATAGATACAGAGCGGGAAGGCACCAGACAGCCAACCCAGGATCACCGCCTGGCACCATACAGGGTCCCCAAATCCCCCACGAGTGATCCCTGAGCACCACCAGGGGTGACCCCCAAACAAAAAACAAAAGGGAAAGAAAGATGACAGATAGATGGATGGTAAGATGGGTGCAGAGACCAGCACCCAGTGGGGGCAGGTGGGAGGATCTGATCGCCAGGGGCTGGAGCCTGAGGGCAGGAGGCCTGCGGCAGGAAATCCTGGCAGACTCTGGTGGGAGGACCCACGGCATCCATGGGGCCAGGCGGCCAACAGAGTGCTTCCTCCTGGGGGAATCTCGTCTCATGATGCCGCCCGATCAGAGAGACGGCCATACTGGGGGCAGCAGGCTCTCCCCAAGTCCCCGCATGTAGGCAGATACTGGTACCACAGCGTCCACTCTGGACCTGGCCCTCACAGCTGGGTCTCAAGGCTAGGAGCTCCCTGCCCAGACCCCCAGCCTGGACTCTGGACTGCGTCCTGCCTCGTCCGAGGGCCCCAAGCCTTGGCATGCCCGACTCCTTTGCCCCCCCCATCTCTGGGGGTGAGCGCCTGGGGGGGCACCCCAGGGTCAGGTCCAGCCTGCCCTCCGCCCCTAGATCTTTAGGGCCCATGGGGTCACCTGCTCCGTCCTTCTGCTCCCCCTGGTCACTCAGCTGTTCAAGCTGTCGCCACTGCGGTGAGGCCATCACGAGCTAGAGATCGCTCTGGGCTGGGCCTGTGTCGGGACCTGAGGCTGAGTCGGATTCACCCCCTGCCAGATGCTGCCTCGAGTGGCCGCTGTTTCAGGGCCGACACGTGGCCCCTGCCAGAAAAAGAGGGACTCGAGCCAGGAGGAGGAAGGCCAGTCCATGTGCAGCCCAGGGACCAAGGTGGACAAACAAGACGAGGCAGGTAGTGGGTGCTGATGGGGAAACTGAGGCCCCGGGAGTGCGTGTGTGTGTGCGTGTGTGTGTGCGCATTTGTGCGTGTGCGCGTGTGTGCGTGTGTGTGTGCGCGCTTGAGCGTGTTACTCTTCACTCTCTCCCACTTTCTCTCCCTCCTCTTCTTCGAAACCTCCAAATAAAATCTGTTTTACTCCAAAGAAAAGAAGAAAAGGCCAAGGGTGAACTTAGCCCGTCCTGTAACAGGATGTTTCAGTCTAGAAGGGGGAGCTGTGGTGGGCTCTGAAGTGCTGGGAGTGGCCCACGAGAGAGAGGAAGAACCATCCCGGAGATTGCTCTCAGGTGGCTCACCCTGGCACCCCGGGACTGACCCCTGAGCACTAGGCCAGGAGTAGCCAGCACTGCTGGGCACGACCCAAAACCAAACCAGAAGGAAACCATCTCATGAGGATCGGGCGGGGACACGTGTGCACATGTGTGTGCGTGCGTGAGTGTGAGTGTGTGCATGCCCCTCCCAGCATGGCGCCCTCGGGTGCTGTGGAAGCCCCCACGGCCCTGCTCTGTGCTCGTGAGAGGAGGCACGGAAACCCCAAACTCTCAGTCTGGCCCGTGCCCCAGGGCCCCGCTCCCCAGCCCCGCGAGGACCCCAGCTCTCTGCAGATGGACTGCCTGGGTTCCGGGATGCCGCCATGGGACCCTTGGGATACTGCAGTCCCTGTGCCAGCAGTGCACTGGGCAGGGACAGACCTCTGACCCCCAGGTCAAGTGACAGTGGGGTAGGGCCTGTGTCCATGGCGGTGGGGTCAGGCTGTGAGAGCACTGGAGGGTCATGTGCTCAGCCCCAGGCACATGTCCAGGGAGGACACTCTCGTCTCCCCCTCCGAGACAGCAGCTGTCCAGGGCCCCACACCCTGAGTCAGCCTGTACGCACGTCCATATCCTCCGCACCCTCGACAGCAATGCCAGGAGACCCCCAACCACCCAGGCCACCCACAAGCCGGTTATACCTGATCCTGGTTTCCCTGGTGAGCTGGTTCCTGCCCCATCCCTGGCAGTGCGCAGGGCTGCCACAGTGTGGGCATGGGCCACGTTCCCAGCCTGGCTATGGCTGGGAACGTGGCCACTTCCGGAAGCAGAATGTCCAGGGCTTGTGCCAGTGCCGAGGACACCGGCTTGTGTGTGAGAAACAGCACTTTCCAGACATGTCACAAAGCGCAGCGTGGACCCCACAGTGGCTGTGGGCGCTGGCTCAGAGGGACAGGAGGTTTGTCCATGTCTCCTCAGCGCCTGGCTGATTCCTGCCTTTAAGAAATACCCACGGGGGTGGGAGGGGATGCCACCAGCAGGCCAACCCGTACCTGCGGGGCAAGTGCATCAACAGCCTGATGGTGCCTTCAGGCTTCCTGACACCCCCAAATTGCTGCTTTGCCTTTGGCCAGACTCCAACAACTTGGGGCCAAGTTTACCAAGAAATTAAACAGCCAAAAGTTAGGTATGTGGGAGCCACACCCACAAACCACCTCTGGCTCAGCTGTATGAGCTCATTTATTGGCCTTATTTCAGAGACCCATAAACCTCAAGAGATCAAAAGATGCAGTTAGGGCTGGAGGCGCAGAGGTAAGCGGGAAGCCATGACTGAGATATCCAGGCCCGCTCAGATGGGGATTGGGCCTCCTCCCCACCCCTCCCCAGTTTTCCAGTAGCTTGGCAGTCACACCCACAAACTGCCCCCAGCCATGTAATCCCATTCATAGCCAAGACCCAGAGACTATAAACTAAAGCTCCCAGAAGAGAACGACACAGAATTTCCTGAGCATTATATTCTATCCATAACAAGCAATATAAAACAAATTGTCTTTCATTGGGTTTTTGGCAGGTTTGAGTGGTGGTGGGACTGATGTCAAAATATTGAAGGTAACCAAAGTAGAGAGAGAGTATGGGGGATATTGTTTGCCACACAGGCAGGGGAAGGGTTGGAATGGGGAGCGGTGAATACTAGGGATTTTGCTGGTGGAAAATGTGCACGGGTGAAGGGATGGGCGTTTGATGACTGTATGACCAAAGCTTAAACATGAGAGCTTTGTAACTGTATCTCACGGTGTATCAAAAATGGAGGGGGGGGGAATAATAATAAAATTAAATTAACATTATGAATTTAAAAAGTAATGTGGAGTTCATGCCCAATTCAATCAGCTTAATCAATGGCTGAATAAATAGCAGTACTCCTACATTATAAAAAAAAAAAAGAAACACCCACGAGAGCTGGGAGCCAAAAAGAAGGGCGCAAACTCCATGTGGGGGCCTGGGTTCAACCCTGAATTTGCAAGGCAGAATCCCCCAAACAACCTCCGGGAGTGATCCCCAAGCATTGAGCTGAGAGTAGCCCCTGAGGACCACTGTGAGTGGCTGAAAGATTGCAGGCAAACCACACCAAGGATGGTCACTGTGCCCAGGTAAACTGTCCCCAGGTCGAAGTGGCCAGCCCGCAACCCAGATGTCCCTTCAAACCTTGGAGACCCCAGCTGGTGGCCTGCTATTGAGGGAGGTCTGCGAGGTAATCACCAAGTCCAAGTCACTCTCTGTTCCGGAGTGTTTGGGAAGATACCGTCCAGAAAACGTGCCCACCTGCTGGAACCCCAGACATGGGATGGTCTACACCTCGGCATTTTAAGCTTTTGAACCACACCTGGCAGTGCTCAGAGCTTACTCCTGGCTCTGCACTCAGGAATCAGTCCTGGTGATGCTCAGGGGAACACATGGGATGCTGGGGATTGAACCCTGTTGGCCATGTGCAAGGCAAGTGCCCTCCCCACTGTACTATCGCTCTGGCCCCTGTATTGTCATTTTATTATCATTTTACTTTTTGGCTATTGAGGCACACCCAGTGGTGCGCAGGGCTTACTCCTGGCTCTGTGCTCAGGGATTACTCCTGGAGGGGATCCAGGGGCCATATGTGGTGCCAGGGATCGAACCCAGGTCAGCCGTGTGCAAGGCCAGCATCCTGCCCACGGTACTATGTCTCTGGTCTCTGTATTATCATATAAAGTAAAAGTAAAATGATCATTTCGAACTGTTCTGGTTTTAATTTCAACTACGAGATGCTCTGGGGAACTGGGGTTGGCACTGGGCGCGTCTGGGGTCCCGTGATGGCCGCTCCTGCAGCTCCGGGACCTGGCAGGAACGCCCATCGAGTGGGCAGTTCTCTGTGCCTGTGCTACAGGGAGCAGAAGGGGAGAGAAAGCTGAAAAGTGGAAGCAAAGTGGTCTGGAAAGTCCTGGGCTCACCTTAGCCCCCTGGCTGCCCCAAAACCCTGGCCCGTGCTGATGATAAGGCTGAGACGGCAGAGATGCAGGGATGCAGGGATGCAGAGATGCAGAGACGCAGAGATGCAGACACAGAGATGCAGAGACAGAGAAGGCAGAGATGTGAAGCCGTGTGTGGCGCTGGCAGGAGCAGGACCTGGGCAGCTGCTCCAGAAAGGGTGTGGTGGCCCCCGATATTAAGAATAGATTCCCGTGTGATCCAGCAACTCCTCTTCCACCTGTCCCCCAAAGCACCGAGAGCAGGAAGTGGGGCCGAGATTCTCAGCCCCTGCTCACGGCCCACACTCAGCTACCAGGGGCCGGGTCGACCTGCGTGTCCACGCAGGGATGGCCAGAACAGACGTGCTCCCCAACGCAGGCGTCCCCGCCTGCCGGCCAGGAAGGGGAGAGTGGGCCCCCGCTGTGCGGCGGGGACAGCCGGCCTGGGGGGACCGAAGCTGTTCACTTCTCGGCAAGGCACGCTGGAGTCCACGTCAGCAGACGGGCTCCCTTCCCCAGCTGGCAGTGCACACAGAGAGTGGCCGTCCAGCGGGTGGGTGACCCCTTGGCCACAGCAGCCAGCGCCGTTGGTCGTATTTTGTCACTTCAGCGAGAGAGTCTCACCAACACCCCGCCAGGGGTGGGGCGGTCTCTGGAGGATGCGGGGGTCGGGTCCAGCCCGGTCCAGCAGGTGCGGCTTCCGTGGGTGCAGGGTGGGGGGTGCGGGAGAGCGCCCGCGGTCGGCGGGAGCCCGCAGGCCCTTCACCTCGGCCACGGGGCAGCGTCCCCCCGCAGGGTGCCGGAGCCCCGGGCAGGGCTCGCCCCCTCGGCTCGGCGCGGGGCAGGAGCGCAGGCGGTCCCCGGGGCCGGCGATGGTACGGCCCGAACCCGCCAGGCCGCGCGGTGGTGCAGCCCGGCGCGCGGAGCTCCGAGGGGGCGTGGTTCTAGGCGCGGCTCCGCCCAGGGGCGTGGCGAGCGCCCGGGGCACGCCCTCGCGCGCAGGCCCGCCTCCGGTCCCGCCCCTCACGCAGCCCCGCCCCTCGCAAGGCCCCGCCCCAGCGCGGGCCCCGCCCCCGCGCGCAGGCCCCGCCCCCGCGCTGGCCGGGCCGCGGCGCGCGCCGGCGTCGCCCTCCTCCCATTGAGCGAGGCTGTGTCGCGTGGCCCGGCGTCGGCGTGACGGTTGGACGCGGGCGCGGCACTGCGGGTCCCGATTGCTGCAGCCGCTTGTCAGTGTGATGAAGATTGGCACCCAGGTAAGCTGTCACTCAAGCGCTCCGCCGCCGCCGCCGCTCCGCCGCCGCGTCCCTATCAATCACGCCGGCCCCGCCGCCGCCGCCCGCGCCGCCCGGCTGCCCGCTGCCCGCTGGCCGTGGACGCGGGAGGGCCGCGCCGGCCGGCCGCGGCGGGGGCGGGAGGGGCGCGCTGGGGGAGGGGAGCGGCCGCGGGCGGGGGCGGGGGGCGCCGCGGGCGCGGGCCGGCGGGGGCGCGCCCGGCCTCTGTGTCACGGCGGGGTTCGGGGCCACGGAAATTTCTGGAAAGCGCCGCCGTCGCCACCGCCGCCGCCGCCGCGCGGGGCCCGCAGCGGGGCGCGCGCTCCCAACCGTCCCTCCGGCGCGGCGCGCGCCCGGCGCGGGCGGGGGCACCGGGGGGCGCGGGGGCGCGCGGGCACGGGGGCGCGCGGGCGGGGGCGGTTTGTCGGGGCCCCTGGGGGCGGGGAGGGCGCGGGGTCCCCGGGGGGCGCTGGCGGGAGGGGGGGGCCCTGGGCCACGGGGGCGCGCGCGGGCCGGGCGGGGGCGCGCGCGGGGCGGGGCGGCGGGGGCGCGCGTGCTGCTCCGGCCCTGCTCGGGGCGGCTGCCCGCAGGGGGCGGCTGGGGGCGCCCCGGGGGCTGCCAGGGCCTACGCTTGCCTCCGGCCGCCGTGGACGCGCCTTTGAGGCGGGCGCGTCCCCCGGGTCCTTTGTACCCGCGGCCCGGGCAGCGGCCGTGCCCACTGGGCCCGCGGCCCGCCGGCTCCGGCTTTGTTGCATTGTGTCGGGCCGCCCCGGGGGGTCCAGCGGCCCCAGTGCCCAGGGGCTGCCGCCGCCCGCTTTCACTTTCCCGGGTCAGGCATTGCGGAGGGCCACTTTCGCTTCTGCCCTGAATCCCTGGGCCGTGAGTCCAGCCCGGGGCAGGCTTCTTCTCTCTGGCCTTTGTCCGCCGGCAGCCCGGCGCTGGCCTGCGGTGCGGGTTGGGACCCTCCACGGCGCCGGCGGCCGGGGTCTCCGGGAAGAAGGGTGCGGGCATCGAGGGCACTGCGCGGCCGCGGCCGGGGCTTGGGCCCACCTGTGCCTCGGTCGTGCTTGCGGGGTCTCGCCCTGTTCCGAGGACAGGCTTGCTCCCGGACGGGCCGAGGAGGGGGACGGGGTGAGGCGGCGGGGGTCAGTGCGTGGGCAGTGTGGCCAGCCGGGCGGGGCCCGGGCTGCTGGTGACGAGGTCCGCCGTCGGGGACAGCTGCGCCGCTGCCCGCCCTGCTGGCCCTGCCCTCCCTCCCACAGGACGGGGCTGTGATGGGTCGCTTTCGCGACTGCTGAGGCGTCCACCGTGGACGCAGGGCTCTGGGCCCTCAGAGGGACTGTGGATGGAGACACTGACCATACTTTTCGGAACAGTCTGAGCCAAGAATTACTGCTCCTATGGTTCCTTGGGGGGACGCTCAGCCGGCTTGTGATGGTCTGTTACCAAGCCAGTCCATGAAAATTTGGGGCTTTTTTGCACTTAAAATTGTAGGAATTTGGAGCCGGAGCGATATCACAGCGGGTAGGGCGTTTGCCTTGCACATTGCTGACCCGGGTTCGATTCCCAGCATCCCATAGGGTTCCCTGAGCACCACCAGGAGTGATTCCTAAGTGCAGAGCCAGGAGGAACCCCCGAGCATCGCCAGGTGTGACCCAAAAAGTCAAAAAGAAGAAAACTAGGGGGCTGGAGCAATAGCACAGCGAGTAGGGCGTTTGCCTTGCACGCGGCCAACCCGGGTTCGATTCCCAGCATCCCATATGGTCCCCTGAGCACCGCCAGGGGTGATTCCTGAGCACAGAGCCAGGAGTAACCCCTGTTTATTGCCGGGTGTGACCCAAAAACCAAAATAAATAAAGTGGCTGCTGTTTTTTTTTTAAAAAGAAGAAAACTAGGATTTTGTTTTGCGGCTACACCTGGCTGTGCTCAGGGCTTGCTCCCAATCACTCCTGGCAGAGTTTAGGGGATGGTGGGGTGCTGGGATTAAACCACTGTGGGCTGCTTGCACAGGAGCACCCTCCCGCTCTGCCTGAAGCAGTCTAGAACTTGAGCGTTCTGCTGGGCCGTGTCCCTGCAGCCCCGGCCAGGCAGGTGCTGGCCTCGCCCATGGCAGAGCCCCAGTGCCCTCAGGTTTGCCAGGGCCCGGGGGTCAGAAGGCAGCCCTTTGGGAGAACAGCGGCTCTAGGACGGCATTTGCTGTTGGGCTGCGTCCCCTGGGTGTGGACCCTGTGTTCCCGTTTGCCACTGCGGTGAAACTCGCACTCTGGACCAACCTGCCCCGTGTCCTCTGGCCTGTTGGCTCCCCGTCCTCGCTCCTGGACCTCTGGAACAGGGAGGCTCGCATCCACTTTGTTCCTTCCGTTGTTTATTTTCTCTGCGCTGGCGGATCTCAGGGCAGAGAGGGAGAGGGGCTGCCAAGCTCTCGGGCTAGGCTCCTGGGTCCATCAGCGTCCTGCATCAGAATGTGGGGGCACGGCTGCAGCGTTAAGCGACCCCCCTCCAGCCATGGCCCCTGGCGTGGGGGTCTGTGACCCTCAACAGGCAGCTGCCCGGACCAGATTCTGTCTCACCCATGGTAAACCCAGCTGCTTTCGGGAGCAAAGGGCTGTCCTGGCCGCTCCCCGTGCACAGCCTTCCTCTAAGCGGGTGGGGCATTTGGGTCACAGCTGTCCCTGGCTCTGCTCAGAGGTCACCCTTGGTCACACTCGGGGAACCCAGTGTGGTGCTGGGGATTTGGACCTAGCTCGCACGCAGAAAAGTGTTTTTCTCCGGAATGAGCTGTCTGAGAGCTGTGCGTGCTGGGGAGGGTCTGAGGGGGAGACCGCCGAGAGAGCCCCAGCTCTGCCTAGACGGCACTTCCCTCTGCCCCCTCTGCTGCCCAGTGGCACTGGGGGCGCCCTCCCACCCTGCACCCCGCGTCAGAGCACAGCGTCTGAGCCCCAGTGCCCCAGCCATGCCCACAGAGCCTGCGCTTCCTCAGATAGACACACTGTGGGGATCAGCCGGCCGATCGATCTAGTGTGTGCCTGGGCAGGGCTCCACAGGGCTGGGCTGGGCTGGGCTGGGCTGGGCTGGGCTGGGCTGGGCTGGGCAGGGCAGGGCAGGGCAGGGCAGGGCAGGGCAGGGCAGGGCAGGGCAGGGCAGGGCAGGGCTGTTCTGGGCAGGGCTGTTCTGGGCAGAGCTGGGCAGGGCAGGGCAGGGCTGGGCTGGGCTGAGCTGGATAGAACTGGACAGAACTGGGCTGGGCAGAGCTTGGCTGGGCTAGGTTGGGCTGCGCTGGGCTGGGCTGGGCAGGGCTGGCCTGGGTAGGGCTGGGCTGTGATGGGCAGTGCAGGGTTGCCCTAGACAGTGGCCTAAGACCCTATATCCCTCCTTCACATGTTGTTTGGCTCCTGAAGTGGCAGGGAAGCACCGGGCCAAGGGCTGAGCACCGGCTGGGCCTGAGGGAGCCACCTGTGGCCCCGCCAGTGCTGTCAAAAGCCACCTCTGGGCATTGCCAGGCCCTGGGCTTCTGAGTGGTGGCACTCATTCCTGCTGGCTCCGTGGCCTCTCTGGAGGCTGTGTCCTGCCTGGAATCGTGCCTATGACACAGGGTCGCCCCATCAACGCTGCTGCTTGTATTCAGAAGGCTGCTCTCTGCACCCAGAGAGGTGGTACAAGGGTGACAGTGCTCATTGCACTGTGGCCACCCTGGCTCCCATCAGTACCACACGGAATCCCCAAGTTCGCCCTGAGGACGTCGTGTGGCCCCAAACCAAATGAAAGGGGAGGGGTAATCTTCTGAATTATGTTCCAGGTGGAGAGAATAATCAGTTACTGATCAGGTTGGCACGCGGTGGAATATGAACTTGTTCTGTTCTCGAAACCATAAAAAACATTCATGATTTTCTCCTATAGAAAATAACATTATGGGGCCAGGGTGTCATTACAGCGGGAGGGCATTTGCCTGGCACGTAGCTGACCCTGGTTTAGTCCCCAGCACCCCATCTGGTCCCTGAGCACCACCAGGTATGGCCCAAACTGCCCCACCTCCAAAGTTAAAGCATATCATACACAAAACACTGATTTCTTAGGTAATGCCCAAAAGACGTCTTCGAAGCTCTGGGTTTGAACAGTCAAGATGCCAATGTTTGCAGTGATGGCTCATGTGCCGTTAGGGTCCCCGGGACCGGCGGCCTCATGTTTCCCAAGGCGTGTGGCTTCCTCCAGGAGGCTGAGGACAGGGGACAACACCCCAGACCTTACTCGGGGTTCAGACAGACGCTCTGAAGGCCCCGGCTGTGTTTGTTACCCCAGATGGGTGTTCGCCCATCCCTGCCCCCAGCCAGCTGCCCACGCTGGTTTGTCCCAGACCCCTGCCACTCCCAAGAGTGCTGTGGGCCTGGTCTAGGAGCCATATGGCCCTGCGGGCCCCAGGTGGAGGCTGAGCTCGGGCAGTGCCCACCCAGGTGGGGGGCACAGGTCTGACCCAGTACTGTTGGAAGGTCCCCTCCTGCCCCAGGAAGGGAAAAACAAAAGAAGGCAGCAGAGAGAGAGAGGACAGCTGGGCAGGGCCACATACGGCCTCCTGAGCACTGCGGATGTGCCCCAAAACCAAACACAACAGTGACTGGGCCAGCTGCCGCCATCGGGAGCCTTCCTGATCCGAAAAGATCTGTTTCCCAGATGACCAGAATTGTGCCGCTATGGAAACGCGGACCTCCACTCCACACAGCTCTTTGGAACTGCCGACACCAGCACAGAAACCTGGAGGACCAAGGCTGGATGCAGGCCAGGGGCAGCCTGAGCAGGACTCGAGAGACCATGCTTCGGAGGGGCGGGTGACGGTAGAGTGACAGACTGCCGGCACATAGCCTGAAAGCTGGAGCCCGGCTTCCCTGAGCAGCACCCCCCTCCCGTCCCGGGTGATGGGGCACAGCCCAGCTCTGTCCAGTCCAGGGGGGTAATGGGGGCACAGCCCAGCTCTGCCTAGTCCCTTGTCCATGCAGCAGGTCTTTGCTTGGGGCTATGCTTAATGGTGCTCAGGGACTACTCTTGACTCAGTGCTCAGGGGCCCGTGCAGTGCAGGAGAGCGAGTCAGGCTCTTGTGTGCAAGGTGTGTTCCCAGCCCTGGCATGTATCGCCTTTAATACGCTCCCTAGAGAACGGGAAGATCACATGAACACAGCTCGAGAAGTTGTCGGGTGCACCTAAGCACAGACCTGGTGTTGCCCTTGGCAAGCGTGTGGCTCTGCTCCAGCAGCGGAAAGGTGGCTTTTGGCAGGAATGTTGGAGCCAGAGTGTCTGCAGCAGGGCGGGGGGGTGAGGGCTGGCGGTGGGCTCTCGAGCCCGTGCTCTTCCATAGCAGAGCAAATCGCGACTGAAGAGGAAACTGAGGAGTGTCGAGATGGTTCCTTAAAGGCTCCAGGCTGGACTGGAGCCACAGTACAGGGGAGGGCCCTTGGCTGCACGTAGCTGACCCGGGTTCAATCCCTGGCACCCCACGGGGCTCCCCAGCACTGCCAGGAGGGATTCCATCCCCAGCACCGCCAGGGATGGGCCAAAAACCAAAGATTCACAAAGTCTCCAGGCAGGGAGGAGAGAGTGAGCCTCAGACTCGCTTGCCGGTTCCTCGCTCTAGAGCATGTCGGGTCTGGCCTGTGGGCACTGGGTGCAAGAGGCCCTTGGCTGACCCCCACCGCTGCCACAGGGGAGGGAACTGGCAGCCTCTCGCGCCCTGGTGAGCAGCCAGGCGGCACCGCTGGAAGGACTGGGATGGGGGCACCCTCGGGCAGGATGCGGGACAGTCAGGGCACAGGGTGCAGGAGTGGCTCAGGGTTTCCGACAGGGCCTACGGTGTGCATTCTCGGCTGTGGGGCGTTAGGAGGGAGCAGCACCCCGAAGCAGAGGTACAGAGAACTCCAGAAACCTGCCTCAGGATTGAGCTGCGGCTTCACCGCGCGGGAGTTAACCCGAGTGACTTCCGGATGCGTATGTTTGTACATCCTGCTGAGCTAAATCTTGAACACAAAGGAATTATTAAAGTCTCAATGGCATCCCAATTTTCAGAAATAATACTCGTATCGTTATTTTGGAACTGTGTCAACATCGCTAGGAAATTAGCTTTTTAGGGTAAGGAAAAGACAAATATGACACCCCAAGGGTGGGGGTATGGTGCAGGGGTCGAGCCCTGTCTTCCATCCCTGCCCTGTGGGGGGTGTGTATGCAACGTGTATATTCATGTGTGTGAATATGCACGTATGTGACCCCAAAGCAGCCTGCAGTGGAGAGCACTGTCAGCGTATTGGCACCATTTAATGAATGACAGAGTATGCACACGGGTTACCCTCCAGGGAGGGTCGCTCCACAAGGAGTTTGCTTCACAGGAGTCACCCTTGCACGGAGGATCATGCTCACCGAAGGAGGTCATCATCCTCAGCGGTCACACTGAGGGGCTCACCCTCACGGGGGTCACCCTCACAGGGGAGTCATTCTCACAGGGAGAGCTCAATCTCACAGGAGGATCATCCTGGGGAGGGGTCATCCTCACAGGGGGCTCATCCTCCCGGGGGGGTCATAAGGGGCTCACCCTTATGGGGGTCACCCTCATGGGGAATTCTCACAGGGGGTCACCTTCACAAGAGCTCACCCTCAAGCGAGGCATCACTCACAGGATTCACAATGGGGGATCATTTTCACGGGGTTCACCCTCAGAGGAGGATCACCCTCACAGGGGGAACCATTCTCATATGGGAGGTTATCCTCACAGGGGTTCACTCCCATAGGCGAATCATTCTCAAGCTTGGGTCACTCAAGTAGGGGATCATTCTCACAGGGGCTCACTCTCACAGGAGGATCATCCTGGGGGGCGTCATCCTCACAGGGTCACCATCCTCCCGGGAGGGGGTCATTCTCACAGGGGGACCATCTTCAAAGGAGAATCATTCTCACAGGTCACCCTCACAGGGGAGTCACCTTCACAAGGGGACCATCCTCATGGCGGGGGGGTCACCCTCACAGGGGATTAGTCTCAGGGGCATCAGCCTCACAGAGGGTTGTCTTATGGGGGAATCACCCTCACATGGGGGGTCACTGTCACAGGGTTAGCTTCCCTCATGGGAATCTTTCTGTAGACATATTTTCACCTGGGGGCCCTCATGAGAAGCCACTCTGAGAACATCCCCCATTCTCTGAGGAAGCCTGAGACTCTGGCGACACAACACATGGGCCCCAGGGTTTGCCTCATGGCTGCCTAGCAGTGTCCCCTGGGAGGCTGGCGGCGGTGGCCCCAGAGAGTCAGAGGCGTCTCGCAAAGTGCAGCTTTCACCACATCATGAAATGAAAAATCTGGACCAGAGTGATAGCACCAGGCGGAAGGCACTGGCCTTGCATGTGGCTGACCTGGGTTCGATTCCCGGCATCCCATAGGATCTTGCACACCTTCAGGAGTGGCTGAAAACCAGAAACAAGGAAAATTCCTTCTGCCCTGGGGTCACCCCTGGCTATGCACGCGGGGATCACTTATGGTGGCCAACAAGGGAGACCCCCTCTTCATGTGACCCGTCCTCATACCCACAGTGCAGTGGGCTGGAAGCTTCTAGAACCAAGTCCCTGCATGCCCACTTCCTAATCTGCGGTTTGGATAGAAGGTTCTTGAACACACGAAGTCCAAGCACGTCAGCCTCTGTACGGTAGGAGCGAAGCTTCTAGAACCGTCTCATGCGCTCGCCTCTGCCTTGGCCATACCCTGGACGGGGGCAGATTGAAGACACTCTCCCCGCTGGAGGAAGGGGGGCCCTTCAGGCTTGACAGGCTGGGCCAGCGCCTTCCCGCGGGGGAGGGAAGCTCTGACTGGGCTTGCTCCCGAGGCCAGGCCTGGCAGTCTGTGGCTGTCCGTCTGTCTGTCCTTGGCTGGTTCTGCTTGCTCCTGTGTCTCCCTGGGTGAGGTCTGCAGCTTGGTTTTCTACTCTTTGAGGGATCTCTGAACTGTTCGTGGCCCCCTCAGTCCTCAGATATGCTGTTTGCTGGTTCGGGACCACCCTGGCGCAGTGGGTCTCCCTTCTGCCCAGCCGTGGGTATGCCTCTATCCTGGGATCACCCCCAGCTGTGCACGTGGGGATCACTCATGGTGGGTGTGGGGGGACCCTGTGGGATGTCCGGGGTGGAACCTGGATAGGCCAAGTGCAAGGCCAGCGCGCTCCCCGCTTTCCACCTGCTTAGCGTCCTTCCTGCCGCCCGGCAGTCCCGCCTGCCCAGTCAGTCCTAGGCTGAATCTCTGGGTTTCCCACCAGAGCCAGTCTGCTGTTCCCAGGATGGGTCGTCTTACTCACTGAGGGAGCAGGTTCTGGGGTGACCGGGGCCCCAGGAGATGCTCTGGCAGTTAGGCCTTCATGCCCCAATGGTATCAGTGGCCCTGGTGTCTGCCCTCTGGGATATCTGTGCCTACAGGCCAGGCTGGGCAGTGCCGGGAGAGCCCAGAGCCAGGGTTGCGGGATGTGCGGGGTACGGGGAGGCCGCCTTTCGTCTCCAACCCCCTTTGAAATGAAACTTCTGACCACAGCTGAGGGGTTTTGTCTGTCTGGGGGTGCCCAGACAATACCTAGGAGGGTGCCCTAGCACGGTGTGAGGGGACTGTGCGTCCCCCGCACACAAGGCCGCACTCCCGCCATTGTGAGGCCAGTTTCCTGCCGATGCTCTTTGACCCACTACCTTACGTGCCAGGGGCAGCTGAGGTGCCCACCTGGACACCCTGTGTTTTACTGACCGGTCCACTGACGAGTGCTTCCCTTCCTCGCCGTGATCTGATCTCCAGGCTTGCAGACACTTCTTGGGGAGCCCCTGGCGCGTGTGAGCAAACACTCCCGAGCTCCCGATAGCAGCGAACAGCGCGGTCTCAGGCTGGCGTCCAGCCTGAGAGCAGCTGTCTCGGCACTGCCCTCTCCAGCCCCAGAGAGGCCAGCGGCTGGAAGTCGTGCGGAGACAGCCCTCCCCAGTCCTTAGTGGGTCTTTGCTTTGGCCTGAGGCCCACATCCGGCGATGCTCGGGGCTCACTCCTGCCTCTGCTCAGGAATAACCTCTGGTGGGGCCTGGGGGTCCTGTGGGGTGCTTGGGCCTGAACCAGTTCAGCCGAGTGCAGGACACCTGCTCTTGCGCTGTGTTAGTGTCGGCCCCCAGCGATACTTGACAGAAGAGAAATTCTGGTGCCTGGGAGGGCCCATGGGTAGGGCACTCGCTGGAGGCACAGCCAGGCTGACACGGGCCATACCCTTGGGGAACCCCTGGCTCCCGTGCTGTGACTCTCTGCCCCAGGGTGTGAGATGCCAGTGTGGGAGCACCGTGTATGAGTATAGCCGTGTGAGCACTGTGTGCGAGACCCAGGGTCACTGTGCCACACCAGAGAGAGCATAGGAAGAAGGATGTCAGTCAGTCACTCAGAGGGGCTCTGTCGGAGCCAAAGCTGGAGAGACTCGTTGACTGATATCTGAACTGTCCTGAGCATAGACTTCCACAGAGACAGAGACCTTGAGTCTCTGCTGGTGGAACTGTGCTGGGCAGGACCCGAGGGCCACCCATCTGCCTGCCATCAGTCAGGTGGCCTTTCCTGAAGGCCCTGCTCTCTCTCAGCTGCTCCCGGCCTCAGGCTGTGTCCCGTGTGATGCGTAGATGCCCCTCGGGCCCAGCTGCTGCCCTCTCCCTGCCCCTCATGGGCCGGGTCATGTGGGGGCTGAATCCAGGTGCCCAGAGTTCAGGATGGTGCCGGGCAGAGGGGAGGACCCTCTGGGGGCTTGAGTGGGGTGTCACAGCGGTGGCTGCATCACTCTGGTCTCCCGGGGTCCCCCAATTCCAAAGACCCCGGTCAGGGGCGCAGACCATGTCGACAGAGATGGCGTTTCTCAGTCATCCCAAGCCCTGGGCCTGGCCTGGAGCACAGGGGACCCCTGGCCAGCTGGCCTTTGGCTCCATGGTGGCACAGGGATACTGTCACCTCCCAGAGCCTCCTTTTGCCTGACCACTGACCCTCGGCCATGCCCTCAGCTGTGCCCTCTCTCCCCTGCAGGCCCCAGAAGCTGCTCCACTTGGGCCCCACTGCAGGAGGTGTGGCTTGGCCAGGACTCAAGCAGGTGGGAGCCAGGACCCCACCCACAACCTGAAGCCCCGCCCACCGCCCTGACCCCACCCATCACTGGAACACTCCAGTGCACGGCCCCACCCACAGCAATGTCCCCGCCTACCAACCTGACCTCGCCCACAACAGTGTCCCCGCCCACCAACCTAACCCCGCCCACAATAGTGTCCTCGCCCACCAGCCTGATCCCGCCCACAGCAGTGTCCCCACCCACCAACCTGACCCCACCCACCAGCCTGATCCTGCCCACAGCAGTGTCCCCGTCCACCAAGCTGGCCCTGCCCGCTGCAGTGTCCCCGCCCAACCTGACCTCGCCCACAGCAGTCCCCGCCCACCAGCCTGATCCTGCCCACAGCAGTGTCCCCGCCCACCAACCTGGCCCTGCCCACTGCAATGTCCCCTCCCACCAACCTGACCTCGCCCACAGCAGTTCCCGCCCACCAGCCTGATCCTGCCCACAGCTGTGTCTCCGCCCACCAACCTGGCCCTGCCCACTTCAGTGTCCACGCCCACCAGCCTGACTGCACACAGTAGTGTCCCCGCCCACCAGCCTGACCCTGCCCACTGCAATGTCCCCGCCCACCAACCTGACCTCGCCCACAGCAGTTCCCGCCCACCAGCCTGATCCTGCCCACAGCTGTGTCTCCGCCCACCAACCTGGCCCTGCCCACTTCAATGTCCACGCCCACCAACCTGGCCCTGTCCAGTGCAATGTCCCCACCCACCAACCTGACCTCGCCCACAGCAGTCCCCGCCCACCAGCCTGATCCCGCCCACAGCAGTGTCCACGCCCACCAACCTGACCCCACCCACCAGCCTGATCCTGCCCACAGCAGTGTCCCCGTCCACCAAGCTGGCCCTGCCCACTGCAGTGTCCCCGCCCAACCTGACCTCGCCCACAGCAGTCCCCGCCCACCAGCCTGATCCTGCCCACAGCAGTGTCCCCGCCCACCAACCTGGCCCTGCCCACTGCAATGTCCCCGCCCACCAGCCTGATCCTGCCCACAGCTGTGTCTCCTCCCACCAACCTGGCCCTGCCCACTTCAATGTCCACGCCCACCAGCCTGACTGCACACATCAGTGTCCCCGCCCACCAGCCTGGCCCTGCCCACAGCAGTGTCCCCGCCCACCAGCCCGACCTCGCCCACAGCAGTCCCCGCACACCAGCCTGACCCTGCCCACAGCAGTGTCCCCGCCCGCCAACCTGGCCCTGCCCACTGCAGTGTCCCCGCCCACCAGCCTGACCCCGCCCACAGCAGTGTCCACACCCACCACCCTGACCCCGCCCATAACAGTATCCCCGCACACCAGCCTGACTCCCGCCCACAACCCTCCCTCAGCTCCCAGTGTCTCCCGGTAACACCCTCCCCTCGCCCCAGACTCCCCACTGCCTGCCCTGCGTTCTGCCTTCACCCCTGTTCCGCCATGCTGATTCCTCAGCCCTCCTGTCCCCTTGCTGGCCCTGCCTGCCTGCCCTGGCACTCGTCTGACCCGCACAGCACGCAGTCCACGCGGGCTCTTGCCGTGTGCACACGTGCTGATGGATACCCCGGGCAGAGAGAGGCCAGCGAGTCCTGGGGAGGGGACGAGGGCTGCAGGCCATGGGGGTGCTTGGTGCTGCCGAGTGACCCTCTCTGGGTTTCGTTTCCTAGATGCCTTGTGCTTCGGATGCACGATGATGTGAGGTGGGACGCGGGCGTCGCACACCATGATGGCAACACAGACGCTGAGCATAGACAGCTACCAGGACGGGCAGCAGGTGGGCACGGCCATGGCCCCGTGCCCGTGTGGGGCCCCATTTTCTGTGCTCTTTGCCTGTGGCCTGCTGCCCTGTGCCAGCAGTGGACACTAGCTGTGCCATGGGGCATATGTGTGATACTGCCCACAGGCTGGAGCTGGGCTGTGGCCCCCAGGGGCAGCCAGCAGAGGAGCGGGGGGGGGGGGGGGTTCTTAGGGGCACCGATGCCCCCGGGCCCCTCCTACTCCGGGGTCCCTGCTCACTCCCAGAAGACATCAGGCCCCCAGCAGGAGTCGCTGGAGGTTCTCTCCCTGCAGGCCATGGGCAGGGCTGGGTGCTTTTCTTCCGGAAATGCTGTCCCTAACATCCCTGCTTGGGGCCTGCTGTGCCTCTCAGCCGCAGCTCAGCCACTGTCCCCGGCGACCCAGACAAGGCTGTGCCAGCAGAAGATGCCCCCACAGTGGCCAGTCTTTGCCCAGGGCACCGGGGTACCTGCGGGGGTAAGGCAAAGCACGTGGCGGGTCCCCATGCCCACCTGGCTGTGCTCCGTCGACTCCTTTCTGGCGTCCTTGCTTGGGGTTCGAGCTGCCCTGGCCGTGCCAGGGATGGAGCCGGGTGGCACACGCCTGCAGGGGGTTTGTAACGGGCCCTTCGCAGATGCAGGTGGTGACAGAGCTGAAGACAGAGCAGGACCCCACGTGCTCCGAGCCCGATGTGGAAGCCGTAAGCTCGCCGCCCGTGGGCTCCCAGACCCCCATGGACGCCGACAAGCAGGCCATCTACAGGTAGGTGCAGGCCGGGGCTGTGAGAGGGCCTCGGGCCAGGTGGACGTGTGGGTGCCATGGGCTCCCTGGCTGCGTGTGGAAGGACAGCCTCGGGCTCAGATACAAAAGCTGGCTGAGTGACCAGGGGCGCTTGTCCTGGGACTGGAGGCAGGACGTGTTGTCCAGTCAGCCCAGCTCTGGTGAGGCCACGTCGGCCAACTGAAATGCGTTCACTTAGGCCCGTCCTGCTGTGTCCAGGTGGATGGCCAGGCCTCGCCAGGGAGGGAGGCAGGGCCGTGTCCTCCAGGGCCATCCACGCCGGTGGACAAGCGTGACCTGGCCACAGAGGCCTGAGTGGTGGTCGTGGCCATGGAAGTCTTGGCCAACTGGACTCCCTGTCCCGAGCCTGCCTGGTCCAGCACATCTCAAGAGTTACGGCCTACAGTGGGCAGCTTGGGGCTTGTTTGGGTCATTTTCTGGCCTTGTGCTCAGGAGTCGCTCACTCTTAGGGGTCTGGCAAGTGCCCTTCCCACTGCCCTCTGTCTCTGACCCCTCGCTGGGATGATTCTGAAAAATAAACTGGAGCAACTCAGTGCCCTGACTTGGGGGACCTGTCACAGTGACAGACGGTGCCCGAGCCAGGCGGATGCACTGAGGCAGGGCAGTGCCGGGACGCAGGATGCTGGACTGTTCGCGGGTCCCCACAGCCCCTGACCCCTGGGGACCGGCTGCCCGTCCCATCCTGTCTGCACATGGCGTGGGCGGTGTCGGTCCCCCATGGTGCTGGGAGGCCTGGGGATTGCATGGGGGAGCTGGGCCTGAGCCTCTGGGGGGTCGGAGGGCCGGGGTGTGGCATGAGGGTCCCACCACGCCCCACAGACCTCCTGGAAGGTGCAGGCGCCTATTTCCTGCCGCAGGCACCCCCTGTTCCCACTGCTGGCCCTGCTGTTCGAGAAGTGCGAGCAGTCCACACAGGGCTCTGAGGCCACCACATCTGCCAGCTTCGATGTGGACATCGAAAACTTTGTGCGGAAGCAGGAGAAGGAGGGAAAGCCCTTCTTCTGTGAGGACCCCGAGACCGACAACTTAGTAAGTGCACCTGAGGAATAGCCGTTCTTGCCACTGGGAGCCAGAGCGGGGTCTCCCACCCCCACCCCCTGGCTCCCCCTCCCCCTGAGCATTGAGACGGCTGGGTCGCCCCCGGCCTCCGTGAGAAACAGGTGCCGGCTGGGGTGGGTGGATGCTGGGTGCTGGCCACTGGTGGAGAGTGTCCAGGCCCTGACGGGAGAGTCCAGGCCCTAATAAGTGTCCAGGTGCTGGTGAAGACTGTCCGGGGAGTCCCGGGCTCCGGCGGGGGCACTGGCCTCAGGCAGCTCCTGTGGCTGTGAGGTGCCCATAGCGGACCTGGCTCCCTGCCTGCAGATGGTGAAGGCCATCCAGGTGCTGCGGATCCACTTGCTGGAGCTGGAGAAGGTGAACGAGCTGTGCAAGGACTTCTGCAGCCGCTACATCGCTTGCCTGAAGACCAAGATGAACAGTGAGACGCTGCTGAGCGGGGAGCCCGGCAGCCCCTACTCCCCCGTGCAGGCCCAGGTGCGCGGAGCACTCCCCCACACGTGTACATGCATGCACACACTTGGACACACATGCACACATGTACACCGATACACAAATGCACACACATAACACATGCACACGCACACCTGCACACACTCTCGCATGCACCCAATCCCACCCTCTCCACGCCCCCTTCTGAGCCTCTAACTCTGATCATTCTAGACGTCAGGCCCCATTGGGTACGGGGTGCAGATGCCCTTTCAGGGGCCGTACCTGAGCTGAACACTGGGACTAGCCCCCAGCACCACTGAGCGTAGCCCCAAACACACACCGTCCCCTGAGTAGCCCGAGGGGCAGCCTGGAGGCTCCCTGCCTGGCAGTGCTGGGGTGACCTGCTGAAGGAGCATGGCTGGGAAGGCACGTGAGGCTAAAAGTACCTTGGGGCTCTGTAGCTCCCACTCCTCCCCTTCCTGGGGAAAGGTCCTGGGCAGGCTGGTGCCCGCAGCAGGCCCAGGCCCGCGGCCCAGAGACACCCCTTCTGTGCCCAAAACGCTTCCGCACCGTCTGGGAAGTCAGCCAGGCATCTTGGCTAGGCGGCTCTGTCCTCTCTCCTCTCCCTCTCTCCCTCCCCCTTCCCTCCCTTCCCTCCCCCCTCCCTCCCTTCCCATCTCTCCATCGGCTTGGTCTGCGGCCTGCACTCTCTCCCGCCCCAGCGTCAGGTCAGTTATCTGCCCTTCGTCCTTCCATGCCAACTTGGGCATCATTTGGTGCCTGCAGACCTCCAGGGGCCCCCCAGCCAGCCGACCCTTCCTGTAGGCGGGGCCCGCCGTGACCCTGCCCGTGCTTTGCCCGGCAGCAGCTGCAGAGTGCCATCACGGGCACGCTCAGCCCCCAGGGACTCGTGGTGCCGGCGTCTGCGCTGCAGCAGGGGAACGTGGCCATGGCGACCGTGGCAGGTAGGACGCCAGGGCTCTCGCGGGGGCCCCACGCTGGGTTGGAGGGTATCGCTGGCCGCGGCCAGTCTCAGGCTGCTGGGCGCCCGCTTGGGCCCCTCCCAAGTGCCGCAGCTGTGGGAACTGCATTCACCCCATCTATGAGGGTGCAGCAGAGGCCTCACGAGTCCTCACAGACCAGGCTTCTGGGTGTGTTCTCCGCGTGTCTGGAGTCATGCTGTGATGACACTAGCAACTAATGATGCAGTTCCGAGGTCGCCATGTGGCACCACAGCCACCAGAGAGACCCTCACTGAAGTGCATCTGGAACATGGCCAGCTGGGCTCAACCCCGGACCCTGGCCCCCAACCCAGTTCGCCATCCCGACCTCGCCTGCCCTATCGCACCCCACCCAGCAGTGCCCAGGAAATCCAGCCAGGCGTTGGGGTGCCTCAGGGCCCACCCTGCCTCAAACCTGGGCCTCCTGCATGCAGGCACGTGCTCAACCCTCTGAGGCCCTGCCCAGCCCCTTAGGAATTGACTCCAGCCCTGTAACTACCCAGGGCCGTGAGGTCTCGCTGCCCGAGGGCCAGGCCTGAAGGGGCCCAGTTCCCCAACACCCCTGCCAAGGGTCTGAAGCGGGTCTGAAGTGGCTCTTCCCTTGCAGGCAGCACCGTCTACCAGCCCGTCACAGTGGTCACGCCCCAAGGCCAGGTTGTGACCCAGGCCCTGTCGCCCGGGACCATCAGGATCCAGAACTCTCAGGTGTCTGTGAACGATGCGTGGGGCGGGTGGACGCTGGGGGGTCGAAACGGGGGTGTGGACACTGTGGGGGGGTGGACACGGGATGGAAACTGTTGGGGTGTGGACATGCAGCACGGTGTCGGGGGAGGGAACAGTCTAGCTCTAGGTTCTCGGGCTCCCAGTTCCCCTGCTCTGCCTCTGTGCGCAGCCTAGAGGGGTCTGGGAAGCCAGAAGCAAACAGTGGGGGCTGCGTAGACGCGTACTTCCCAGGGGGCCTGGAGAGGCCCACGGATCTCCTGGGCCTAGTGGGCATGTCACACATCACCCACACAAGATGCACATGCAGCACAGACGCATGGAACACATACATCACAGATGGGACATCACACTCATGTAACTCTCACATATTCACATGTGTACTCCCCTGCTCCTGCACTTCTCTGACATCCGTCCATACTCACGTGCACACTCACATTCAACTCAGACCCTCAGGTGCACCCGCCCCTACACATGCACTCACACTCACTCTCACACTCACACACGCACACTTCACTCTATAGTCACATGCACACCCACACAGCCTCATGCATTCACATCCACACGCATTCACACTCATGCATTCACTCACAAGGGTTCAGTCACTTCTCACATTCACACACACCTACACACATTGACACACACATACACTTACACATGAACTCATACACACCCATTCTTACACACAATCCACACTCAGATGTTCACATTCACTCACACACACTCATTCTTACACACTCACAGTCCCATTCACTCACATTCTTCTTTTTTTAATTGAATTACTGTGAGATAGACCATCACAAAAGCTCCTTATGACTGGGTTTCAGTCATCCAAAGTTACAACATCCATCCCTCCACCAGTGTACGTTTCCCACCAGCTATGTCCCCAGTTTCCCTGCTACCATCCCCCTACATCCCCCCTTCCTTGCCTGCCTCTATGGTACTAAGAGGTGATTGTTTTTGTTCAGGGCGTCCAATGTTTTTATCTGGAAGGTATGGCTGGAGTAGCCTTTTTTACCAGGTGGCAGCTTTGGGGGGTGGACGTGACTGTTGGGACTTCCAGAGGAAAAGGGATGTGGGGGGAAGTAGCCCATTCTAACTCTGAGGAGGCCTGGAGGTTTCAGTCACAAAACCCACATGCCCAAATTTTCAGCAGACTGTATCTTGGTGAGGTCTGTCCCAAGAGAGTGGAGTTTGGGTGGGGCATGGTGGCAATTTGGGTTGTGGGAGCAAGCGGCTGCCGGGGCACTGTCTGGGCGGGCACCAGGCAGACCCTCCCCTCTGATCTACCCCAGTCTGTTCAGCCTTGCGCGGGTCCGAGTTTAACTTTGATCTGTTTGGAGGTTTATTTGGGGGTCTCTGAAGCAAGGCCAATAAGTGAGCATGTGGGGCTGAGTGGAGGGGGTTTGTGGGCATTTGTGGGTGTGGCTACACAGACCTGACTCTTGGCCCTTCAGTTTCTCGGGAAACTTGGTCCTGAGTTGCAGGGTCTGGCCAGAGGCACAGTGGTAGATCTGGGGTGCCCAGAAGCCTGAAGGCGCCCTCAGGCCTCTAATGCCCTTGCCCGACGTGTCCAGGTTGACCTGCTGGCAGTGCGTGCCCCTTGGCCCAGGCAGTGATAGCGGCAGCAACCCAGCAGGAACCAGGTCCACGGCCAGGGCTGCTGCGGTTTGCAGGCTGGCACTCAGGCAGGCTGCAGCCACACAGAGCCAGCCTGACGGGGCACATGCCCATCCCGGGGCTCCAGAAGGTTGGCACAGGGAGGTTTTCCTCCACAGCATGCCGCGGGCAGCCAGCTAGTCAGGGAGGGGGAGAAACGGCTGAGCCATGGGTGCAGCCGGCGGTTTTTAGTCTTGGTGCGGCTTCTGGGCCCAAAGCAGGCACCCAGCTGCCACTCAGCCACCCAAGCCAGCCCTCGTGGTGGGTCCTTGGGGTCCCGCGGCAGCTCCAGGCACTAGGCTGGCCCTGAACTGACACATCATTCCCGCCATCATGGAGTGTCTGGGGTGCCCGCACCTGGCTCGGCAAGGACCGTGTCTGTGTTTGCCCCTTCCCGGGGCAGCTATGTCCAACCTCCTGCCCGGCCCTGCCCAGCAAGGGTGCTCCCACCCCCTGTGGCCGGTCCCTCTGTGTCATGGGGAGATCCAACACCCCTGTCGCTCCCTCCCTTGGCTATTCTGCAGTCGTCGTGTCGCCCTGCCCTCCCCCCCCCCCCCCCCCCCCCGCTTCCAGTGCAGTCTGGCCGCCCAGTCTGGGCCCCTCTGGGGAGGTCGGGGCCGGGGCCTCCGTGACTGGGGCCCTTGTGGCAGGAGCAGCCGTGGGGAACCGCGGGACTGAGCTTTCAGGTCCCGGCCATGGGCCTGACACGTGTCCCCGCACAGCTACAGCTACAGCTGAACCAGGACCTGAGTGTCCTGCAGCAGGATGACGGCTCGGCCAAGAACAAGAGGGGCGTCCTGCCGAAGCACGCCACCAACGTCATGCGCTCCTGGCTCTTCCAGCACATCGGGGTGAGCGCAGGAAGGGCGGGCCAGCCCGGCTCTCGGCACCCCCCAGTCTGTCTGTGTCCTGCCGTCTACACCGGGGCATCCCTCAGAACCTGAGCTGTCCCAGAGCGGTGGGCACAGCGGTTGGGGGCTGTCGGGGGGGGGTGCCAGAAGTCACCCCTCCCGACCCTATCTGCGGGGACCCCGGGGTCGACTCCAGCATGCGCTGCCCCTGGCCGCAATGTGAGCCCCTCCCTACAGCACCCCTACCCCACGGAGGACGAGAAGAAGCAGATCGCGGCACAGACGAACCTCACGCTGCTCCAGGTCAACAACTGGTGAGCTCGAAAGCAACCAACTGCCTCCGGCTGACAGACAGGCCTGTCCCCCACTCACTCAGCCCCTCAGACGGCGCTCAGCCCCCACTGGACGGTTCCCAGCTCCCCTCGGATAGTGCTGCGCCTGCGTGGCTGTGTGTGATGGCTGCACATGGGTGTGGGGGGCCCCTCTCTCTGGAGGCCAGTTGTTCCCCCACCCCATTCATGCTGTAAAGTGCCTTGTTGGGGTGCAGAGCCAGGTGGTGACACCGGCAGCCTCATGCCCACACCCCATCATCCCTGCCCTGGCCTCCTGCATCACTTTGCTCAGGGCTGAGGGGCGCATGTGCTCTGGGCAGGCTGGGAAGCAGTGACATGAGGTGGCCACTGTCCTGACAGTCCTCATGCTTGCCCAGGTTCATCAATGCCAGGAGGCGCATCCTTCAGCCCATGCTGGACTCCAGCTGCTCAGAGACACCGAAGACAAAGAAGAAGACAGCCCAGAACAGGCCCGTTCAGAGGTTCTGGCCTGACTCCATCGCGTCTGGTGCCACCCAGCCGGCTCCCAGCGACCTGGCCATGTCGGAAGGTGGGTGTTGGGCATGTGGGACCCACCTGACCCCCACCATGCAGCACATCCTAGTCCAGGATGCGGCCTAGGGGAGACCCCCAGGCGCCTGCCCACCTGCTGCTCTCCTCAGCCCCTCTGGGGGCGGTGTGGCTTCCTCTGCCCCCCCACCTAGGACAGCCTTTGGCCTGTGGTTCTCTCCCTGAGAGTCTCTGTCCTATGTACCCCAGACCCACCCCCCAAACGCCCACCTGAACACACCCCATGTACACACCTACACATCCCCCGCATACAGCCTTCCCCGTTGCATACAGACTACATACACTGACACTCCTCATACACCCACACGCGCACACGTGCCCACACATGCCCACACATGCCACATGCACCCTCACACCTTCCAGACCGCTCAGCAGGACCCGTCGTGTCCCCCAGCCCCGTGGCGGGCCTGGGCCCCGTGCGCTGAGCGCTGGCCCTGCCGTCCGCAGGCGCCGTGGTGACCATTGCCACGCCCGTGAGCATGAGCGTGGACAGCCTGCAGTCCTTGTCCTCGGACGGCGCCACGCTGGCCGTGCAGCAGGTGATGATGGCGGAGCAGAGCGAGGACGAGTCAGAGGACAGCACGGGGGACGGCGGCACGGGGCTGACCCCCGGCCACATGAGCGGGCTGGTGCTGGAGCACAGTGACTCCCTGCAGTAGCGCTGGCCGAGCGCGGGGTGGAGAGTCAAAGGGGGGTTCCGGGCGGCGGGTGCCCGGCCCCGGGCTTCGGAGCAGGCCTCAGGGCTGGGCTCGGCCCGGGGCTTCCAAGGAAGCTTCTGCACCTTAGGACAAACTGCCAGTGGGCGCGGCTGCGTGCAGGGAGCACGCCGCCCGCCCGCCAGCCTCTGCCATTTGCTGTATGTAAAAAGAAACTCCTATTTTTACCTTGCTGGAATTATTGGATAAAAAGCTATTTTTGTAAATTGGTTATGAATTGGATCATGACTATATTGAGGATAAAATTTCTAGAGAGGAAATGACAGGCGCTTCCAGTTTCAATGTGGATGTTCTGTGCGGACCACATTGGAAGACCCCACCCAGAGGCAGCTGGCCAGGGGGGCCCTGCCCGCCCTGCAGCCCCTCCTCCCAGAGGGTGCCTCACGCCTGCTCGGAGCCTAACTGCCGTCTGGTGAGTTCGGGCTGGTGAGTGCCGGGCGCTGCTGATGGACATGTCTGGCCCAGAAGCGACTCCCGAGCGCTGTCTGGGTGTCCCGCAAGGACAGAATGGCTACCGAGTAGACTCTGTCACAATCTCTGATGTCAACCCCCAGCTCCGAGCGGCCTCACGGCGCTGGCCTGCCCCGGGGGCAAGAGGAACTCTGGGTGTTGGTTTCTTTCCTCAGAGCTGTAGAGTCAGGGGGCTCCAGGAGGCTGTGCCCCTGCTCCAGGGAGCCCCAGGGGCATGGGGTGGGGCGCAGGGGGAGTGCTAAGCTGGAGCCACTTTGTTCTGGAAGGACCCGTGGAGCAGGCCTGGTCAGCGCAGACAGACCGACAGACACACACCCATCCTGCGGACTTAATCTCAGCTGACTGGTCGGACTATCAGAACACGGCCACCCCAGCCACCAGCTCCTTAGCTGGGCACGTGGATGCCTTTGCGGGGCAGGGTGCGGAGGGAGGAGGGGTGCGGCCAGACGGGCTGTTGTGGGAACCCCGAGTTGCTTTTCATTTCCCTCCAGCCTGGATGTGTCAGGAAAGTGGAGAGGCTCGTGCTGGGCGCGGGAGGGCCCGGCCAGCCGTGCAGACTGTAACCACCCTCTTGTTTGTGAAGCAACTAGTCTCAAAACACGAAAATCCAACACACCTCTTGGCACGTGTTTGCTGTTCAGATCTGCCGCCTCACTCCCACAGCCATGCTCAGTCAAGCCGCTCCACTGCGGCCACACTTGGGAGTGGACAGGGGGTCTTGGGCTTCGTCGTGGGCAGCAGCTCCTGTGATAGCCTCTCCTGCACTCCACAGCACTGCTCTATGGCGCCAGCTCAAACACGCCAGGCTAGAGTCGGTGCACAGCCCTGGGGCCAGGTGCCGGACTAGCACGCATCACTCTGTGTTCCAGCTGAATGGACGAGTGGGCGGGCAAGTGAGTGGATGAGTGAGCAGTGGACAGAGGGTACTGGATGAGTGGCCCCTTCAGGGCATGCCAGCCTGTCCCCCCATAGGTTGGGCTGGTCTTGACTCTGGTCTGCCTGCAGGGCCCATGGTGGGAGCTGCCCAAAGCCTAGAACCCCACCCTGGGCCCCTCCCTCTGCAGCCTGACTGGGCAGGGGCCTGGCCTGTGCTTAGCCTGCCCTGAGACGGTGTCCCCTCATCCCAAGTAGCTCCTAGACTCGTGGCTGCGGAAAGGGTGGGACGGACTTGGACTTCCTGGGCTGAGCCCGGGGCCAGCCCTAAGCGCAGGCCGCCCCGTCCTGCCCCTGTGGGCAGAGGCCCCCACCTCGCCCATACCAGAGCAGTTCCCTGAAGCGGGATAAGCTGGACAGCAGCCCCCACCACACAGGTTTGGGACAAGGCCAACAGCATGGAGGATAGTGGGTGCTGCTGTGCTGGGCAGGGCTGCAGGAGCGGACAGGCTGTGTGTGGCTCCCAGGGCATGCGGTCGAGTACCCTCAAGGCTGCATCCAGCAGGGACCAGCTGTTTTCAGGGTCACCCAGAGGCACCACATGCCAGTACCTGGGACAGCCAGTGTGTGTGTGTGTGTGTGTGTGTAGCATGTCTCACCATGTGGTCTCTGTGTGTATGTAGAATGTGTCCGTGTGTCTAGAATGTGTCTATGTGGAGTGTGTTTAGAATGTGTGTGTGTGTAGAATGTATCTGAGTCTATGTGTAGAATGTATATAGGATGTCTGTTAGTGTGGGTCTGTGTGTAGAAGGGGTCTGTGTCTGTCTCTTCGTGTGTGTGTACAAGGGGTGTCTGTCTCCGTGTGGAGTGTGTGTGTAATAAAGTTTGTCTCTATGCCTATGTTTTTTATATCATTCGCGGCCGCGCGACATCTTATGACATCTCATTCCTACTTTGACAAACTGGCAGGCTACCGAATGTAGCCTGCCCACATGGCAGAGTCTGGCAAACTCCCCATGGCGCACCCAATATGCCAAATACCAGTAACAATGATGGGTCTCATTCTCCTATAGAGCCTTGAATATAACCTCAGGGCCAGGATGAAGGATACATTACTGGGGCCTGCTCGAGGCAATCGACGAATAACAGGATGATCTGTGATCTATGTCTATGTGTATGTGTGTAGAATGTGTCTGAGTCTGTGTGTAGTATGTAGCATGTCTCTCGTTAGTGTGGGTGTGTCTGTGTGTGAAGTGTGTGTGTAGAAGGGGTCTGTCTGTGTCTGTGGTGTGTGTAGGAGGGGTCTGTGTGGAGTGTGTGTATAGAAGGGGTCCATGTCTGTGGAGTGTGTGTGTAGAAGGGGTCTGTCTGTGGTATGCCCTGGAGGGAAGGTGACCTCCTGCTTGCTGGTAGCAGCGTCAGCAGTGGCTGGCACTCAGGCAGCTGTGTGGGGTCCGGTCCTGAGGTAGAGATTGAGGGGGCAGAGGGGAAGGGGCTGGGGCGGGCTTCTCGGTCACCTTGGAACTGAGTCAGGCTCGGAGGATTTGGCTGCACCCTCGGGGGGAGGGGGGAGGGAGATAACCTGCTGTGAGCAAAGGGTGACCCGCACAGAGCAGCACCGAGCTCTGCTGCCCAGGGGCACCAGGTGGGGTCAGGACAGTGATGGCTGGTCAGAGGCTTCCCAGGCTCTGGTTCTTCGGACATGGGGTGGGTGGGGGGGCGCGGGACAGAGGGTTCAGACTCTGGAGTCTAAGAACATAGATCCCTGGCACGAGAGCCAGAGGGTACTGACAGTGGAGGGACCGCACCCGGGCTTGCCTGCAGGATGGGGCCGTCACAGGCACCACTGCTAGGAGTGACCCCAACACACAACAGAAGAGGGTCCTTGGGGCTGGAGCAATAGCACAGCACGTAGGGCGTTTGCCTTGCACGTGGTCGACCCGGGTTCGATTCCCAGCATCCCATATGGTCCCCCAAGCACTGTCAGGACTAATTCCTGAGTGCACAAGCCTGTGCACTGCCAGGTGTGACCCAAAAGGAGAAAAAAAAGAGGGGCTGGATAGATAGCACAGTGGGTAGGGCGTTTGCCTTGCACGCGGCCGACCCGGGTTCGACTCCCAGCATCCCGTATGGTCCCTTGAGCGCCGCCAGGAATGATTCCTGAGTGCAGAGCCAGGAGTGACCCCTGTGCATTGCCAGGTGTGACCCAAAAAGCAAAAAAAAAAAAAAAAAAGAGGGTCCTTATAGAATGTTCAGGATGCTGTTGGTTTTTAGGCTCCCCCAGCTGTGCTCAGGGTCACTCCTACTGGGGCTTGGGGGACCTGACCTGGAGCCAGGGACGGAAGCAAGTCAGCATGTACCAGGTCAACACCTTCCCATCTATACCATCTTCCCGCCCCCTGGACGTTCTCAAGGGGACACGCCTGCACCCCTTCCGGGTGTTTCCGGGGTTCATCTTCTGTCCCCACCCCCATGTCAAAGCACCTGCAAGCTGGGCCAACCCCATTCTGGGACCTTCCAGGGTGTCTTGGCAGGCCGGAGTGTCCCCCACTGCCCTGGGCCTTGCTGACACTCCTGTCTCAAAATGGCCTCCCTGGTCACTTCTTCCCATTCATTGTCTTTCTGGAACTGTGATGGGTCGGGGGTTGGGACTCAGCTCAGACTCGAGAAGCAGCACAGGCCTTGGGCTTGGCCGCGCACTGCACCCACGTGGTCCCGCAAGCCGAAGCCCGTGTGGGACAAGAGCCCATAAACGACCCTTCAGAGGCAGCAAAGCCACTCGGGGAGTCGCAGCCTGCCAGGTCGGGGCCCTGACACCAGCTGTTCCGGGGCTCCCCCCAGGCGCGCCGAAAGCAGCCGTCACACAGGGCAGGGCACCCCAGGCTGGGGCAGCGGCTAGGGAGAGCCCAAAAGCTGCAGCAGCCGCGCCCGGAGCTGAGGGCGCCGGGAGGGGGGCTGTTGTGTCGTCCTTTAGCTTCGCGGTGCTGGGCCAGACCCCGCGCCAACCGCCTGTGCTCTCCCTGCCTGCGGGGTCTTACAGGGAGGAGTGGGGCGAGGCCAGGAGGCCAGGGTGCGGGTGGCGGGGTCCCCGCCTGTCGCAGGGGTGCGGCGCTGCCGGGGCGGGGGCGCAGGGTCCCTGCCTGTCAGAGCGGGGGACGCCGGGGTGCGGCGGCTGTCCCGAGACAAGGAGCTGGACGCGGAGGCCCGAGCGTGCAGATCCGTTTATGTGCGGCCCCGAGGACAGAGGGGTGGGTCAGCGCTGCCCACGGAGGGACGCGCACACTCGTCGCAGCTGAGAAGCCCCGCCCCGCCCCGCCCGGCCCCAGCGGAGCGCTCGCAGCCCTTCGCCTTCTAGAGGCTTCTAGAGGCTTCCCGAGGCTTCCCGGACTCCCCACAGCGCCGCTGGTCGGTCTGGGTCGGTCCGGGGCTGGCCGGCTCCGGCGGCCTAGCCGCTCCCCGGGCGGCTCCCGTCCCTCTCGCCCGCGGCCACGAAGTCCAGCAGGTCGATGGCCGTCACCACCGCGAACACGCCGTGTCTCTGGGTGTCTGCAGGGGAGTGGGCGTCACCGCGCGCCGGCCGGGAGTCGCGTCCCGCCCCGGGCGCCGCCCGCCCGCGGGTCTGTCCGTCCGTTGGTCCCTCAGTCCGCCTGTCTGTCCGTCCGCCCGCCCTCCCAGCGCCGGGCCCGGCCACGCGGGCGGGGCGGCGTCGGAGCCGCGAGGACATGTCCCACCTCTCCCGGCCGGGCCGTGAGGCGGCGCCGGCTGAGGGTCCCCGCCCCGCCCCGCGCCCCACTCACACTGGATCTGCTCCTGCAGCACCAGGGCGAACGGGCTGCTCTCCAGCACGCGTGACAGCTGGCCCAGCGTGTCCGACGGCCGCACCTGCGGACGGCCGCGTCAGACGCCCGCTCACACTCACCCGGGGCGCGGGGGGTGATGCGGCCTCTCCCCGAACATTCTAGAACCTGCCCAACACTCAGACGTGTGAGGTTCGTGCGCAGCACCCGGGTGGGGCCGCGTGCAGTGAGGCGCGTGCGCAGAGCTGGGGGCGGGGCCGGAGGGTCGTGTGCACTCTGGGGGCGGGGTTATGGCTCGTGCAGCACCGTGGGCGGAGCCTGAGCCCAGGCTCGCGTGCAGCACTGTGGGTGGGGTGCAGGTTGAGGTGCGTGTGCACCATGGGCGGAGCCAGGTAGGCTCGTGTGCAGCGCCTCGGACAGGGCTGAGGCTTCCATGGGGTGCTGTGGGCGGGGTCGAGGCTTGAGTGTGGGGGCCGTGGGCGGGGCCGAAGCTCAAGCAGCACCATTTGCCATAGGCGGGGCTGGGGCGTGTTCCAGCACTGGGGGCGGGGCTGGGGGCGAGGCCAGGCGTGTGCAGGGCCATAGGCGAGGCCAGGGCTTGGCACTGGGAGTGGGGCTGGGGGCACGTGTGCAGCACGTGGGCCTGCCAGCCACGTGCTACCAGGCCCGCTCGCTGCAGCCCCCCTACCTGCTTGAACTGCTTCTCGAGGACGCTGCGGACCGGGTCCCCGGGCTGCGCCTTCCCGGCCAGCAGACATGACAGCATGTTCCCCAGCGTCACCACGCCCAGAATCTCCCTGGGGAGAGGGACACGGTCAGCGCCAGCCCTGCAGCCCCCCGCCATCCCCCACGCCCCCCCAGACGCACCCCGACTCGTCGAGCACCGGCGCCTGGTCGAAGCCCTTCTCGCGCAGGATCTTAATAGTGTGTTCGCAGAGCACCGTGGGGAGCACCGTGAGCGGCGACGCCAGCTTCAGCTCCTGCACCTTCCTGTGCCACCACCTGCCGGAGACCAGTCACAGGGCTCAGCGGCCTCCCGGGAGCGCAGGGTCAAGGTCGTGACGGGCACGGGCGGGACTGCTCACCATGGCTTCTTCCCCGCCAGGGCCGCCTCCTCCAGGAAGCCCTTCTGCTGCATCCACTTGTCGCTCAGGAACTTGGACCTGCAGGAAGGGCTCCTCACTGCCCACCCTGCGGCCCTGCCCCCACACCCCACAGCACTCCGTGTGCGAGAGCCTCCGTCGGACACCAGACTCCTGCGGGCTGACAGCCTTGGTGACCAGGACATAGGATGGCTCCTAAGCTCAGTGTCACGGCAGGTTTCTGCCCCTGGGGTCCGGTGGGACCCCTCCCCACCCAACGCAGCAAGAACACCCTGCAAAGCACGACTGTGCCTGCACATGCACACACACGTACACATGATCACACACATACTCACATGCATTTTATACGTATATACACTCAAATTTGCATACACGCATGCACTCACATATATACACATGCACCCATACACACATGCACTTACCTCACTCACAAACGTATGCTCACGCACTCACACTTGTGAATACTGACTCACTGACCTCACACACCAGTGCCCCACAGTGCTTGCACTCAACTCACACGTGCACACACCTCACATGTGTGCACCTGCTGACCCAGCATATGAGACACACAGTAGAGTTAGTTCAGTGCTTCTTGAGTCACCAGGAGTGAACCCTCCCACCTGGGAACTCCCATGGGCGGCCCAAGCACAGTTGAGCCCAGTGCAGGAAGCCTGGGGTACAGACGAGAGGGGGACAGGGGTGCCAGCTCTGCTCCCCGGAGGCCTGCTGCCCTGGTGAAGTGGGTGGTGGGCGACCCAGCGCAGCTGTGAGCTGCTACGTGGGGGGGCTGCCTGAGTCGGGGAAAATGGAACTAGGGGCGTGGCCAAAAGAGCTGTGGTCAGGTACAGGGCGTGGTCTGGGCGGGACAAGGGCGTGGTCTGGGCGTGCGCAGGGCGGGGGCGAGGCCTGACTTGCATGGAGCTGGGCCACTGTCTGTGCAGGGGCACGGTCTAGCCTGGCCGGCAGGAGCTGGGCACCACTCGAGGGCACTCACATGTAATTGCGCACAGAGTCCGGCAGAATCACCACGCAGCGCTGGCCTTCTTGCAGCTCCTGGGCCACCTTCAGCGCCGCCGACACGGTGCTGCCCGCGCTGCCGCCTGTGTGTGGGGACAGCCCGTGAGAAGCGCGCTCTCCTGCAAGGGCCCTGTGCCCCTGTGGCTGGTGGGCTCTCAGGGTCGCTGCAAACCCTCCTGGAGCGCACAGACCTGGAGTGAAGGGGCTGCAGGTCCTGGAGGTGGCGCCCAGCCCAGCCCAGCACTGCCCACTCGGTCATGGGGTAAATCCACTGCCAATGTATCCCCACTCCCGGGGGGAGGGGGTCCCTGCCTGCCCCCCCTCACTTCCGGGGAGAGGTGTCTCTGCCCATCTCAACCCTCACCCCCAGCAGGGGTCCCCGCCAGCCCCTCACCGCACAGCAACCCCTCCTTGGCAATGAGCATGCGGGAAACCGCAAAGGACTCCTCGTCGTTGCTCTTGATCCACTTGTCTACCACCTAGACGGGACAGTCAGCATGGGGGACAGTCGGTATGGGGGACAGTCGGCGTGCGGGACAGGCATTAGGCCCAGGAGAAGCCCCTGCTGGGGGCTACAGGCTGACCCTGAAACCCAGGGTCCCTCCCGTGTCCCCTGCAGAGCCCTGGGACTCAGCCCTGCGGCCCCATGACACCCTGGAAGCTTCTGCACCACCCTCCTCTGCCACCTGTGCCCTCTCAGGATGTGCTGGGCACTGGGCACCTCAGGCTGCCACCTACCGCCCTGTCCAGCACCGTGGGCACAAAGTCGTAGCCGATGCCCTCCACTTCATACATTGTCAGGTCCGTCTGGTTCAGCTCCTCGGGCTGGGCCAGGATGGAGCCTTCGGGGTCCACCCCAATGATCTAAAGGGACGTGGGCTCAGGGCCGTCTTTGCCACACGTTCCGCAGGCCGCAGCCCCTCTGCCCAGGAACCACACCCCGCCGGCCTCGAGCTGGCTATGGACAGGGGTGCCCTTGGGCCGGCACTCTAGAGTGACAGCCGGCACACCACACAACTCTGGAAGCTCCTTCCCACCCCACTCAGTCCCCCTGGGGCAGACACAGAAGCTGCCCTCAGGGTCCGGCTGGTGGGGCTCAAGGGGCCTCTGTGGTGCCAGTGATGGAGCCAGGACAGGCCGTGCAAGGCCAGCGCCCGTCCACTGTCCTACCATTCCAACAGAGCCAGACTCAGAACCCAAACTCGGAACAATCCTTGACAGGCACTCACATGGTCCATGCCACCCCACCGTAGGTGGCGGGAGAGGTGCACACACGGGGTCCACAGCAGAGGCTCAGGCTACTGAGTAGGGACCACCAAGAAGCGCTGTCCACTGCTGCCAGCCTGGCCCCGCCCCCGTCCACCAGCCAGCCCTGGTCGTCCACTCACTTTGCAGCCGGGGCACTTCTCCTTCAGCTTCCTGGCGATGCCCGTGATGGTGCCCCCGGTGCCGGCCGAGGCCACCAGCATGTCCAGCTTTCCTGGAGGGGAGGCCCGCCAGGTGTCCCTCCTCAGACTCCGAGGAAGCCCCGGCCACACCCAGGCCTCCACAATTTCTCTGGGGTGGGCCAGGGCAAGGTGGGCCCAGGTGGCTACAGCTGCCTCTGGGACCCCTCGCTCTGTTCTCAGCACACAGCCCAGCCTGGGTGGGCACCAGGCCAACACACAGGGCCTGTGCTGCTGAGCCAGAGAATTCTCTCACACACCCGGGGGGCAAGGCCAGCCCTGTGCCAGCTCCCGGGCACAGACCCACACTGTCCACACCAGCCCCCAGCTCCAAGCAGGGAGCGTCTGGGCAAAGCCCGCCAGCCCCACGGGTCTTGGCATGAGTTCGTGGGAAAACTTCCCAGGAGCGTCCTGTCTCAGGGGTGAGCTCATGTCAACGCGGACAAGCCCAGGCTGGAACTCCACCCCCGGGAGCACTGACGCCAGAGCACGGTGCAGGAGGGAACGCAGCTCCTATGGGAAGGTCTGCGGGGTCACAAATAATACCCCATGGTATGTCCCGAGCCCGGTAAGAGGCCGAGCAGCGTCCCAGAAGGAAGGTGCCCTCGGACACGCTCGAGAAGGCATTTCAGAGGGGACAGCTGAGGGGGTCGCGCAGACACCCACCATCACACTGCTGCAGAATTTCCTCGGCTGTCGTGTCGTAGTGGGCCAGGGGGTTGCTGGCGTTGCGATACTGTGGGCACAGAGAGGAGTCACGAACCGGCCAGGCCCTGCCGACGGTTCACAGCCGCGGGCACGGGCCGAGCTTTGAATGCCAGGGAGGCTGGTGTCTGGCCAGGCCTCCACCAAGGGCACTGCGGCCCAGCTACCCACGCCCCCACCCCAGCCTCAGGCTCACAAATCCCAGCCACGTGGCTCCCCAATGGGGACCCCCTCGACACACCTGATCGAGGATGTGAGAGTTGGGGATCTCGCTCTTCAGCCTCCACGCTACACCCACATGAGACTCTGGGGCATCAAACTTGGCACTGGTGGGCGTCCTCACGATCTCGGCACCCAGGGCCCGCAGGACATCCACCTGCAGGGGAGAGCGTGCGTTGGGCAGAGCAGGGCTGGGGCAGGGACGAGCCGGGGGGAAGCTGGTAGGGGGGGCTGGGGGCTGAGGGGCCAGGGGCCGGGCACAGGGCTCTACCTTCTCATTGCTCATCTTCTCCGGCATCACGATGATGCAGCGGTAACCCTTCACAGCAGCAGCCAGGGCCAGTCCGATGCCTGGGGACAGTTGCAGTGAGGTCGCCATGGCCCTCCATCAGCCCTGTAGCCCGACCCCCACTGGACAGCCCAGGGGCGGGCCCCAGATGCCATCAAGAGAGGGGTGAGTGGAGAGAACACCTAAGGCAGGTGTGTTCACGGAGAAACAGTGGGGAGCACTCAGTAGGGAGCACCTGCACCCCCCAGTCGGGGGGGTAACGTGTCCCGACAGAGGGTCCTAGGGGAAGCAAAGGTGGGGGGCTTTTTGGAACCCAGGGAGGAACAGAGGCCAGCAGGAAGCCACCATGGACCCAGGGGACAGAGGACTGGCGGCCTCTGCTCGGATCAGATTGGGGGGCAAAGACGGGGGCCTGCCTGGGGGACCCACCCGTGTTCCCCGACGTGGGCTCGATGATGGTGTCCCCGGGCTTCAGTGTGCCGGCCCGCTCAGCATCCTCGATCATGCGCAGGGCGATGCGGTCCTTCACGCTCCCGCCCGCATTGAAGAACTCGCACTTGGCCACTGAGAGCGGGCAGGGGCGTCAGGAGAATGAGGGGTTCCAGCCGCACCCACACTGCCCCCCACACCTGCACCGGGAAGGGGCTTAGGCTGTGTCCACCACCCCCGCCTGCAGCGGGTACTCACGCAGCTCACACTTGAGGCCAAAGTCCTTCCCAATCTTGTTGATCCTCACCATGGGCGTGTTCCCGATCTTCTGCAGGATGTTCGGCAAGATTTTGGGGGGACTCACCCTAAACAGGGGTGTCTGTGATCATTTAGAGACCCACACCCACACCCCAGCCTGGATTCAGTGAAGACACTGGACACTCGCCAAAGTCACACACAAGACAGGACAGAAGACACACTTGCCCTGTGCTGTCCCCATGGCCCTGTCATTGGCGTCGCCGTGTGGCATGTGTGGCTGCCACTCTCCGCAGGTGGGTGTAGCCATACAGACACAGGAGGGGCCCGAGGGTCGACGCTGTGGTTCCGGGGGTCACCTGCGGCTACCCCAGTATGAGGCCACAACACTGACCGCCACCGATGGCTCCAGAAGCTCAGAGACCTTGGAGGTCCCTTGTCCCACCCCAGCCACCTCCAGTGGGGCAGACGCCAGCCTGCGTCCCAGGAGCCAAGGGGAGCCAAGGGGTCCCTCGACAAGAAGTACTCTAGAAGATGGGACGCACTCAGACATGCTGGACCTACTCAGCTATGAGAAGAAGGTACTGGGACAGTCCCGCGGGGAAGGCCAACCCGGGTCCAATCCCCAGCACCCCCGGGCCCCCCTCCCTGCCTGGAGTAACCCCAGGACACAGCTGGGTGTGGCCCCCAAAACAAAACCCCAATGTGGGGGCCGGGAACTATGCAGAGGGCACACTGCCATGTGCCCAAAGGAGGTTCAGTTCCTAGCGCCCAAGCGCACCAAGTCCCCATTGCTGGAGGGACCCCGGGCCTCCAGGCACCACCTGAGGCCCGCAAAGCTGCAATTCTGCTCGCAGCCCACACTCCAGGGGACTTGCAAAGCCCAGGAGAGAAGGAGAGAGACAGCAACGAGGCAGGGCTGGGAGGGTCAGCAGCCCCGCACCTCGCTCTCCCCGAGCACTGCTGCGTGTTGCCCCCAACACAACACATCAAGTCTCAAAGCCGCTGAGCCAAGCAGGGTGAGAGCAGGGCAGCGGAGTGCGGTGGCCATGGGGCGGGGCTGGAGAAAAGGGGTCAGGGGCGACTTACGGGGCAGTGTGGCGGTGCGGGGAGTCGGAGGAGGGTCTGCCCAGCTGCCAGGAGCACCTGCTGGGGGTGTCCGGCCGGATCCACTGGCGCCCCTTGGCTTCCGTGTCCCCTGAGAGGTGGGGGCAGCGCACAGGCCCATCCTGCACCTGGGGCGTCTCAGAAGGCATGCTGGGGTCTGGCACGGGGAGAGATGAGGGGGCGCTGGAGTGGGGGGGGCCGAACACAAGCCCCCCCAATCCCGCCAAAGCAAGGCCAAACCGCACGTGGTGGGCATGAGTAGATGCAGTGCCCCCATGAGAGTCCCACCAAGCGTTTCACTTGGTTTTATTTCCCTGGGGGTGGGGGGCACACCCAACAGTGCTCACTATGGGCAGGGCTGGGGGACTCTGGGCAGTGCCAGGGATTCGAACCAGGGCCGGCTGTGGGCAAGGGAGGGCCTTGATGCGTGCAGTCACTCTGGCGCCAGCAGTGCCCCTGGCGGTGAGGTGGGCAACGCAGACTTGGGCCCTGCACTAGGTGGGCACAGGTCCCATCCCCGAGACCCCAAGGGTTCCCCAAGCTCCACGGGGACTGAGCCCTGATCACAAGCAGGTGTGGCCCAAAACCCCAAAAGATCCAAGGGTAAAGAAAGTCAGCACGGGGTCCCGCTGCTGCCCGCCCAGCCTGCCTCCCCCGCCTGCCGGGTACTGAACTCTGGGGCTTTGGGGGCCAAAGGGGGTCCCTGGAGGACAGTGTTGGGGCTAAGAGAGGGCACTCAGGGCACAGGGCTGCAGGCAGGAGGGACCCTCTGCTCCCTGAGAAGCTTCAAAGGCAGCTTTGAAGCACTGGGCACAGGACACAGGGCACAGGGTACTGGCCGGGCACTGGCAGTACCAGCCAAGGTTCCAGTCCCCCCTTTTGCTCACTGGACAACCACCAGGAGCCACCTGGTGGCTGACACCGGCCCAGCAGCCCCTGAGGGCCTGGTGTGCCAGATGTCAGAGAGCACTTCGAGAGGACCCCGCGTCTGCAGGGAGACCCCATATATTCAGGGGACCCCATATCTGTGGGGGAACCGTATTTGCAGAGGACCCCATGTCTGCAGGAGACCCCATGTCTGCAGGGGCCTCCATATCTGCACCGAATCCCATGTCTGCAAGGGACCCCATATTTGCATGTCTGCAGGGAGACTCCAGAGGCCCCCATATCTGTGGGGAAACCCCATATCTGCAGGGGATCCCATGTCTGCAGCTCCCCAGCAGGGACTGTGGTTGGGGAGAAGAAGCTCCCCTTCACCACACAAGCCCCTATGTGCATTTTCTGCATGTTTTGGGGATTCATACACACACACACACACACACACACACACACACATACACACACACACACACACACACACACACAATTGGCCACAAAGCACAGCGCTGACACCCAGGGCAGCGCTCAGAGGTGCACCATTGGGACTTAAAGTGGGGGTGCAACTCCTCCACCTGCCACAGCCCCAGGGAAGTGACGCCCTCAGGACAGCCCCGACAGCCCAGGAGCCCTGAGGGTGAGCTGGGTGCAGCTTGGCCGGAAGCCCGCAGAGACAGGCACACACCCGCCTTTGTGGAAACTCGCCTCCAGAGGTCAGGAATTCGGTCACGCGTGCACACACACACACACACACACACACACACGAACAGGCAAGCTGGATCCCAACTCACACATACAAGCACATATAGGGAACCCGGATCCCAACACACCCACACCCAGATCCCAACACACACACACGCATGCGCGCGCGACCTGGATCCCAGCTCACTGTCTCTCTCTCACACACACACTCACAGAGGGAACCCAACTTCTCTCTCTCCTCTCACACTCACACCCGGGTCTCCCAACTCCCTCTCTCTCCCTCTCCTCACACTCTCACGCACACTCATGCACACACACTCGCACGCACACACACAGGCGACCCGGATCCCAACTCACTGTCTCTCTCACACACACACTCTTTCTCCCAAGGAAACCCAACTCCTTCTCCCGCCCTCCCTCTCTCCCTCTCTTTCTCCTCATACGCACACACACTCGCGCGCACACACGCATGCACACACACACTTGCACGCACACACACACTCACATGCACACATACACGCACGCACATGGCCACCCGGATCCCAGCCCCCGGCCAGCTCAGCCCGGAGCCACAGGAGGACACGGGCCCGGGCCCCGCCTGAGCCGCGACCCCCGGAGCTCGGGGTGAGACCCCGCCGGGCAGTGTGGGTCGCGCTCCTTCCCGGGCACGAGCCCAGCTCCTTCCCCGCCCCCCCCGCGCAGCCCCCCGCCTCCCCATTGACGTCCCCCCCAACCCCGGCGCCCCTGGACACCCGCCGACGCCCCCGACGGCCCCGACGGCCCCGGCGCTCACCTGCACGCGGCGCGTTCCAGCTTGAGCGCTCGCGGCCGCCCGCCCAGGATCCGGGAAGGCGGGGGGCGGGCGCGGGGCCGGGGCGCATGGCGATTGGTCGAGAGGCGGGGGCGGAGGCCGGTCCCACCCAATGCCAAGCGAGTACGCTCGCCCCTCCCCGCCCCCCGGCCCGCCCCTCCCCTCCCCCCGCGACCTCCGCCCTCGGGACACAAGCGGCTCTCGCCCCTCCCCCACTCGCGGACCCCTTCCTGGACCCGACCCCGGCCCCTCCCCCGGTCCCGGACCCCTGCCTGGACCCCCTGCCTGGACCCGGCCGCCGCTCTCCCCCTAGCCCTGGACCCCCGCGCCTGCACCCCCCCACCCCCACCCCGGCCCGGGACCCCCGCCAGGAGCCGGGCCAGCTCCGTGCGCGTGCGCTGGGTACCTGATGTTCCAGTCTCGCTTGGTTAAGCCCTCGCCCTGCTGGACTTATTTATCTATGAGTTTGAAAACGTCACTACCCGGGGCGGAACTTGTCCCCCGGCCAGGGCGCAGCCAGGCTGGCCCACGGGCTGCCCTGCCCTGCCCCTGACCCCCTCACTCACCTCAAAGAGCCCTGAGCACCCTTCAGGTGTTCCCCCCCGAAAGGATAGAGGTTTGGGTCTAACGGGCCCTGAGTTGAGTGCAGACACACACACACACACACACTGTTAGGGTCCAACATGAGCACACACACACACATGGGTGCGTACACACACATGGACACACCCACAAGCAGATGTGCACACACACACACAGAGGCACATGGTACATACATAGACACAGGCACATGTGCACATACACACAGGCATATGCACATGCGCACACACACACACACAAACACACACGCACAGGCACAGACTAGCAGAGTGCGAGGCAGGAGTCCCTGCCAGAGTTATCCGCAGTGAACTAACACATGTGCTCTACCTGGCCTGGAGCAGGAACTGGCAGGGGACATGTTTGTCCCCCAGACCCACAGGGCGGCCCTGGGGGCATCCAGCAGGCTTGCCTGAGCTCAGACTGGAGAGGACATGGGGCTACCCAGGGGCAGGACTTCCTCCTGCTGTCAGGAAACTGAACAGCTTGATCCAGGCCCCAAACAGCTGTTACCAATGACCCGGCCTGGACAGGGAGTGCACAGGGACTTGGGTGGCTGAGTGAACACCTGAGGCTGTACTTGGCCTACGAGCAGCTCCAAGGGCCCAATTCACACTTTGTATGTTGGAGCCCAGGTTCCAATCCCGGCACTTAGGCCCCCCAGCCCTGCTGGGAGTGACCCTGGACACAGCTCCAAGACAGCCAAAGAAGACCTGGACGGTCAGGTGGCCTGTTCGGCCCACCAGGGGTCAGTGGCCGTTGCGGTGCCTGGAAGGGCACTATTGGCAAGTGGGTCTCTGAGGCCACAGTGAAGACTGGAGAAGGGGGAGCCTCCCCAGGGCCCTGAGGGAGGCCCTGGATCCTGCTGGCCATTGAAGCTACAGGCCAAGGGAAGCAGCAGCCCCAGACAGCAGGTGACAACTGGGCACGAGGGTCAGGCTGAAAGGAAGAGCCTGGAAACAGCCTGTCACCTGGCCAGGCTCCCACCAGGAAGTTTGATTCCGCTCTCCAGTGTGTCTCTCAACCCCTCTGTTCTCTGTCTCTATCCCACATGTCTTTGTCCATGTGTGTGCACATGTGTGTCTGTGTGTCTGTGTGTTTCCATTCGCGCTTGTGTGCATGCACATATGTGCATGTGTGTTCATGGGTGTACACAAGTGTGTGCATGTGTATATTGTGTGTGCGTGTGTGTATATGTGTCTGTGTTCATGTTTGTGAGTGTATCCATGTGTGCATGTGGATATCTGTGTATGCATGTTGCATCTGTGTCTGCACTTGTGCATGTGTGTACCCGTGTGTCCCTGTTTGTGTGTCTGTGTTCATGTGTGTCCATGCATGTGTTCATGTGTTTGTGTGCGTGTCTGTGTATGTGTTCATGTCCGTCCATGTGTATATGTATCCATGCATGTGTGTGTGCATGTGAGTTTTCATATGTGAGCATATGTATCTGTGTGGATATGTCCATGTGTGCCCATCTGTGTATGCATGTCTATGTGTGTTCATGTGTGTTCATGTGTGTGTCTGTGTGCAAATGTGTGCATGTCTGTGTGTGCATGTGCCTGTGTGCTGTGTGTTCATATGTCCATGTATGTGTGCATGTCCTTGTGTGAGCATGTGTGTGTCCTTGTGTGTACATATCTATGCATGTGTGTGCATGTCCGTGTGTATGCATGTTCGCGTGAGCACACGTGTGTTTAAGTCTGGCCTTGGTCTGTCTCTCTTACTCCTCCTGTTCTAATGGCAGGGAGCAGCTGGGGCAGGGTGTCTCTTCATAAGCCCTGATTCCTTTCATGTATATTTTGTGTATAAACAAAAGTTGCTTCCAGAAACACAAGATTAAGGAGGGAAGCTACAGGGACTGAAATGATAGGACAGTGGGTAGGAGCTTGCCTTGCATGTGACACCCCAGCACCCCATATGGCGGCCCAAGCACCACCAGGAGTGACCCCTGAGCACAGAGCCAGGAGTAAGCTTTGAGCATTGCCAAGTATGGCCCCCAAACAAAACAAACTAAAAACCAGTAGAGGACTTTAGGCCAGGAGTTGGCTGAGGGTGGCAACTCAGGCCTTGATGGGAGCCCGGGTTCGACCCCCACATGTGGTCACCAGGATTGACAGATTGACCCACACCTGCACCCCACATAGTCCCCACACCTACCCCCACACCTCCACCCTCACACATACCCCAAACCCACACCCCCGTAGATGACACACACATGCATGCACACATACACACTGCTCTCCATGGCAGGAGCAGGTCCCTCAGATACTGTGTCCTGTGCAACTGTATCACCTGTGATCTTGTGTGACTGTCACCTGATTGTGTCATGCACAATTGTTGCTGGTTGTGTCATCAGCAGTTGTGTCACATGTGATGTCCCCCGCAGTTGTCATGTGTGATTAAGTCCCATGAAGTTGTGTTACCTGTGGCAGTCATGTGTGGTATGTCATTTGTGGTTGTGTCCCGTGTGACTGTTTCCCAGGTGGTTGTGTCCCATGTGACTGTGTACCAGGTAATTGTATCCCATGGGATTGTGTCCCGTGTGTTTGTGTCCTGTGGGGTTGTGTCCCATGCGATTGTGTCCCTGTGGGTTTGTGTCCTGTGGGGTTGTGTCCCATGCAGTTTTGTCCCAGGAGTTGTATCTAGCCCCTGCGGTTGTGTCCAGCGGTTGTGTCTAGCCCCTGTGGTGTCCCAGGGGTTGTGTCTAGCCCCTGCGGTTGTGTCCAGGGGTTGTGTCTTGCCCCTGCAGTTGTGTCCAGGGGTTGTGTCTAGCCCCTGTGGTTGTGTCCCAGGTTGCTAGGAGGCTCTGGCCTTTCTTTGCGTCACGGCCAGGCCTAGAATTGGGGAGGACCCCGGCCCTCTTGTCTCCCTGGGAGCTTGGTTGTGCAAACCTCCATCATTCTCCCCGGGCACTCAAACCCAGCCTCCCAGGGCCCAGACTCGCTGTCCATCGGTCTGTCTGTGCACTGAGTTCCTGGAGGCCCACGTTCCTGGACCTTGGACGTCCACTGAGGCCTTTGCTGCCCCTTTGTAGGTGTCTCTGCCGAGCTGTCCAGTGTGAGAACAGTCGCTGGGGGCTGGGGGCACTCCAGGCTCACGTGGCCACTGTGAGTCCAGGGACAGGTGCAAGGGAAGGTGGCCACCTGGTCAACTCAGCTTCCAGCACTGGGGGTGGAGGGCAGACCTTGAATTCCCCTTGAGAGACTGGCTGGCAGGGGGCACTGTCCAGGGAGCCCAGTGTCCCCCTGCTGGTCTGCATGAGCTCTGTGCTAGAGCTTCAGGGACAGCAAGACCCACAGTGATAGAAAGGGCACAGAGAAGCTTCTGGCACGGGGGGCCAGCTCCCACTGGGCAGCGGCAGGCAGGACCAGGACGTGGCCGGGGCAGGCGGTGTGGCATGGTGGGGCCGGCCTGGGAGGCACTGGCCTTGTGGGGGCACAGGAATGCCGGCCTTTGCAGCTCAGAGCACCCCTCGTCCTCCTCCTGGGCCTGTTGGCCTGTGCGTCCTGTGGCTGGAATCGCCTCCAGCGGGGAGCTGTGGTCACCCAGCGGGGGCCCCAAGGCTGGGGACGGCTGCATCCCTGCAGCCTCCCTCAAGGCCCCAAACCAGCCAAGCTCAGGAGCGGATGTGCTGGGTCACAGCTGGGGCTCCCGCTGGACACTCCGTCAGCATGGCCTGCTGCCTCCCTCTGGACTCCATACTTGGAACTGGGCCCCGCAGCCGGGCTGGCCATGTGCCCTTCACCAGGTGTGGTCCGAGGGAGGGGACAGCGGGAGGGCACCTACCTTGACGTGTCTATCGGAACTGACCCCCTGGCACCCCGTATGGTCCCCCAATCCCTGCAAGGAGCGATTCCACACACAGAGCCAGCCAGGAGTAAGGCCGGACGCAGCCCAGTGCGGCCCTAAAACAACTAAAACAGACTTGAAATGTGGCTTCCTGGGCTGGAGCAATAGTGCAGTGGGGAGGGTGTTTGTCTTGTATGCAGCTGACCCGGGTTCAATCCCTAGACTCCACCGGGTCCCCCGAACACCACCTAGAGTATCCCCTAGGTATCCATAGGTATGATTCCCCACTCAAAAAAAAAAAAAAATGAAAGCAAGCTTGCAAAAAGAAAGGGGCTTTCTTCTGCCTGAAGACCGGAGGGACGGACGCCTGGTGCCTGTTTGGGCCAGCGCCTCTGGGGCTGGTACAGGCTCCACCCTGTCTCCCGTGAACAGGCTGTGGGAGAAGAGTTAGCAGCTGACGCCACAGCCCCAAGGCCATCTCTGGGCATGTCTGGTCCACAGGCTCAGGGGACCTTATGTGGTCTCAGGGGTCACCCTCCTTCCTGCTCCCCCCTACTCCCAGGCCCTGGGGCCTGTTTCCTAGAAGCCCTCAACCTTGGGAGGCAACACTCCTGGGGGTGCAGGAGGCAGCTCCTGGGTGCCCTTGCCCCTTCTCCAGCCTATTGCTTCCAGGCAGGCAGCTGTCCCGTACAGGCCCCATGGCAGGCTTCAGAGTGGGTGCCAAGAGCGCTGAGCTCACGCAGCTCACGGGGCCGGGAGGGCAGTTGGCAGCCAGGCACTTCCTCATGTGCAAGAGATTCCACGGGCCAGGACGCTGGGCCAGTCAGGCAGCTGCTCCCCACGGGCCATTGCTGAGGGGGATGGGGGGGCTCCCTGTACACAGCCCACACCCCACGACTTGGCATCTCAGCACTGTGCCGGGACCTCCGTCCCAGAGATGGGGCTAACACTCCTGCATCTCCTTTCCCTTTCCTCTTTCCTGGGCCATCCTGGGAGGCTCGGGAACTGAGCCCTGGTAGAGGTGTGGGAAGACCACCAGGGTGAGCCACACATCAAGGCAGGTGCTCTGTACCTGTGCGCCCTCCCTCTGTGTTAATCGTTTCCACTCCTGTTGGAGACTGGCAGGAAGATTCCAGCTGAAGTGGGAACGCGGCAGAGCCAGAGACAGCACAGGGGTAGACGCCACCTCGTGTCTCAGCCCGCCCCACCTCTGGCGCCACACGCACCCCTGGGTGGTCAGGAGTAGCCCACCCCACTGTGATCCAACTCAGGTCTCTACAGAGTTCAGGCCACACCCAGCAGGACGCTGACAGGGCGTCCAGGAGGCGAGTGGAAGCCCCCACTCTCCCCAGCTCCCTCTGCAGGCAGTGCAGGCGTCAGCATGGGCCCTGTGGCCCGGTCCCCACCTGACCGGGACCCTCTGTCAGGTGGGCTGCCCTTGCGCACCCACAGCTGCCCGCCCAGGCAGGAAAGAGATCAGACCGCACTATCACTACAAATTTTATTCAGAAACCCATCTTTGTTTTTTTTTGTTGTTTTTTAAAAAAAATTCCCATTATGAACTTGTGTGATCGATCAACTGCGACACTTCCCAGCACTCGCGGTAGAAACTGGCTCAGAACCGGCCCGACCTCTCGCGGTCTCTCGAACGCCTCCGGTCTCGTTCCCGGCCGCCGCCGCCACCACCTCCACCGCCACGGCCGCGGTCTCTGGACCTGGAGCGGCGCTCACGAGAGCGGGACCTCGACCTATGCCTGCAGACAAGAACATGCCGTGGGCCCCGCGCCACCCGCCGGCCGCCCAGCACCCCCCGGCGCCCACCTGCCGCCCACACTCACTTCTTACGACGCCGTCCGTACAGCTCCCGCCGCAGCTCACGGGAGATGGGCTTCAGGTGCATGAAGTTGCAGAAGCCGCCCCGGGTGCACTCGCTGGGGAGGGACGGGCTGGTCAGAGGCGGTCAGGGCACTGCCCACCCCCACCCAGCAGCAGGGTGCGACCACACCTACCCCATCTCATACTGGCGGCAGCAGGCTTCCCGGAAGTCAGTCACGGGCGACAGCTCGGCGTGGATGGGCTGCCCGTTGAACCAGCGGTTGTTCAGGTCGATCACGGCCTTCTCCGCGTCCTCCTCACGGCGGAACTGCGAGGAGAGGAGCGCATGCCAGGCCCGCACTGTGGATGGCGGGGCAGGGCCGGGCACGGCGCTGCTGCCTACCTTGACGTACACATTCCCCACCAGGTGGTCGCCCAGGTTGTCGCACACGTTCATCTCCTCCACCTCACCGTACTTCTCCTCCATTTCCGTGAAGACCTCCTGTGGGGGCAGGTGGGCTTAGGGGCGCTGCCCAGCGGGGGGGGGGGGGGCGCGCCCAGGCGCCCGTCCCCACGGCCCAGGGCTCACCTCAAAAAACTCGTCGTAGTGCTCCTGCATCTCGACATCGCTCACAGCACCTGCCAACAACACAGGGCGCACAGGTGAGCGGGGGCGGCCGGCGTGGGCACGCGAGCACAGCGGAACTCGGCCACGTCCAGCTCGGGGTGCAGACGCGCAAGCGGCGCTGAGCGGCAGACCAAGCTCTCATCTGCAGCAAAGGGCCGTGTTTCCGGGACGGAGGAAACGGCGACTCGGATTAAGAGGTTTTTTGATGAAAACTTTCTTCCTTAAGGTTTAAAGTAAAGGTCAGGAAAGCGCCCGCTGCTCCACGTCCCTCGACCCGCCCGGCGGAGCTGACGCCGCCGGCACTGCTGCGGGCCAGCCACGGGAGGCGCAGGGGCTTCTGCTGGGCTAAAACGCACGGGCTGCACGGAACAGATGCTCCCTTCGCGCTCCCCAGCGCCAGGCGCCACCACGCCCAAGGGGGAGGAGCCGGAGTTCTCAGACTCTGAGCACCCCACGCCTGGGTGCCCCGCCAGACAGCCCCCCGAGAAATGCGTTCTACTCCGCAGGCTCTCCACGGCGTCGGTGCCCTGCCTCCACAGGCTGGGCTGGCCCCGGGCCCCAAACACAACCCTCGACTCCTTCTTGTGGCGACCCAGTTCCCAAGGCCGGCATGGAAGGACCAGGCAGCATGCTCTCCCGACGCGGCCGAAAAACCCATGGTGGAAAAATGGGGAGAGAACATGGCTGCCCGAGGTGGCAGTGCTAACCAGCACCCCCCACCCCCAGCCCCACCGGAAAAGGGCCTAGCCGAGTTCCCAGCTCTGCTGGAAACCCCCAAGTTCATCATTGAGGCAGGTGAAGAGACCAGAGCTCACAAAATGCACCTCAAGGCCTGACGGGCCCTTCAGCGGGAGGGCACGCTGCGAAAGACCTGTTCCCTCAGAAGTGACCTGCAGCCGGCGCCTCCTGGCAGCAGGGCACAGCTGGCTCTGGACAGTCGGCCGCCAGTGGCCGTGGAAGCAGAGCGCAGTAGGCAGGACACTGCGCCCGGTGTGGGGGCTCGGCGAGGCAGGGCTGCCGGCGAAACCGGCCACTGCTTTCCTCACTAGATCGGAGCCTGCTGGGGGCCTGGGCCCTGACCTGGGGGAGCAGGCACTGAAGCTCTTGACACTTTACGCGACCCAAGAGCACGGAGACGTTCAAGTGAAGAACGGGGCACAGGCACCTCCCGGCCTGTAGGGCACGCCCAGTGCCCAGGCCCACGGGGCAGGGCCAAGCCGGACTCACAGGAGTGACCCAGTAACCTGACACCCGACTTTCCCTCTTCACCCTCAGCTGGGCTGCTACAAAACTTTCCAAGTCTGCGAAGAAAACACTCCTCCAAACAGCAAACCAAAGCAGACGCGACCAGTACCAGCTGGTGGGCCGTGCGGGGCGAGGAGACCCCGGGCCGCAGAGCTGCCAAGCCCGGACGCGAACCTGCCTCTGCCTCTCGGATGGCCGAGGTCAAGCGCAGGCGCGACCCGGGACCCCAGAGCACGGGCCGGGGCTCGCGCGAAGCTCCCCCTTCGGAGCAGGAAGACAAAGCCTGACCGCGGGGACTGGCAGCCCGGCTCTTGAAGGGGCCCGGGGCTGCCGCGGGACCCAGGCCGGGAGGGGCCTGAGCTCTGGCGCGTAAGCCCAGGGAACCCGGGGAGGAACTTGGATGAACTTACAGCGCAAACCGTCAGCAGACTGGGAAGAGTTTTGAGGGTTACGGTAAATGTTCAAGAGGGCAATGGTCTGAAATACAAAACGCAACAACTTTATATTACGGAAAATTAAACGTCAACACTTCACCGGTTTCCTGTGGCGCTCGCTTGCTTCGTTGGCGACGCGGGGCTGAAAGAAGAGCAGGTTATTGTCTCTCCGGGCCGGGAGTGTCCCAGTTGACGGCTGCCTTGTGCCTTGTTGCGCCCTAACACTGCGGTACGGGGGACCCGTGATATGTGATATTGTATTTCTGCTCACGGACGCGCAAAAGCCTCCACGTCAATAGGCCAACTCGGGCCGGGGGCTGGCGGTGGGGGGCGAGAAGCTCTGGCTGGCCATGAGCCCAAAGGGAGCCCGTTCACGCACCGAACGCCAAACGGCGGCCGAGACCCCCACGGAGGCAGGCGCCAGAAATACAACAGCGCACAGCACGGCCTCGCGCTCCCTAGACGCCAAGGGCCCACTTACCTGTGCCTCCTACGCCTAGTCTACAGAGACCTGAGGGGGCACCGGGGAGACCCAGCGCGCGCACGCGGACTCCTCTCATTAACAAAAGGCACCGCGGGGCCCCACCAGCGGCCTGCCTGGGACGACGCCTGCCGGGGGGCCGGCACCGAGGACGCCCGCAGCCAGCAGGGCTCAGCTGAGAGCGGGCTCTTGACCACCAGGGTTTAAAAGACTTTCTCCAACTCTGGGACTTACAGTGTGAGCCGTCAGCCGTCTGTGCACTGTTTTGGGGATTACGATAGATGTTTTGAATCAAGATGGTCTGCGGGGAAAAAAAATACAAAGGGGAAATCTACTGGCTGCTGCGCATCCACCAGACAACTGCAAAGAGACGACTTGTCTGCAGAAGGCTAGCCCGCAGCCAGACGCCCGTCCTCTGCAGTCCACCCAAGCCATCATATTATGGAAACAGAGTCTGAGCAGGGGCCTCGCCAAGTCAGCCAGCAACCGAGCGTCCTCTGAGGAGTCCCCGGTGGGGAGCGGTGCCACCAAGGCAAGGAGCAGCGCTCTGGAGCGTCCTGGCGCCCAGTGAGACGCTCAATCCCCGCACAGATGGCAGCGGTCGGAGCGCGGCCCCGGCAGCCAGGCCCAGGGCCGGCAGTCCCAGGTCTGGGGAGGGGTCTCTGTTTACATAATACAATAGCTTAAAGCAGGCGCTCTCCAATCCTCCTCTAAGGGGGAAATCCTTCTAGCCCTGGCGCTTTAAACTGGATCAGGCAGACTTGAAACCTTACATTGTACCGTTCTTCTTAAAATCAAGTTGTCTGAAAAAACAAACCATGTGTAAGTTAGTAGGCTATAGAGACCGGCCCCTAACGCCCACATCACAAGCACAGCCAGAACCCCACCTCGGGAGCGCCGGAGGGCCCGCCCCACCAGGCCTCCCACGCCTGAGCGCGGCAAGGCGCCCAGCTGACCCTCAGATGTGGTCGCCAGCGGACTTTGCTCGGCCTCTGCAGAGTCAGCAGAGCGGACACCCGGGACGGAAAGCTGGAGGGTCACTGGGGTCACCTGGCCAGGGAGTGACCAGTCCACGCCACTGGGGCGTCTAGTCTAGGGCTGCTGAGGAGCCAGACCCAAACCAGGGGCCCAAGTGAACACTTGCAGCGGCCTCTTCAGCCCCGAGTTCTGACGCGGGCTGGGTCCACTCTGGATGTCTGAGCGCAGTGACCGCCCAGAGCTCTGGGGCTGCAGGGCCTTCGCACTGCCAGCTCTAGGTCTCCCCCCAACCCAACCAGAGCCCTCACTGGACACATCAGCTGCCTGAACGTCACCCAGTCCACGACCTTTGGCTTCCGTGGGAAGATTTAGGCTGCAGATCAAAGGACTTGGGGTGAAAAACACTCCGGCCCAGCCAGTTCCAACTTCAGCGTTTCCTAATGGGGCGGTGTGTTTAAAGCTGATGGCCAATGCTCTGATGCAGCTGCGGCCGCTCGCCAGTGGCTCCTGGGGCCCCACAGAGATGCCCATGCCCCAGTTTCTCAAACCCTTCTAGGAAGACGCCCATGGGGGTGCGTGGGGTCAGCAGTGCCGGGCTGGGCCAGCGGCGTCCAGCCCCGAGGAGCTTTTCGAGGGGCTTCTGGGCCCAGTGTCCCTCTTTGAACCATCACTGAGGGAAGCCCTAGTCTCTTTCCCAATGAGCCAATAACAAAATGGCCAGCACCTCACCCCTTCCGGGGCAGAACTGAGGGCCTAGGCCCATCACCCCTGGGGCCAGGGAGCAGCGGCTCTCAGAGATACGGGGGGGATTTCTCAGAAACCACCGGGCCTGCAGAGAACCGACTCCGGGTCATTTGCATGGAAACAGCAAGCGGAGAAGAGTGAACAAACAAACCTGGCTGAAGGTCGGCTTGTTGTGCAAGCGAGAGCACCGGTCCCCATGACGGCACGCTCCAATTTTGAAATAAAAGGAACAGTTGACTCTGAAAAGGGAAAGAAACTCTGATTATCCCGGGGCCACCTGGCACACGCCCTCAAACGTCATCCTGGCCCTGCCCTTGGGTCTTGGGCCGACAATGGCAGCGGAACCAGGACCCGGAGCAAGAAGTCAGGTCCAGACCCCAGAAGGCCCCTGGGCCGGGGTCACCCCCTCCCCTTCCTCAGGACTCCAGGGCTGCTCTGCTCCCTGCAGGGAAGGAGCTGGGTCCAGGCCGGGAGGGGTCCCACCGCCACCTCCCGGCGCTGAGGGGCCAGGGCGGGTGAGACCCAGGACTAAGGCAGGAGGGAGCCCGGAGTCCCACCGGGGCTTTAATTTGTGGCCCCCAGATTAGCCGAAAGACACAAAGCCAAAGAAACAAAACCCCCAGGCTTCCTTAATCCCCACAGACTCGGCCACTCACCCCCTACCCGGGGGCTGACCCGCCGGGCAATCCTGGGGGGCCTCCGGCCGGCCGCCCCCGCCCCACAGGCCCGCGGGACCCCCGACCCCGACGCGGGGCCGTTAGGGCTGGGGCGCGCCGCGGCCCGGGGTGTGTGTGGGGGGCGGGGGGGGACGGCCGCGGCCACGTGCGGCCTCGGGGTCCGGGGAGCTCGGGGTCTCAGGGGTCCCGGGGGGTCGGGGGTCCGGGCTCGGGGTCCCGGGGCTCTCGGGGTCCGGGGTGCCGGCGGCTGCAGCGCCGCGTGGCCGCGAGCCCCAGGCCCGACCTGGCCGGCGGGGCGGGACAGCGTTCGGCGGGGACCGGTCAGCCGGGGTGGACAGGGAGGTCGGGGAGGTCGGGTGCCCGGGGAGGGGGGGGGCGGGGGGGTCGCGGTTCCGTTCGGCCCATTCCTCGCCCTGGGCCGGGAGGTTCGGGCGCGGGCCAGGCCGGGGCGGGCGGGTGCCCCGCGGGCCGCGGCGAAGGCAGCCCCGTCCCCGCGTCCCCCGCCCGCCCCCCGCCCCCACCCCCGCGCCCGCGCCCCCGGCCCGCCCGGCCCGCGCTCACTTGTCTTTCTCGGTGCCGAAGATGGACGCCAAGTACTCCGCCATTTCCACCCGCCGCCGCCCCGCCGCCGCCGCGCACGTCACCCGCGCGCGACGGCCGCCCGCGCCCGCGCCGCCCAATCGGAGCCCGCGCCGCCCGCGCCGCCCAATCGGAGCCCGCGCTGCCCGAGGGGGGGCGGGGGCAGCGGCCTCGGCCCCGCCCCCTCGGCCCGCGCGCGCCCGCCCGCCGGCGCCCCCTGCCGGCGCCCGCCCGCCAGCGCAGCCGTCCGGACCGGAAGCCGCGCGCGCCCGCGGCCGGCTCAGCGTGCGGCCCGCTGCCCGCTGCCGCAGACCACGCCGGCGGCCACGGCCCCGCGCTGATCCCCCACACATACACCGCGCGGACGGCCCACGCTGTCCCGTCTCTCCCAGCACATGGACGGGCAGTGCTGCGTCCCCCACCCCGCAGATCGATGGGCAGTGCTGTGTCCCCCCTATAGATGGACGGGCAGGGTTATGTCCCCCCACCCCCCAGATGGACGGGCAGTGAGTGCTCTGTCCTCATCCCCCGCAGATGGACGGGCGGTGATGTGTCCACCCCCCCCACCCACCCCGGCTCCACTCGCAGATGAGGGGCCAGTTTGCAGCTTGACCTGCTGCAAAGCCTCTTCTTCCTGAATGTATCTGTTGGGGGGGGAGGGGGCACGTTGGCCCCCAGCCCCCAACCCTGAGCCTGTGGCCTCCAGACTTTGTCACCAGGCACTATCCCTGGTGACATCTGCACCTGCTCCTGCCTCCAGGCCCAGGCCGGGCCACATAGGACAGGGGAAGGGGCCGAGGGTCAGGGAGAGGCTCAGAGCTGGGCACTCGAGACCCACCCAGCTGCCACTGCGTCCCAGGCCAACACCGCCATCCCAGACGGAGCTGCACGGTTGGGGGGGTGAGAGAGCGTGACTGCAGCTCGGGAGTGCCTTGGACGTCTTCCCTGCAGCTTAGGGAAGGGGACAGGTCCAGGGACAGGGCAGAACCCTGTGCCCCAGAGAAGCCGCAGGCTGCATGAGCAGGACCACACTTATTTCCGGTTGTTTCTCTCATGAACTGTCAGAAACAAAGTGGCTCTTACCTCTGGGGGGGAGGGGGGCCTGTGTCAGGCTGTTCTTATGGCACCACCAGGCGGGGGGGACGGGTGGGACCCGGGGCCTGTGACTGGTTCACTGTGGTCACTCTGACTTGGGAAGGGGCCGGAGAGGAGCAGGGGCTGGGGCTCTGGCCCTGCCCGAGCCGGGTCACCCCTGGGCACTGCACATGACCCTCAGAGCCCTGCCGGGGGACCCTGAGCGCAGGCCAGCGGGATCTGCCAAGTGTGATATGGCTGTAACAGGCAGGTCGGGGCATCTCCAGAAGGATGAGAGACTGACTTGACTGGCACCCAGAGCTCACCCACGTATCGGTCATCACCCACTCACTGTCCATTCCTACCCCTACCCATCGACGACGCAGCACCTGCACCCGCCCTCTCGCCCACCACCGTCTGTGCGTCCAGCTGTCCACCTCCCCCCTGCGCACGCGTCCCTGGTATGTGTCCCCAGCTGCTGAGGCCAAGCTGACCGTCCCTAGCCTGGCTTCTCTGGTCCTGAGCTCGCGTCTTGGAGGGCTCTTCCTCCTCTCCTGGCTCCAGGCTCCTCCCCGGGCAACCTCTGGAGTCTGTTCCCAGGGGGGCTGCGTCCTCCTGGGGGTGCTTGGCTCTCTGAGGAGTAAGAGGAGAGGCTGGCGCACACACTAGGGGAAATGGCAGCTCAGATAGAGAAGGGAGCACCAAATAAAGGGGGTTGGGAGGATCCTCCCAGGATGGGAGAAGCATGCTGAAAGTAGACTGTAGACCAAACATGATTGCTACTCAGTGCCTCTTTTGCAAACCATAGCACCCAAAAAGGAGAGAGAGAGACAAAAGGGAATGCCCAGCCACAGAGGCGGGGTAGGATGGGGGGGATAGGGGCATGGGAGGGATACTGGGATTGTTGGTGGTGAAGAATGGGCACTGGTGGAGGGATGGGTACTTGATCATTGTATAACTGAAACCCAAGCACAAAAATTTGTAAGTCTCAACTGTACTTCATGGTGTTTCACTAATAAAAATTAAAAAAAAAAAAGAGAGGCTAGGTGGGATAAGATGAGAGAGAGGCAGGAGGGGGCAGAAAAGAGGACTCTTGGAGGTGGAGCGATAGCACAAAGGGCGTTTGCTTTGCACATAGCGGACCCAGGTTTGATTCCCAGCATCCCATATGGTGCCCCAAGCACCGCCAGGAGTGATTCCTGAGTGCAGAGCCAGGAGGAACCCCTGAGCATCGCCAGGTGTGACACAAAAAGCAAAACAAAAATAATAATAAAGACAATGGGACTCTGGAACCCGGGAAGCCTCTGGGCCAGGGACAGCAGCTACTATCTCTGTCCCCCGGGGTGACCCCAACACGATGAGGCCTTGAGTCCATGCCAGCCTGGTGAGAGTCAGGCTCTGCCTGAGCAGAGGGTCCCTTCGCAGGAGCAGCCAGCACCAAGCCTGTGACATTCGGCTCAGGCCCAAAGGTGCTAGTCCAACCCCAGGCGGTTCCGTCTCGTCCTTACCTCTCCCTGGCGCCTCCGGGCCCTGCGGTGGCTGCTGCCCTTCCCTGCTGGCCCCTGTATGTGTCCAGAGTAGCCGGAGCTCCCCCAGGGTCCTTCAGGACTGGGCAGGAAATTCACGGGGGCAGGTAGACAGGGCTGGGACCTTGTTCTGTGCCCACTGGGCGGGGGGAGGCAGGGCCTGTAGATGGGTGAGGGGCAGCGCTGGGGGCTTCATCAGGCCAGGCCTGACCCCCGGCAGTCCCTGCGTGCTTGCCGGGCTGTGTGTGGGACCTCACAGGGGATACTGCCTGCACCGAGCCACCTCCCATCCCCGTGAGGTGCTGGCCATGCTCACTGCTGTGCTTGCCCCGGGATGACCACCAGGCCCATCCGACCCTTCTCTGCTGCCCAGAGCGGGACCGCCACGGAGGCAGGAGCGGCGTCGCCCCTCCCCTCCCCCCTGCCCCCGATCCTGGAGAGGGGCTGCGGGCCAGGCCCTGTGGGGAATCTGCAGGCACAGCAGGCAGCAGGCTGGCACCAGCGGGCAGCGGGTCTGGACGCTGAGGCAGGCGCTGGCCTCAGAAATAGCAGCAGTGACCTGGCCACCAGCGCCCGGGCCACATATGGGAGGGCAGAGGAAGGGCCAGCAGTCAGAGCCACCTGCGCCCCGCCCTCCCACAGACACACACAGACACACAGACACGTATACCACACACAGACACACACCATACAGACACACACCACTCACAGACACACAGACATACAGACACGCACACCACACACAGACACACACACCACACAGACACACACCACACACAGACACACACAGACGTGCACACCACACACAGACACACACACAGACACGCACACCACACACAGACACAGACTCACAGACGCACACTCACACCATACAGACATACACATCACACACAGACACACAGACACTCACACTACACATAGACACACACAGGCACACAGATACACACAGACACGCAGAAAGATACACACACCACATACAGACACACAGACACACACACCACACACAGACACACACGGACCCCTATACATACACACAGACAGAGATGTGTAAGATAACATTGCTTTGTCCTTTCTCCCTTGCCACAAGGAGCTTAGGTTTATCTGGTGACACCCATCAAAGTGCTCCCATTCTTCGTTCTTTTGTTTATCTGTAACCACTTCTCCATGCTCTCTTCCCCAGTTAATCAGCTTATTCCCCTAATCAGTTTCTGTTAATTTGTAAGGTCTGATCTTTCTAGGACACTGAACTTGTATTGTAAGTTAATATTGCCTTTCTTCTCTCCTTATGTCTTTTGAATAGTTTACTTTAATGCAATGTCCTTTTGTATAGACACAAGAAGACAATTAATATTATGTTTTTGTAACTTGGGATTTAATTGGCTTTGAATATTATTCATTCTCCGGCATCTGCTTTCTCAACTTAAGCCTCAGTTGCCCTCACTTCTTAGTGCCCCCAAAAGCAGGGTCCCAATGAGGGACTGGATGGAACCAGGGCAAGCGGTAAGCTATGTGCTAACCTGGCATCGAGATGGGCTAGGCAAAAGTGCCACAATTCTTTTTTTTTTTTTTTTTGCTTTTTGGGTCACACCCAGCGATGCTCAGGGGTTACTCCTGGCTCATGCACTCAGGAATTGCTCCTGGCGGTTCTCGGGGACCATATGGGATGCTGGGAATCGAACCTGTGTCGGCCATGTTGGCTGCGTGCAAGGCAAACGCCCTACCCGCTGTGCTATCGCTCCAGCCCCCACAATTCTTAACTATAAGTTAAAAGTTTGATCGTGGACAAATGTTGTCATGATCCAAAAGTAATGACGAGACTAGGACCCTGCTAGGGATAGGAAAAACTAATCTGGCCTGAGCACTGTAGTCTGAGATTGGGATGATCCCAGGAGAGCAATTCTATAAGCTTAATGCATCTCTTACTGTATCCATACAAAATGATTAATATTGTGAATGCTTATATGTTTGTTGGACAAGGAGAGGAGAAACACACCCATGGGATTCCTGCTGAAAGAAAATCTGTCCTAGAGGCAGCATCCCCTGAGGGAGAGAACTTTAACCCTATCAATTATGACTACACCTATGTGTAAACCCAGCTCCTCATGGTTTTGGGATTTAACGAGACAGTAAGAGTGGGCTGGCGGGGTGAAGACCGAGATGAAGATCCAGAGCCAGGAAAGAGGGGTTCCAAATTGGGGCCCAGGAGAGAAGGAGAGAGAGAGAGAGAGAGAGAGAGAGAGAGAGAGAGAGAGAGAGAGAGAAGTGAATGGAGATGAGAATGGAATAAACAGCATTTGATCAATCCACCGGCCTGGCCCTCACTTCCTCCGCCGTCTGCCCCAAGGCCCAGGCCGTCCCGACTGGGGGGGGGGGGGGGGTGGCCCAGGCCCCACCAGAACCTGGGCAGCCAGGGGAAGAGCCGTCGGGGTCACCCCCTGGTCACCCTCAGAGTTTTTTACAGAAATGCACACAGATGCACACAGACAGACACTATCCAAGCAGATACACACAAGACACAGACACACATGAGGCACGCACAGGCAGACACAGACACATAAAGGCACACAGACATCCGTGGACCCATATACAGATACACACGACACACACAAGCACACACATGAGACACAGATAGACATGAGAGACACCTGAGAGACCTGATGCAGGCGGGCAGGTAGGGAAGGCCCCTCCCCAGGGGACAGCAGGATGTTTCTTGGGAAGTCATAGCCTGGAGTTGCAAAGGCCAACCTTGCAGAAAACAGGAACTCAGGCCTGGTAAGACCCTCACCTGGGCCAGCAACAGGCCCAGAGAAGCTCCTGCAGAAACCAAAGGCTGGGAAAGGAATTTCAAAGAAGCCCATCACCACTCCTGACCCCCCAGATAACCTCCTCGGCAAAGAACTCTGACCTGGGTAGAAGCCCCACATTGGGGGCAGGTTGGAGAAACCCTATTAAGTCACCTTGAACGAAGGAAGGGCGCAGATGCTGCCCGAGCCCCTGTGCGGCTTGCGTCCATGTAGCCGAGCACACGTGTCGCCCGCATTTCCCCTCTTGAGATGGGGACTTTCATGCTCTCCTGTCTAATGCTGGGGTGTGTGCAGGGCTCTCTCCGCCCTTGGAGAAGCCCAGGTTCTCTCTTGAGTGCGTTACTCTCCACTCTCTCCCACTCTCTCTCCCTCCTCCCCTTCAAAGCCTCCAAATAAAATCTGTTTTACTTCACTGCCCGTCTACTCCTGAAATTCCTTTCTGCAAGTGAGACAAGAACGCAGTATCCCTGGGTCCCAGGGGGCAGAGGCGGATGGGGAGAAAGTGACCATCTCTCTCCTCCCGACTCACGTGAGCCACCCGTGGGGCCCACCGACATCAGACCCACACACAGACAAGATGCATACACGTATACGTATAAGTACATACAGACACGGGATAAACACGGACCTACATACAAGCACACTCAAGATACACATCGACCTCCTCGACACAGACACGCACACACGCACACACACAGGCAGACACAGACACACTCTGGGTTCTGCGGTTCCCTGCACGGCTGCTCCCGTCGTGGGAACCCCGTTCGCCCCTGCTGTGTGTCCCTCGTGGCTGCCCGCCTGTCCCCGAGTGGGTCTGGGATCCCTCCCCTCGGCTCGCGCAGGGCAGCGCCAGCCCCAGAGAACTGTGTGACAGACACCGAGGGCTGTACCTGCCTCGCTTGCCAGAGTCCAGGCTGTGGGGGCTCCACATGGCACTGGCCCAGGCCATGTGCAGACCTGGGACCCCCCAAATCACTCACAGCTCTAGTTAGACAGTCGCTCCCCATGGAGGGCCCAGCAGTCTGACGGAGGGGGCAGGCCTCAGTCTGGTGCCTGGAGAACCCCCCACTAGGCGCTCAGGGGAGTTGCACTCCTGGAAGCACCCACATGCCAGGCGCGGCCTGACTGTCGCCTGCCAGGACTCCACAGCACCCTTGGGTTTCTGGGCTGCCGCCCCAGGCCAGCCTACGGCCGGTGTGCCCCCCAGGGCTGAGGGGGAGGGAAGGAAAGAGAGAGAAGCCAAGAGACGCCTTCCTGGGGCACTGGGCCGGGGTTCCGGCTCAATGGATTTCTTTCGCCATTTGGGGGGGGTTGGTCTGTTTGGGGTCACACCCGGCAGCATCATCCTGACTCCAGTCTCTGCTCTCAGGGTCCTCCCAGGGGTCAAAGGAGGCATACAGGGTGCTGGGGATCAAACGTGGGCCGGCCACACGAGACAGAAGTGTCTGGCCCTCAGGACACTACTCTGGCGCTCGGCCAGCCTCTACTTGTTGGTGTTCTGGTGGGTTTTCCTTGGTTCACCCCCTTCTGCCTCACAGGGAGCAGCAGTGGGGGCTGAGGGCTGAGGGGGGATGGAGGGTGCTGTGCTCGGTTTCCTCCCGTGTCTGCCCACACACAGAGCCCGGCGCGGCCCCGGGCTGACCCCGGCGGGGAATGCGGCCTTGCTGACCAGGCAGCTGGTGGGCCTATATAGAGGCCGGACCCGCGGGCTCTGCAGCATGGACCTGGTCATCCAGCACCCTGGGCTGCGGCGCGTGCGGGGCCCAGTGCCCCCCGGCCAGCTGCTGGAGCTGCTGGGGCCCTGGGACGTGCCCCTCCCCCGGGCCCTGATCCACCTGGCGCTGCTCTCCGGCATGTCTGAGGTGAGCCCCTGGCCCTGCCCCCATCCTGCCTTTGTCCCTGCGTCCCCTCAGGGCATCTGTGCCTCTGGGGTCCTGGGCTACCCCGTGGTCCGGGCCTTCGCGTAGGATCCCGGAATGACACCCCCGCTTGCAGCAGCTGGGGGCAGCTTCAGGAAGCCCACAGAGGGGTCCCCAGGCTGACCGCTCTGGGTGAGGGGGCCGGTGTCCCCCTGCGGTCGGGTGTCAGCTCTGGCCATGAAGCACCCAGGGGGTCTGAGCGGGCACCGAGAGGCGGCTAGTGACAGCTAGCTAAGATGGCAGAGCCCGGCTCATGGGGACCAGCTGCTCCGAACAGTGAAGGGACAGGGTCCTGCCCAGCACCTGCCATGCCAATGCCCCTAAGCAGTGAATGCCCGAACCAGCCAGTAACCCGCCTGTAACCAACCCACTGCCCCTAACCAACTCACTAACCCGCCTCTAACCAGCCTAGTAACCTGCCTCTAACCAACCCACCCCCCAACTCACCCACTAACCTGCTTCTAACCAGCTCACCTTCCCTAACAGGACCACTAACCTGCCTCTAACCAGCCCACCCTCCCTAACCAGCCCAATAAACTGTCTCTAACCAACCCCCCCCTTTTTTTGGCTTTTTGGGTCACACCCGGCGATGCATAGGGGTTACTCCTGGCTCTGCACTCAGGAATTACACCTGGCAGTAGATCAGGGAACCATATGGGATGCCGGGAATTGAACCTGGGTCGGCCGCGTGCAAGGCAAATGCCCTTACCCGCTGTGCTATTGCTCCAGCCCCAACCCACCCCCCTTAACCAACCCACCTACCCTTAACTAACCCACTTAAGCGAAGCCCCCACCCCCCCCAACCAGTCGCATGACCAGCTCCCCCGACCAGCTGTTCACTGTCGGCCATAACGCTGGGTCCTGCTTGCAGGTGCGGAGCGAACCGGGTAGGTTCACTGTATCCCTGGATGTGACGCACTTCCTCCCAGAGGAGCTGGCCGTGAGCGTGCGGGGGGACTTTCTGGAGATCCAGGGGCGCCATGCAGAGAGGCAGGTGAGGACAGGCACCCACGTGGGCCAGGGCGGGCACTCCTGCTGCTGACACCCCCCAGGTTTGGCCGTCACCCACCACTCCCCACGCACAGGATGCCCACGGCTGTGTTTCCAGAGAGTTCTGCCACCGCTACCAGCTGCCCCCGGACGTGGACCGGACAGCCCTGATCTGCACCCTGGCCTCCAACGGGATGCTGATCTGCTCGGGGCCCAGGGTGGCGAGCGAGGCCGCGGGCACCATCCTGGGCCCAGCCCCTGAGTGGCAGGAGATGCCCGACCCCACGCCCGCACTCTGACTGGCCCAGCCCGGCGGCCCCTTCCTGTGTGGACCCCAAGAGTGGGTCTTGCCCGTCTGTTCTGCCCTTGGGTGCTCCTCTGCTTCTGGAACTGTAGCTGGGAGGAGAGGTCGGCCCTCCTGGGCCGGGCTGGGGGCCCTGGGCTCCGTGCTGGCCCCTCCCCGCTTCCTCCCGCGGGCACTCTGGGCTGGGGTGCTAATAAAGAGCCAGATCCATCAACGCCCCTCCGCGTGGTCTTCAGGGCCTTGGGGGGCAGGGGCTGGGCCCCGGTGCTTCCAGCGTCCTTCCTCGAGGGACCCCTCTCGTACCCCCCACCCCTGCGCCTTCCCACAGGGAGCTGGGGTCCGGGGAGTCCTGGTGTCTGGGTACCTGAGTCAGTGCCCCGCGGCCTTGCTCGCCCCTTCCCGGAGGCAGGCTGGGGGTCCACACCAGACTGGACCACTCTCTCCCCTGCCCACATCTGAGACAGGGAGGGGTGTGGCCCCGTCCAGGGTGTGCCCCTGTTGGGCAGTGGGCGGGGGCAACTGACTGTCCCCCTCTGTAGCCCCATGTACCCCCTCCCACAGGAGCCCTGGTCATTTGCCTGTACAGAAAGGGGGCCCTGCCAGCTGGGCAGCAGGTGGGCCCCCAGCTCCTCCTGGTCAGCTGACAGCTTTCTCACACAAGTTGGCCTGTCGCCCACCAGGCACAGTGGAGCAGGCCCCTGGTGTCTGTGGAGGCAAGAGAGGAGGGAGAGGAGAGGGAGGAGGGGGGTGAGGGAGGAGGGGGAGAAGGGGAGGGGAAGGAGAGGAGGGGGAGGGGGGAGGATTCAGAGAAGAGGAAGAAGGGGAGGAGGAGGGATGGGAGGAGGAGGAGAAGGTGGGGGAAAGGGGAGGAGGGGGAAGAGGGGAGGGGAGAGGAAAGGAGGGGGAGGGGGAGGATTTAGAGGAAGAGGAGGAGGGAGAGGAGGGAGGGAGGGGGAGGATTCAGAGGAAGAGGAGGAGGGGAGAGGGAGGAGGGAGAGGAGGGGGCTGGGCGCCAGGCAACCCATATTGGGTTTTTCGGTTTTGGTTGTTTTTGCTTTTGGCCCACACCGGGTGATGCTCAGGGTTTACCCCTGGCGCTGTGCTCACGGTCACCCCGACGGTTCTCAGGGACTATTGGGGGTGCCCTGCAAGGCCAGCGCCCTCCCTGCTTCCTTAAGCTCCAGGTCCAGAACCAGGGGTTTGCACACGGCCCACCTTCCTGGGCACCTGCTCCTGGGCCTGGCGCGGTTCTGAGTGTGGCCACCAGGGGGCGCTGCGAGCCCAGGCTTGTGGCCGGGCCGGGACGGGCGGCCAAGGTCACCTTCCTGGCCCAGGCAGGCAGGGCCTGACCAGGTGCGGCTCTTAGAGGCCCTACCCGGGTCCTGGGGAGCCAGTGACCAGTGGACGCTGGACTGGGGAGCTGAGCCATGGGCATTTCTCTAGAACGTTCTCACTCACGGCTGGCGCTTCTGTGCTGGGCGCCCAGCTTGAGGCAGAAAGAGATGTGGCAACCCTCATCCCTTCCCACCCCCAGCCCCCTCGGGAGACAGCGGGCCCACCGAGGGGCCAGAGCGGAAGGCCCAGTGCCAGGCTCCCGGCCGAGGTCGGGAGTCAAAGGGACACTGCCCTGAAGGGCGGCTCAGCCTCAGGAGGGGAAGCCCCATGCGGCTTCCTGCCGCCAGGCCCCGTTCCCGACCCAGCTGACGACTGGACTCAGGATGGCGGGGGAGCGGGTGATGCCAGCTGTGCCCGCACACAGCCAGGCGAGTACCAGAGGCGGTGCGTGTGCGTTTACAGAGTACACAGACACACGCCCACTGCACACACACGTGCAGAAACTCACACATGCACACACTCGTGTGTGCACACACTTGCACACTCACGCGCAGGTGTGCACACAGCACTCAGGGATGTGGGGCAGCACTGGTGCTCGTGCCCTGAGAGCCCGGTGGTGGCTGGCGTGTGGGAGCGAGCAGATGGCCCAGAGTTCCGACGCCCGTCCAGGCACCCCAGAGCCAAGAGCTGACACTCCCCCGGGGCACCTTGAGTCTCAGCTCAGCCCCTGTGAGTCGATCCCCAAGACCCAAAGTGCAACCGTGAGCTCATCTCATTCCCGAGTCCCACGGCCTCAGCTTTTTGGGGACAGGAGGGGGCGGCAGGAAGAAGGGCCCATGACTCAGCCGTGTTCTCATTTCCCGCCTTCCCGGCTGAGTCTCCCACCCGGGGGCGTCCCTGGGGGTGGGGCTGCGGCCTCTCAGCCCACCCCCCACCCCCCGGCCCGGAGAAGCTGGCACTGGCTCTGGTCTCCCTCTGCAGCTGTCTCTGCCAGGCGGGCGGGAGATGCACCCCTGGGGCTGGGCGGAACTGGCTGGGGCCCTCAGCTGGTGGGGGCACGGTGCCCATACTGATCACGCTGGGCACCAGCATGGGGGGTTCTGGCCACCGGCACTGTGAGGCTGTGTGGGTGCAGGGTCGAGGGGAATGGATGAAGGGAGAGTTCGTGAGGGTGAGTGAGTTAGGGGGCGAGGGAATGGATGAAGGGGCGAGTGCGGGAAGTGGTAAGGGAATGAGGGCATGAATGAAGGGGTGAGGGAATGAATGAAGGGACGAGTGAATGAAGGGGTGAGTAAGGGAATGAGGGAATGAATGAAGGAATGGGGGAATGAATGAAGGGGTGAGTGAGGGAATGAGGGATGGGTGAAGGGGTGAGTGAGCATAGGAAGGGGTGAGTGGTGAAGGAGCATGGGGTGAAGGCGGTGACTGGGGCAAGTGGGGCCCAGCTGATGCTTTGTGGGGCCACTGAGGCGGGGGCGGGTGAGTCCCTGTGAGTCAGGCAGCCCAGGAATAGTGCCCGGGAGCGGGCCAGCTGCTCTGGGCTTCTTAAGAGGCAGCTGGCCCGCCCCCCACCCCCGGCAGGTGCGCCCCATGCAGCCTCCCGTAGCCTCTGACCTCTTGCCCATGCCACCCACACAGGAGGCTGCCCTGCTGCCCCTCGGCCCAGGCCAGGACCCTCCCGGACCCCCTCGAGCAGCTGTCTGGAGAGACGCACAAGCTGTCCAGCCTGTGCGTCTCTTGTGGGGGGGCCTGCCAGCCGCCCGTCCGTGGCCGCTTGGCCAGAGCCTCTGTGGCCGCTGAGCTGGGAGTGACTTGGGGGTCTGGGCACTGGGCGCAGCCAAGACTATGAGGTCTCACTCAGAGCCCCGGGCAGGGGAGGGTGCCCACCTGCACAGCAGGAAGGCTGGGTGGCCCCGCTGTCCTGCTCCTGTGATCAGCTCAGCCCTGGCCACTCCTGTGGCCCCCCCACAGCTAGACCACAGGCCCGACAGTGCCACGCCACGCCAGGTCACTGTGCACAGGCCCGGGCGCACGGAGTCTACACACACATGTCCACACGGGCTCACGCATGTTCACACACTGGCCCATGCAACACTCCTGCACATGCTCGCACACACATTCACACCCGGCATGTGGTCAACTCTGACTGGCACCACAGTGCCCAGACAGTACGAGCCATGACAGGCTGCAGGGCCGCTCTCTCACACACACACAGACTCACACAAACACACACATTCATACAGACTCACACACACACTCGCACACATACAGATTCATACACACATACTCACAGACTCACACAGACACACACACTCACACATACTCTCACACACTCACACGCACTCTCACACTCACAGTCTCACACACTCACACACACTCTCACACTCACACACTCACACATATAGACACACATACTCACACTCTCACACAGTCACACACACTTACACAGTCACACACACAGACTCATACACACACTCACACAGTCTCACAGACACACTCACTCACACACATAGACACATACTCACACTCACACACTCACACAGTCATACACAAACTCACACACTCACATACACATGGACTCACATACTCACAATCTCACACTCACACAGTCACACACAGACACACTCACACAGTCATACAGTCACACAGTCACACACTCCTACACACTCTTAGGCAGGCATACCCACACACTTGCACACTCGCGCACACACACCTGCATGTGGGAACACCCACACAAACACTCACACCCATACATTCACAAACACATAATCACACACACACTCACACACACACACACACACACATACACCTGGGGGTGGCAGTCCCGGGAAACCAAGTGTGGGCCATGGGAGGGGTGACGAGGCACTCAGGACCCCACCCCCGGCTCTGGTCTAGAGGGGCACCCTGGGTGTGGCCCAGAGCCATGTTTGGTGGCAAGGGTGCGGCCAGTGGCCCCAGCCCCCGAGGAGGAGACTGGGACTACCGCGGCCTGTGCTGGGCCCCGCAGCGGCTCTTGATGATGGGGCTCCCCTGACCTGCCTGAGAATGGGGTAAAGGCAGGGGGAGGGGCGGAATCCCCCAGGGCCCCCTCCCTCTCTCAGACCCCAGCTCCCGCCCTTGCTCTCACCCCGCACAGGGGAGGCTGGGAAGGCCCCGGCGGTAGCACGGCTGCAGCTCAGAGCCGCACAGCACCCGTTTCTGTCCGCCCCTTTCTGTCATCCTGGGCTGCGGACCCTGGCCGGGGTGGGGGCTCCAGACAGGCCCCGGGGACCTGGGGACCCTCCTCTAGCAGAAGAGGGAGGGGCCCAGCCTGCCTGGGGCCGTTTCCTGCCCCCTCCTCACGAACATTCCAGATCCAGCCCACCCGGAAACGGGTCCAACACTTGCCTCAAAGCCACATTCCAGAGGCCCCCGGGGAGGCGGCCCCTCGCCCCTCGCCTACGTGAGCCTACGTGACCATGACCACGCAGGGTGTTGGGCTGCGGGTCAGACGGGCGGCCGCCCCCCTGCCGTGCTGTTGTGGGAAGCAGAGCAGCCCAGGGCGCTGGGGGAGCCCTGGGGATGCGCCTTCATTTAATTTTGTTTCATTTTAGGGCCACACCCTGCGGTGCTCAGGGCAGAGTCCTGGCTCTGCCCTCAGGGGTGACAGCTGGCAGGGCT